ATATTGGAAGATAATGTACAAAGTGAGAGGATCACTTTAGAAATGTAATCAAGAAAATATCACTTATTCATGATATTTTAAAGAGTGCTAGGGTTTGATAACCAAATGTGTAATGCTTGGAGAGTTAAAAGTATGTGAATTTCAAAAGTGGATAAACTGTGTTAGTACTTAAATTTTTTATGTAAAACTATGTATGACTGTATCAGTTATTTTGAATAATAAGCCGTCACTAGTGGCATAATAAAATTATTCCTAATCTATGAAATTGGTTATTACCGTTTACTTCTGTCATCTTTTTCCTGTATTAAATTTAGTATATATTGCTATTTGTTTTGTTCTGTCTTTCATCTAATAGAGAGGTATTCAGTTTCTTACATTAATTTTTAATTAATACATTTTTAATTTACATTAATTTTTAATTAAGTTTTACTATGTGAATTAAAAATTTTTGTTGTTTCTTAACTTTACTGTATCAGAATAAATATTGCTATAGATATATCTTTATTTTAATAATACATGTCTCTCTCTCTCTCTATATATATATAAATCATTTATTTGATAAAAGAAATCTCCATTTGTTAAGATTTGATAAAATATGTCTCCCTGTACTCGTGGAAAAGATGTTTTACATTCTTTACATTTAAGTTTCTGGTTTGAGTGCAACTAAAACTAAATTCGCAAAATTCTGCACTAACTTCAAATCATTATTGTAGCGTCTAGCTTGTGGCTTTTTTTTTTTTTTTTTTTTTTTTTTTTTTTTAAATTTATATATTTATTTCAACTGTTGAAGAGCAGTGACAAAATATTTTCTTTTCTACAAATATAATTTTAAGGTTTGAAGTTAATAAAAAGGAAATCTTTACGTGTTAATGTTTAAAATCATTTTTACCTTGTTATCTCAATTTATGTTGTATAAGCAAACATTATAACTGTCAGTGCAAACCATTTTTGCGTCGGACATTTTTAAATATTTAAGATGTAACTGATTGATGCTGCTAAAGCTTACTTCCAATAAAAAATGTTGGCTAATTCTTCTTTTTATTTTTTATTATGTATTTGATTCCTTTTTTTTTCCCTTTCTTAAGCATTGGAAACCTGCTCAACAAAAAACATGGGTTGCACTCATAATTGTTCTGAAACTCCTTTGGGTCCTATCTGTATATGTCCACTTGGAAAAGTGCTGAATGATTCAAAAACCTGTATTGGTAAATTTCCATTAGTTTTTTATGTTGTTTCTATAAATAGGTATAGATCAGTGTAGTGTCAGTGCTAAAAAATTATCTGATACCTTTAAATAGGTACAATGCCAGTGCTGTACCCTTATGTAGTGTCTTGCACACAAAAAATTTACCTGTTATTAAAAAACTGTATCCATTGTACTAGAAAACTGAGCCGTTAGCATAGTAATATTGCAGTCGTGATCTATTTTATGTGTAGATTTTTTCATGTCTTGTAATTTTGTATGAATAATTTCCAGATGTTGATGAATGTGCCACTCCCGGAGCTTGCAGTCAGCAGTGCATCAACACTAAAGGTTCATTTAAGTGCCAGTGCAAAGATGGTTATACGCTTACAACAGATCGTCACACTTGTAAAGCAATAAGTAAGTGTTTAATTAGAAAATACGTTCACCACTTAGAATATCTTATCAATTTAGCAAAAAAAATACGGTATCCGTATAAGATCTCATAATTTTCATGAAAACTGTCATAAAAATTTTATTACTGTTAGCTTTTTTACAAAATGTAACAGTAATTTATTTCCCCTAAATCAAATTTGCCATTAAAATCTCTAATGCTATCTAATTTTTTCTAATCAAATGTAAAAAATTAGGAATTGTTAGTGACCGTGAAGTATAAACCGAGTTGTGAACTTTTCAGTGTGAAATATGTGTAGGGTTTTAGCCCAATGTGATTAGTGCATGAGATATATGACTGAGGCAGAACAAATGTTTGCAAATTGATATGCAAATTATTGGCAATAAGCATCCACTTTAGGATTTATATATCTGTATTGGTTATTGCTTGGCTACTGGTCACTTAATTCATAAAATGTGATAATCTTAGCTTGAAACTAAATTTTGATACGTACACTTTCAAATTTAGAGAAATGATGATTTCTTCTTGGATAAAATAGCATTCGTTATTAAATTTGTGAATGGCCTTTTGAAAATATTTATATGTACTTTATGTGAAAAAGGGACTTTTTATTTTTAACCAGTCCAAAGTGTAATGAATATTTTACTAATTGACATATCAAGTGACGTAAATTTTTATTTAAAGAAGTATTTTATATCTAGCCTATTAAAGAAAGATGAATATTTTTAAGGAATTTTTGCTTTATGAGGACCTTTTAAAAACATAAAATTCTTTCATGAAATCTTCTGTATTTATTAGCTTTGATGAATTCGAGACATAATGCTATATTTAATATATCATATTTCTTTGATTCTAAAATGCACTTTTTTCCTATAAGCATTTCTACTGGCATGCTGTCTCCTAGAATTGATACAATAAATACTTTGTTTTTTGCATGATCATCAATATTGTTTCCATGCATTTTTATCATTTTTAGAAATGTTGCATTATCAGTACTTAAGAAAGAAATTATGTAATATATGGTAGTGAATGTTAGATAAGGTATTTTAAAACGGGTAAACTCAGATAAAGTTGCAGTTATTAGAAAAATCATATCCTGATTTTGATTTCAGCAAGAAATGTTGAATCATTATCTAATGGTAAATAGGTAATTTTTTTTATTAAATCTGATTAAGTTCTGTTAATTGTTAAACTGTATTAAATATATATGATATAAATAAATATTGTTTGATGTTATAGATAAATATTGTTAGATGTATTCTAGCACTTTATTTCATTTGTCTGATTATCTCAGAATCAGAGTTACTTTTCTCATGGTAATATTCAAATTTTTAAAATAAGTCTAAGGAGTAAAAATGAAGTATAAGAAAATAAAGCTCATAGGCAGTAGCAGCTTGCAAATTAACATAATTTTTACTTCAGTTTTGTATAATTTATCATTCTGATTCTTTTTTTAAATTCTGATTTTCTAGATGCCAGCAGTGCCTTTTTAGTAATTTCTAATCGTCGTTCGATTTTGGTTGCCAATTTAAACACAACTACATTAGAAAGAGTTCCAGTCAGAGTGGAAAATGTTGTAGCTACTGCTTCAGAAATGGCAACTGGTACTATTTATTGGTCTGACATGGTTCTTAAAAAGATATTCCGTCTAACCAAAGGTGGTGAGCCCGAAGTGGTAAGAAAGCTCTCTCATTCTGATTCAATAAAACTTTATTTATAGATATTCTTATCAAAACATCATGATAAATTTATTTACTAGTAATTGATTAATACTGTTTAATATTATCAAATGGAATAACTAAATTTGTTATGGCATTCAATTAGGCCAGTTAAAGAAAATGTTACAGATACCAGTTCAGATTTCAGTATTTATAAAATGAACAAATTTAAAAATAGATTGAAGTTATTATCAGATTCAAAACTATACAGAAATATTCTTTATAGTAGTGTTCTTCAAGTGGCATATCTGTATAGTTTTAAAATGTTTTTCCCCTGTAGCTACTTCAAAATACAAATGTTATTCCATGAATTTTAGAAAAGTGAAAGAAAAATGGATTAGAAATGCATAATAAAAGAAATTTTTATAAGAGTTTCAAATATACTTTGCTTTTACCTTTTACAATAATTAAATTCTCATGAATGTTATTCTTTCTGCAGGTATCTCTAAATATGCATTTCCCACATTTCTTTTCATAATTTCCACATACTTGATCATACATTTCAGGATTATAAATAGCATATTTAGAAATTAAGTATTTTAGTTTTAAATACAACTTTATTATAGATTCAGTATTTGGATATCAATTAAGTACTTTTCAATGTAGATATAATTTTTCTAGAGAATAAATTTTTCTGTGAGTGAATAAATGTATGTATGTCTATCTGACTTATTATTTCTATGTTAAAAGGTTGTTGGAAGTGGCTTGGATTTAGTAGAAGGTCTTGCTGTTGATTGGGTAGGCAGAAATTTATACTGGGTTGATTCTCGTCTTAAGACTGTTGATGTATCAACTCTTAATGGAGAACATCATATGGTTCTGTTAAATGAAAATATCAGCCAGCCAAGAGGATTATCTATTGATCCTAGTGAAGGGTAAGTCAGTTTGTGAAGATTTTATATACTTGAAAATGCATAACTGATCGCTTTTTCATAAAAAATATAATTTTGGATCATAATTTTTTTAGAAACTGTATATTAAAATTGCAAGTTTCTGTCACTGCTTACTGTCCCCCCTTTTTAAGTAGATTTTACCAAGCATTGACAATTTAATAAATCTTGTAGAGAATTTATATATATAAAAAAATAATAAATAAAAAATAAAATAAACTAGTTTGGTCATTTAAAATTAATACTATTCTGATTTTTTCTGTTTCTATTATTTTTTATTGTTTATGTGCAGTATATATTGAATACAAAATATTTTTCAAAATTAATAGAATCCAAGCCTAAGAAGGAAAAGAAATTATGAATTGAGAGTTGGAAAATGTTAAAATTTTTAATCTGTTAAGTTTCTAATTACTGAATGATAATTACTATGCTTTTAACTACTAAATTACCAGATTTAAAGAAGTACTTTGCATTTGAAGGGGGGGAAATTATTCACTAAATTGCTTCAGTTTTCTTTAAACTAAAGCTGCTTGCTTATCCACTCTTTATCCACTTTTAAAATCACTTAAAAAGAAAATAATAGTAAAAAAAAAAATAAACAAGAATTCTTAGACTACTTTTCTGTAATATTTTTATTTACTGACTGTGAATGAATAATTAACACGGTTTAAATTTTATCTTTTGGACTTTTACCCTCCTCAAAAATTGTGTCGTATATATATATAAAATAGAGCTAAGTGGTATTTAAAAATGTATAAAAAAGTTACAATAACTTTTATTGTATTGGAATATATATATAGCTATAGCTACTTTTTCAGTACTTAAAAAATTTTTACTTTTGATTTTTACTGACTAAATTTTTTTTAACATTCATTCTTTTAATTGAATTTCTTCTTGGATATGGTATATGAAAAGTTTTCTAATTATAATTATTGGTTTATGTGTATAGATATAATATATATATATATATATTAAAAAAAAAATTTAATTAGATATTAAATCACTAAATTAATAGAGATCTGGTCACTTTTTTTTATCACGCATTTTTTTAGATACAAAATAAATTACTTCAGTTGAGAAAATATGGGAAATAGGACATATATGTTCTTTCATCCATGTGTTAATGGATGTTTTATATAGTTTCGTATGTAAACTACAGAGATTTCCACAAATAACCTTTTCCTATTTATTTTTTCATAAACTTTTATTTATCATAATTGTGAAACTCATGTTCATAATCTGCAGATTATTTCAAAACTTTCATGAATTTAAAAGTTTGATATTTACCACAATTATTATTTTGTGTCTTACCATTTTTAAATAAATTCTTTTCTAAACAATGTACTATAAAAACCACATCTTTTCCTGGTGTGTATTCACATATTATGTATTTATCATTCATATATTATATATCTTATTTTACACTCAAAATAGAAATGACTTCTGTTTATTTTTGTAGTTCTCGTATTATGTTTTGGACTGACTGGGGTGAGAATCCAAGAATTGAAAGTTGTGGCATGGATGGTACTTTAAGACGAGTTATAGTGCAGACTAAAATTTCCTGGCCTAATGGACTCACTATAGATATCCCCAACAAGCGAATATATTTTGCTGATAGTAAATTAGACTACATTGATTTTTGCAACTACGATGGATCTGGTCGCCACCAAGTTTTGGCCAGAAATCATGTAAATTATTTCTTTACTTACTTAAATTGAATTTTTATTGATGTGTAAGTTTATTTGCAAATGTTTAGATTGGTTTTCTTTTGAATAATATTTTTTTATTTATTATTTCTTCAGTATTTACTACATCCCCATTCTCTCACCATTTTTGAAGATACATTGTACTGGACAGATAGGCAGCTAAATCGAGTGTTATCATGTCATAAATTTAAAGGCATTAATCAAACCGTTGTGTCACATCTAGTCGGTCAACCACTTGGTATTCATGTTAGTCATCCCATTCTCCAACCTCCCTGTAAGTTTTCTTTTGTAAATAATATTAATTAATGTAATTATCATATTATAAATGTATGTCATAATTTTAAAATGTCAATGGGATGTGTTATAAAAAATGCAAAAATCAAGGACCAGAATTGGGTTCCACAACTGAATTCTGATAAGATTTAGAAAGAAGTGGAATATGGTGGATGAATTTTAAAACACTTTTATACCAAAAAATTTATTAATTCTTTTAATTTCATAATTTGTAATTGAACTACAGTAATTTATTAAAATATATTCATTTAGTCGTAATCAGAGAAGTTTCAGTAACATTTTATGTGCTGAGATCTTTCGTTGCAAATAAATGCATATTGTTATTTGATAGTAAGAATAAATATAATTTAATATTTTATTAAAATCATAATTAGTAAATAACTGAATGATTATTGTAAATTAAGACTATATGTTAAATCAAGATTATATATTAAATCATATTAAATAGCTTTATAAATATATATTATATAGACTATTTATTATAGAATATTTATTATAGTCTTAATGTATAATGACAATTTTGTTAATCACTATGACGTATTGCAGCACTCTTATTATTAAGGTGTCATGTATAAAATTACATGTTAAATTATATATTAAATAAAACTCATATATTAAATTGTATTTGCATATTGCAAAGCATTTTCACTTGAGTTTTTTGTACTTTAAATATTAAAAATATAACCTGCAAGCATTGAGAAAAATACTTGTAATAATCAGTTTGCACATAATTTTCATTTAATATTATCACTGAAAATCACTACATATTTATTATTCTTACATTTTTAGCTGTTAATACTTGCGAAAATGCCACTTGCAGTCATTTGTGTCTTCTATCTCCATCCCATTCATCTGGATATACCTGCAAATGTCCTCCTGGATACGGCAGAGACACCAAAACAGCTGAAGGAAACTGTGTACCAGGTGAGAGTTTTAGAACTGATATAAGGAATTTTAGGTATTAGAATACTATAATAATGCCCCCCCCAATCAAATTTTAAAATCTGGTAACTTACTAATAGAATAATGCACAAAAATTTAATTTTAAAACTCAAACAAAATTTCTAAATTCGTGCAAAATATTTTTCATTGAATTGTATTATTTGTTTGCAGTGGATACACCATATTTAATGATAATGAGAACTACTCAGTTAGTTGATATGAGTCTGACTCCTGGAGATAAGACAACTGGCTATTTTACGCCTGTAATTGGAATTGAAAATGGTTATGATTTTGATTATGACAAGAAAAGTGGCATCATTTATTATATTCAGCTTGAAGAAGAAGATAAAGAAAATGTAAGCCTATTTTTGTTGAAGACATATAAAAATATATGATAAGTAATTTTAATGTGAAATGATTTTGTTCTTATTCAAAGTTTTCTTTTTAAGGGAACTATATATAAAGTATCTTTGACTGGAGGAAATCAAACTAAATTCCTTCCTGAAGGTTTTGTTGGAGCACCTTACATTCTTGCATTCGATTGGGTAGGCCGGAATATATATGTTGGAAATCGAAAAGCTTCAAATTTTGAAGTTGTTAAGGTAAGCTGAATTTTCCTGTCCTTGTAGTTCAGTAATTCCTAATGATTTATAAAATATTACGAAAGGGTGGTCTAAAGATAATGTTAGATAATGTTGACAGTTGTTTTTCTGAATTATAATGTCGATTGTGATTATAGGGTTTTTAAAAAATTGCACAATTAATTACTTCTTGAATGTTTGATGGTAGACCCATGATTCCAGTTTAAGAAAATCAAATAAAGCAGGCTTTCATGATATGACAGTTTTAGTTATTTGACACTTTTTAATAAAAATAAGCAACGTTTTAATTTTTATGTGGATCCTCTGCAAAAAAATTTCAAGTTGTAAGTAGTCACTTGTGCTACTAAAAAGAAAAGAAAAAAATTATGTATATCTTGTTTTTGTAATGTGCAAAATAATCGCTGAAAAAAACTGTCAGAATTTTACAACTTAAGCCACTTCCTTTCTCAGTAAAGCTAGTTTCAGAGACTGTACGAAATTAGAATTACATTAAATAAAAAGCTTTATTTAATGTAATTCTTATAGACAAAAAGTTGGACATTTCTACAAATATAAATTTTAGGCCCCTAACTTAATAATTTTGCTTTCCAAAGTAAACGTATGTTTTCTTTAGAAATTTGTATTTAAAAGCTTGTGCACATAGCTGCAGACAGTATTCGTTTCCAGTAGGGGGGAAGGGGAAAAATCAGTGATAGCTTCAGTAATTTTCATAATATAAAGGCGAGTTTTTTGCTTGTTTTTTTCACTATTTCACCTATGAAAAAAATCACGTACATGATACTCCTTTCCTATGGAGCTGATGTATTGTTTGTACATATTTCATATATTTTTACAAAATACATGTGGTTAAAAATTATCAAATCCTGCAAACTTAGTTTTGATTCATTTCTTATACTGGAACGATAATGTCTGCAACCAGCCATTCAACAAAAGTTTAGTTGTGCAATCTGACTAAATATATAAATTTTTTATTTAGCTCCATATGATTCATGTCAAATAATAATGTTCTTCGTATTCAAGCATTGATTTTTTATTAAATAGAAATGAAATTCCCAGATTTATTTAATCTTTGAAATAACCTAGCTGTATACATGCATCCAAAACTGTTTGGCATGATGCCTTTAAGTACACATACATATGCACTTGAAAGTGTCCAAACAGTTAAGGTAAAAGTGGAAGAAATAAAGTCAAGGTACAAAGAGGAAGGAATTTTGAATTGTAATCAAGATAATATCATTTACTCATGGCTCCCCAATCCTTTCGTGGGGAAGGTTAGTTGGCTTTGGGAGCCAAACCCTTGACCTCATGAAAGGTTACATTTCAAACGAAGAAAACATTAATTTGGTAGTGATTTTTGATTAGTGAAACTAAAAATTTTCGTGCTCACTTTGTAAGGAATTACTGTATTTCCGAATGATGCTTTCATGATATAAGTGGTTGCATCCAACTGGGAAAGTAGAAGATTTGTGGTATGAATCCTGGAAAGGGCACATTGTTTTTTCATGTTTTCAGTCTGAAAAGCTCAATATTCTCTTTGGTAGTGCTTTAACTAAAGATATTGTGAACAATAATTCATCACCATCTGCATTTGATCAGCTAGGTTTTTATGTTTTTTTCCAGTCCTCTACTAAGAGACAGAGAAAGTAAGAAATTATCATTTCCCTCCATGTGTGCTCTTGTGGTGTATTTGTATATACTGCAACCTCAGTATGTATTGAGTGGTGTTAGTTTGATTATATAGTGAATTGAATTTCACTTCTCAGAAATACTGATTGTTTAAACACGTAGTCCTCTTAGGCAAGTAATTTATTGGGAGAGGGTTCATGCTACTTGTGCATTAAAATTACAACAGTATTGCCTTAAAAAGGGGGGCAAAGAAGAAAGGAGGACAGAGATGGGAGATTTACTCTCAAAGTGTTGGAACATGGTGATTGCAAATGTTTTATACAACTTTGAACTTATACCACAGTTAACGGAAATAATGCTGTTGTTGAAGTGATTCTTTGTTTCTAAAGTGCTTTTTTTTTTTTTTTTTTTTTTCCAGGAAGGTGCTCACCTTTTATTGTATTGCTAATGGTATCAAAGGTCATTTATACCCTGTCTTAAGTAATAGCCTGAATAATTTTGAGGGAAACTTATAATGTGTTTCAAATTTTTAATGGAAAATAATGCAATTGTTTGCTATATATATGTTTTATATTTATTAACTCGAATTTTTATTGATGTATTTTAAATGCTAACAGGCTGATGGTGAAGAAGATTTCAGAAGAGTCATTTTAAACAACGATGGCAAAGAAACTGGAGTAGCGAGACCGAAAGCTATGGTTTTAGACCCTGAAGGAGGGTAAGTTCTTGGAAATATAGGAAATGAAATCCATAAAATAGTGTTCAAATCTTTTTTATTTAATCATGTTTTTATGCATTATGAAACATATGCTGCATATTTGAGAAAGTTTGCTACAAACTTTATTTCCTTATGCACTTTTTCGCAAAAAAATCTAGGCAATATGAAGGAAGTGGTTGTTTTTAATGAAATTGAATATCTGTATAGCTCATACACAGATAATAAAATGATTAAAAAATCAAGGCCATAGTACCGGTTCACGGCTAACAATCACCCTCTGAGTGTTCAAATTAGTAGTTGGTCGAAATGCCCCGTGCGGCAATGTATGTTTGAATTCTTCGAGGCAAGGAGTGGTAGATGTTCTTAATGTCATCCTGCGACACATTCGGCCTGCCATTCATCGGTTGTCGCTCCAGATCTGTGATATTTTGTGGTGCCCGAATCTGGCGGCGTACTATGTTCCAGACATGCTCAATTGGTGAAAGGTCTGGTGACCTTGCTGGCCAAGAAAGAGTATCAACTGCACGGAGACAGTCCAGAGATATGCAAGCGGTATGTGGCCTGGCATTATCTTGTTGAAAATGGCCCCAGGATGACGTGCCATGAAGGGTAACACAACCGGTTGCAGGATGGTATTGACAGATCGCTGAGCTGTTAAAGATGTACGGAAGATGACTGAAGATGACCTGCTGTCATAAGAAATAGTGCTTCACACCAACACAATAGGGGTTATGGCTGTATGCCTTTGTTAAAACAAAGGCTGATTGGGACTGCTGTCCTCGTCCTCTCCATACACGAACACGGTAGTCATCTGCTTCAAGAGTGAAGCGGGATTCATCGCTGAACACTATACAATGCCAGTCTGATGGCAGCCATGATGATCGACTGCAAATCACTCCAGACGACTCCACCGATGTTATAGGGTCAAAGGCAAACGTCTTATGTGAGCATAACCCCACCTGAGACAAGTGCCGGGAGATGGTGAACGGTACCACGGGTGGTATAGACATGGCTGTAGTGCATTGAATAGTTGATAATGATACGGTTGGGGTGGTTCGGACTGGCAAACAATCATTCTATCTTGCCTCGTATTTGTGCTCCTTGGCCTTCCAGAGCCTTCATTTCATGGCAATTTCCTTGTAGCAACTATTGCTGCCAACATCTTTGCACTGGTCTGTATGCTGAAGGTAGCGGCCTATTGCTCAGTATGATTACCCAGCTTCACGCAATCCTACAATGCTACCACGTTCAAAGTCGTTTAGTTTTCTGCAAGGTCTTTGATATCATCGTAATGGAAGCTTAAGTTGCTTCTTTACAAAATTATAATGGCAGGGGGGGAAAGAGAGAAATTTTCCGCCTCTGTTACTGGTTCTATACTTTGCAAATTGCGCACTAGAAATGTGTGCTATGATTGCAATTTCTATTCATTTGCCTTGAAACTTTGATCATTTGCATGCTCGATCAAGATGTTTTTGCATACCAAATTTTATCACGATCGCAAAAGTCCTTCTTGGTGCATGGAATTTTTCGCAAAAGAGTGTATATTGATCCTAGGTATGTACTTCAATTACAAAACATCCGTATATAAATAAATAAAGAAAGAAAAATTTTATGAGACTACTTTCAGCACTAGGGGGTAGAATGGTTTTTAAGGACATAAAAATTTAACTTTTTATGTGGTGCTTTTAGAACAAAAGATCCGGCTTGAAAAATGTTATCTAAAGTATATAAAAATAAGTTAAATGAAAAAAAAAAAAAATTCTACTTCCATGTAAAATTCATGAAAATATTTTTAAAAAATAATTCCCTGATATAGATTACTTTTCAGTATATATTTTTTGACTAAAACAAAACTTTCAGTTTTGTATATTCTTGTTCTAATCAAATATTTCCTGACACCCTTAATATTTTTCAATAATAATAATAAGCATCATATTCCAAATATAAAATTCAATAATTAAGCATTATATTCCAAATATAAAATTTTTTAATATAATAAATATCCTTGCCAGTATGATTTGATGTACAGTATTTGTCAAACACAGAGAGCACTGAAATTCATGCTAATGAGTAACATATGTATGAAAAGAAAACAATATATCATCTATTGTGATTTACTGCAGCTCAAAAAGTCACGTTTTCCATTTGTAATTATTCAAAAAATAATTTCCGTCTGTAGATTAGATTTCTTAGAGGTGTTTCACAGTTTGATATATATTAGTCAAACATAGAGAACATTGAAATTCTTGCTAAAGATCAAGAGATGTATGAAAAGGAAACAATAAATCATCTATTATGCTTTATTGCAGCTCAGAAAGTCGCATTTTCCATCTGTAATTATTCAAAAAATAATTTCCGTCGGTAAATTAGATTCCTAGAGGTATTTCACATCTATAAAAAATTTCAGTTCTGATTTATGATCCCAGTTCTATCTTTTATGGTCAACTTTTAAAGATTGTTTCCCCCTATTGTTGCTTTTCATTTTGTTTTTGGTTAACAAATAGTGCCTGCGGCTTCTTTTTATATCATTTAACTAGAGCATTCTCAAAATTTTTCATTGTAATTCTTGTGCAGACATGCTTCTCATTTAACATTTTCTCTCACACAGCTGATGAAGAAAGTTTTATTAAACGTCAGAACTCTAGTCCTATAAATTTATTCCCATTATGTGAATTTATGTTGGTTATTATTAGTTGCATTTGCATTCTCTGATGCTCTTAATTCTCAAGGAGCATTTATTGAATAAATGATAACTGATGTTACATTATTGGGTAGAACCTGTGCTAGTCATTAACTCTATCGGTTGCTTGAAAAAAATGAAAATAATGTAAAATTTATGTCGGCAATTTCATCTTTTTATTCTGCTTTTTCTAAATAAATACTAAGTAGTATTTAAAATTATTTAAGTAATTTAAGTTTATTTGAGTTTTTTAAGTTTTATATTAAGTAGTATTATTTATTAAGTTTTTTAATAAGTAGGATTACTCATTTAAGTTTTTTATTTATATAATTTTTTTAATAATAAGTAAGGAATAAGTAATAACCTTTCACCCAATAAGTAAGATTTCTAAATAAGTAAAATTGGTGAAATGTGCAAATATAATCTTCTTTTCTTTTATAGAATGTTGTACTGGCTTGATGAAGGAGGTTTTGGCGTACCAATGAAAATTGGAGCTGTTGCTATGGATGGCAGCAATTCTCATATTCTTTTAAGAGATGGACTTATAAATCTGGAAGCTCTTACAATAGATTTATTTAATAAGCGTTTGTATTGGAGTCAACGATTTGAAGGAGTGGTAAGTGAATATTTTCATGATTGCAATTTGCTATTATGCCATTATAGTTAGAAATGATCATTTGTAATCATTATTAAGAATGTACAATAATTTCAATTTTGCATTGTTGTAATTTGTTATACTGTAAATCTCAAAATAGTCATCTGTTTCATAATATCAGTTACTTTGTTACCTTTCTAAGTATTGAATTTTTTATGACGTTTTTCTCGCTTTGTAAGTTAAAACAGAATTGCTTTTAAAGTATTGGCAGTCAAAATTTTGTCATGTGTTTTTTATTTATAACTGGTTAATCAGCATAAAAAGACATCAGCACTTCAACATAATTTAAACATCGCAGTCTCTCTTTACAAATGAAATCAAAACTCTTTTTTCATGACTTGTTATGTTTAAATAAAATTCTATAACTTCATAATTTGTTACAGTATTAGCCTTCTGGTAAAATAAGAGAATATAATTTTTAAAAATTTTGGTTTAAATTTAAAGATGCTGTTAATAAATAAATTTCTCTTAGCAAAGTTGAAAATAAATTTCAGTTTCTCATACTGAATCTAATCTTTCCTAATTATCTATTTTATATATACAATATTGTTCAATAAATATGTAGTTTTATTAAATGTTAAGAAAATTTTTAATTTATTAGGTACTTTTCCGTTTTGCCGGCGCAAGCGATAAAGTCGCCAATAATGGTACAACCGATGCCAAATGGAATATTCTTGCTGGTAACCTTTCATGCCACATTTTCAAAAACAAGTCGCAGCATTTTCTTATCAGATTGATTATTTCTTTCAATACTGGCATATAATTACATAGAATTTTTATCAAGATAGTTCAGTTTATGTTAAAGGCCATTTTCGGTAATTAAGACAATTAGGATGCAATCACAGCTACTTACCCGAAGCCGAAAATATAGAAAAGAGGCAAAAGTCAAGGTTAAATTCATCAATTCTAATGAGAATGCATTAGTGAAGTAAAGTACTGCACTTTTACATAATTTATGAGTAAGCTATTCGTACGAATTGAAATATTTCTTGCATTTAAACTTGTGTTCCAAATTAAGATTTAACTTGAAATTAATGTAGATAATTACTGAAAGCATTGGATTTTTGTAGAGTAGTTTACGTGAGATGAGAACTCTTGGGGTCACGTGATATGAACCGGCGAATCAGAATGTTGAACCATGAAAGCATAGTCAATTCTTAAATTAATGTCTTTTTACAAATTTATTGTCTTTATTTATTTGCTTTTTATAAAATTTTAAGCGATATTAAAATGTTTATGCCTTAAAAAAAAGAAATCTTAGAACTAACATTTTTTAAAATATTTTTTATATGTATACTGTATGATGTCGCCAATAAAGTCTGTTTGGCGAGATTTATGCTGGCGAAACGGAAAAGTACCATTTATTATGTTGAGTTGCAAATCTATTTCTGAGATACCTTTTTTAAAATAATCATTCTAATTTTTTCTTTCTTTCAAGATATACAGTATTACCACTGAAGGAAAAGATAAGAAAACTGTAGTCTCAGAAGCTGTAGCAAAACCTCAAGGTCTTACTGTATATAATAATAAGTTATATTACTTGGATCCTTTGCATGAGAAAATTGAGCGAGTTGATTTACCCGATGGCAGTAATCCAGTTGTTCTTGAGGATAATGCTGTAGGACTTATTACAATGAAAGTATACAGTAAAAGGCCATGTAAGTTTTCTATTTTAAGGTTATTTTTATTTTTTGTGGAAATATGTATTTGAGCATTTAAAACATGCTGCTAAGTGAAATATGTTGCTATTTGAATACAGTCATTGTCCGCTTGGATAAGGTTTTTATTATTTATTAATTAAAAAAACAGATTGCTAAGACAGAAGGAATGCTCTGCTAAATTCTATATTTAATTGCTTTACTAAGAAATACTACAATTCCAGATTTCAAAAGTATGTTATGTAACCCTCACAAATCTGTGCTCTAAATTATTGATAATAAGTTTACACAGAGAAATTCATTAGCTATTTAAGTAAAAAGGAATATTTTGGTCTCACACAATTTAATCCCAGGTCATTGAGTCACCTAGTAAAAGGCTTTAGTTGATGATTGGGATGCATTTAGAACAAAAATAAACCCAAGTGTTAAGTGTTAGTTTTGATTCATTGGGCTCAGTGTTTCTTTTTTCGGAAGAATTAAAATGCTATTTTCTCTTGTATATGGTAATGCTAATGTCAGAATTAAAAGTATGAATTTTATATTGGTATAAGTATGTTGGCATCGTGTAATAGCAGGTGAAATTACAATATATTTATAACTGTTGTAAACAAAAAAATCATTACTCACTACCAGAAATTATTATCATTATAATTACAAAATTTGTTCCTCTAACTGAATGTTAGATAGTCTTTCAGTTGTGAATAGAGCAACTGAATTCAGTAATGGATTTGAGTTGCTTAACTCTCAGCATTGGAATATCAAAACCAATAGCACCAAATTGTATTTAAGAGTATGTGCTGCACAGAGTATATGCTTTAAAAAAAATGTACTACATTAGAAGTCCAGAAAAGCGTCACAAATACTCTATTGGATTGATGTCAGGTGAATTTGGGGGCCAAGACATGACTTAAAAATCACTAGAATGTTCCTCAAACCACTCTCTGACCATTCGACCCTTATGACATGGTGCAGTATCCTGTTGATAAGCACCATGCTCCTGCTGAAAATACTGTTGTTGTGAATGCATGAATCTGGTCTGCAACAATATTCGTGTAGCACACAGGCATCAGGGATTGTTCTATGGGGATTATGGATCCTAATGTGCTCCAGGAAAACATTGCTCACACCATAATACCCCCGCTACCAGCTTGTCTTTGCCCAACTGTGCATCCGGGAGCTAGAGTTTTATTAGAGGTGGATTTCAGGATTTTGCGGATTTCAGGGCAAAAAAGATAATATTCAGACTAAAAGTACAAAATAAATAAGGTGTCTTAGATACATTTAATTAAATTATTATATATATTAATACAATAATTAATTATATACATTAAATTATTATTACAGATATAAACTGATTATATTATATTGCTCATTTACATTAGGCTCCTCTATTTTTAAATCAGCATGAATCTGCTTCTCCTTTTCTCTCAGGATTAGTCCTGAAATAGGTACCCCATCACTCCGCCACTGCCGGAGCCACTCGTACAAGATAGCATTCAGGTTTGCCGATTTCGCCTTTTTGGTTTCGGATTCTGGTGTTAAAATCACTGTTACTATAAAATTTCAACAGCTTTTCTTTATTGTTCTGTATATCGTACACAGTGCCTATCGTACACAGTGCCAATTCCATATGATTCTGCTATAAACCGAGCAGTAGAACTTGCCTCCATCTTTAGCAGAATTTCCACTTTTTTCCATACCGTCAATGCAACGTCTTTATATTTTTCAACGTTGCAATCAGTAAAATCATGAGTGCGTTTTGTATCTGTCAGTGTTGAAATTAAAAATATTCTTAATATATCCACAAAATATCCGGATATAAAAAACGACATTACTAAACCATCTTGTGAAATAACAAAGTTCAGAAAGTACAACAGCGTGAACTTGAAAGAAGAGTTGAGTTAATCATCTGCTTTTTTTTTACCTCGATGCAGATTGGAGGGGAAAAAACTCTTATCATGATGTCAATAATTTGGTATTTCCGTTATGACTCATTATTACTCGGTAATTAGGACGTCATTATCCAGTAAGTATTTTTTCTTTGATATTTTGTACTTCATGTTGTGGTTTCCGGAACCTATAAACTAAATGTTTATATGTTGAGAGGCAACGCAGAATTCAGGTATTTGACTGTATAAGGTTTGAGTTAAAAGCTAAGCCAGTTCAGAAGGTTATCACCAACTTTTACTAAACCAAAATATTGCTGATTTCGTACCGCATTCTGCTTGAAAACAAATATTCTGTGCTAATTTTCTACAAAAATAGGATTTTAATGAATTTTGTGCACATTTTTTGCTAAAGTAAGAATGAAATTTATTTTTCCTGATTTCTTTAAATTGAGTTATAAGGTATTTCTCCCACCTTCTTGGCATGCCTTCGTAGTGTAGTGGTCAGCACGCTGGGCGCATATTCAGGGGTCCTTGGTTCGATTCCCGGCAAAGCCATTGCTAATTTTTCATGGCTCTGCTTCCTAAAAGTATTCTAATGTCTCTACAGTGTAAAAAATAAAGAAAATGCCAAACTTTTCAGAAATGTAGATTGACTTTAGGAGAACAGTTAGTATAGATATGCTTTTCAATTTAATTCAGTCACGTATTTCATACAGCATAACTAAACACTTTTTTTTTACCATAACACCTAAAAAGAAAAATGGGAGGCAAAATAAAATATTTTCTTGTTTTGAAGCTCAAATGTCTTTAATAAAAATGCTATAAAAAGTTTTAATAGCTTAAAAATAATGTGATTTAAAAATAACAAGTGTTTGGTGACTCGAAATTAAAATTTGTGTAATGACCTGAACTAATATTTTTGACACCTGATGTTCTTAGAAGAAGGAAATTCTCAAATTTAAAGTGAGTGAATAGATATTATATGCTGCTTTAGACTGTATTTACTTTTTTTGGTGTGCTGCTTCATATTGTTACAGCTTTAAAAATATGATGCTCCAAGCTATACTTTAAAAAAAGTATATGATGGTACACTTTACTGTATTTTTAGAAAAATATTTTAGTATGCATTTTATTAAAAATTGAACAAACCTTAGATTTTTGCAATTACTTTCAATACCAAGTGAATAAATATTTATGTACATATATATACACTGAAGGGCCATTGCATTATGACCACCCTGTTAATAACATGTAGGACCACCTTTAACCCTCAAAACTGCCAGCACCAGGACGGTTATTCTACGCTACGAGAGTCGACAGCAAGTTGTAGGCCGCCAGATGCCGCTGCTAGTAAAAAACAGGTCTGCCCAACATCCTATATTCTCTGAGTACGGAAGTTGTCGAAAGCGCGGTGAAAAGTGTTGCCCGCGTCGTCAATCAGGGTTGTCCAGTTGATGTTACTAAGTAGACAATGGCTTTGTATATGTTTTCTTCCGCTGAGTTTTTCCATATTAAACGAAGAATACCGTCGTAGATCTCTGAATCGGATGGCGAATTTATAGAAAATATGTTGATGCTTTTGCTCTGCCAAAAGATGTTTTCATTGCGTATTTCAGATTGCCAAAATTTATAGTTATTTTAATTTGGAATGAACTGAGAGAGTATTTGGAGCCACATTCAGAAAACAAGAACGCAATTTCTACTGAAAGAAAGGTTATACTATTCCTGAAATTATAGATATAAATTGTAATTGTACGCTTTTAAAAATGTAGTAGAAGATAATAAGTTTATCAAGCACATAAACCTTCTTCATTTAATACAAATATAGACATCCGATAAGCTTCTATCGATTTATGTACAGCAAGAATTACGTTTACTTTAAAATCTAAAACAGTTGAATACCTTACGAATAATACTGTGAACACAAAAAACTGTCGTTCATTATTACGCGAAATTCACACTAAAATAAAAATTTAAAAAAATAATAATAATAATAATTATAAAACTATAAAATAGATTTATAATATTTTTTTCAGTAGTTGTACTACTACTAGTGTGATACTTTTAAAAATAAGTTTTAGCCCAGAGGGGCTATTAATTTCGTTTTGCCATTTTGTGGCATTTCACTTTTCAAATCGTTGCCACCAAGTATTATCGCACTCTATTATATTTAAAGAAATTAAATAATGAGGAATCTGCGGAATGTATGAATGTTTCTCGCACTGTGATAAAACAACGGTACCTAGAGCCATGAAATTCTGAATAACGTAATCCTCCATCCTAATATAGGCATCTGGAGGCCCAAATTTGGAACTGGGAATTTGTATTACTATCCATTTCATATATCATATTTTGTAAAGCATTTATGAGTTTTTGATTAAGAAACCCAACGATTTCAAAGCGAGCAATGGCAAAAAACACTTTCATCTCTAGCGCGCGAGACTATGTATCGGAAATTCAAAAAATATGCTTTTTTAAAATTATATGATATTGCTGTTGAATTGAATTTTATGGTTTAAGTGCGAAAAACATGATATTTAATAAATAAAGGTAACACGCAAAACGTTAAAAAAATGGCCCTTTGGGAGTAATATAAAATCTGAATGCTTTCAGATTTTTTTTTTTTTTTTTTTTTTTTTTTGTTGTGTGTGTGTGTGTGTGTGTGTAATTTTAATACGTTTTAAAACTGGTTTCTAAGTGAGGACTTTCTAAGGGAAACTGGCTTGTATACACGTTACACATGGGGAAAGCCATGAAAACGCCGTCCAGCTCGTTCGCGGGATTCGAATCTCGGACCAAACTACCTGCCTTCAGCGACTCTACGCTCGGCGGCTGGTGGGCTTGTTAGCAGAATTATACTGTATTATTATTGTATTATGCTATAAAGTAACAATGCTATAAGACTGAGGGTTTGTTCATGGAATAGTACTTTTGTAACCTATTATAGTATTAAAAAATCATTGTTCCTTTGCAAACTTTAAAAAAAAAAAAAAAAAAAAATACTGTTCATAGCATTCTCATTTTTATATTGTAAAAGAGATATTGATTATTATTAGTTTTCTATTTAAAATGTGTCGAAACGCTGGTTTGATAAGGACTTGAACTGCAGGAGACCTACACTGTTTATTTTTACTTTAGTACTTCCATTGTGAATGTGAAAATATTACTATCTTTATTATTATTTCAAAGAACAAAATCTTTTGAGAAGGAAGAATATTTAAACTGAGCAGTTCTTATATACAAAATTAAAATAACAGCAATGTAATATTGAAAAAAAGGTATTAGTAATTGTGTGAAAAAAATTGCAAAACGAATTAATCACACATACAGGATAGATTAGTTTAATTGCGATTGGTCTAAAACTCCTTGAAGCCTTGTCCCCTTCCAGTAAAGTTAAATGGACCCACCTGCCCTCCAACTGAGGACCACAGAATGGCTTTCTCCGATAAGTTGTGATGGCTGTCCATACCGGTTCTTTTGAGTCAATATTGTTCGCTCAAGTTGTAGACAGATCCAGTGATCATAGAATAGGCGTCCTAGTGTGGCATTGATTCTAGAAGGGGCAATTAGGTAGTCTTAAGATATCTGGTACTAAGCACTCACCAACTGGTTCTGCTATTCCCGCACATTGCGAGGGGGTAGCATGGCAGCACAAATTTGGTTTTCCAGGTGGGATCACAAATACTCTATTGAATTGATGTCAGGTGAACTTGGGGACCAAGATAGGACTTAAAAATCACTAGAATGTTCCTCAAACCACTCTCTGACCATTCGACCCTTATGACATGGTGCAGTATCCTGTTGATAAACACCATGCTCCTGCTGAAAATACTGTTGTTGTGAATGCGTGAATCTGGTCTGCAACAATGTTCGTGTAGCACACAGACATCAGGGATTGTTCTATGGGGATTATGGATCCTAATGTGCTCCAGGAAAACATTGCTCACACCATAATACCCCCGCTACCAGCTTGTCTTTGCCCAACTGTGCATCCGGAAGCTAGAATTTTGTTTGGAAACTGGCATATTAGCACATGCTATCGATGTGATGGCCCAGAAGATGTGATTCTTCAGACCATGCAACTTCCTTCCATTCTTCTAATGTCCAGTTCCAATGCCCATTGCAGATGCATCTGGTTGTGACATGCCATCAGTACAGGGACATGCTTCAACCTCCGGCTGCGTAGGCCCATATACAGCAATGTATGCTGCATAGTGTGTTGAGAAATACTGTCTGGGGTGCCACTGTTATAGCTGGTGGTGATTTTGGCTATTGTAGCTCATCGATCATGGCAAACAATGCATAGCATTCTTGGCTGTCCTCTGGAATCAGTGTGCCGTCTATCATCCATACGGTACTTTCAGTATGTGCTCACAACAAGTTTGCACATGAACAGCCCACTAAATTTCTGCTATTCCCAGTCGCCGATTTGATCTTTATCGGAGTCTGATAAATAAACTGTTTTTCCCATTATGTCACCAATCACACTGTATTTGGAAAGACAATGCAGAGCCGTTTTATATACTCCAACAGCAGCCACACACATGCAGTGATTTTGTTCCTGGGCGACCTATTTTTATAGATGGAGGGTGGTCATAATGTAATGGCTCTTTGGTGTATATTTTATGTATGTGAGAACTTTATTTTATCCCTAAAAGTATAATAATTTTGTGATTGCATTGATAATTTTAGCTTTCATTTTAATAGATGCATTTCCTGGAGTATTATAATCATGCATTTACACAATTTATTGATAAATTTTCTAGTGTTATAACATTTAACACCTAATTTTAAAATGGCTTTTATCTTAGCTTCCGATAATCATCAGTGCCATAAAAATAATGGAGACTGCCAACAGCTGTGTATACCACTTGCTAATAATAAGCGGAAATGCCTGTGTGGTACTGGATTTCAATCTGATGGAGAGACAGGGTGCAGAGCTTATCAGTCATTTGCCATTGTATCAGAGCTGGAAAAGGCCAGAGGCTTTGGATTGGAAGATGCAAGTGAAGCTATGGCTCCGATATCTGGTGCAGGTATGTATAAAGTGGAATATAAACTGGTATTTGTTGTATGAGATACATGCTGTGGAGTAAATGTTTTACATGATCTTGGTGTGGGTTCCGGATATATATTTACTGGTGTGGGGATACTTATATTACTGCTTAAAGTGACTGTGAACTTAATGTGCGCATCTCACGTAACATACATTTAATAGCACGACCACTTTATTATCACACCAACAAAACAAATAGTTTACACAAAAATAGAACCATATTTATCATTATATTAGTTACAGCATGTTGCTTTCATTACTATCACATTCTTTTCTATTCTATAGTTATGTGAGAGAGAGGCGTTGCTTGCCGTTCGGCTAAAATGCAGATGCATGGTCATCAAGTGATCCCAATGACCTTGTGTATAAGAAAAATTGGATGTAATTTATTGTGCTATGAAAGCAATTACATTGTGCTTTTTGATAATGTTCCAGTTATATGATTAAAAAATCTGAATATATAAAATTAATTTTAAAGTGTAAAATAATTAATTTTAAAGTGTAATTTTAAGATTGCCTGTTTTTCTTAGAAGCCAGAAAAAGTAATTTTTTTTTTTTTTTAACCCTAAGAGCGTTAGTCTCAAAACAGCATTTTCCATCCTTTCACTTTCTGCACTGATTCTCTTTTCGAACTGTTGCCACCAGTTATTGCCATGTATTATATTTAAAGAAACTAAATAATGAAGAATATGCATGAATGTTTCTCACATTGTGAAAAAACAATGGTACCTAGAGCCATCAAATTTCGAATAACATAGTCCTCCAACCGAACATGGGCACGTGGAGGTCCGAATTTTGAATTTGTTTTTTATCTGTTTCAAATGTTGTAAAACTCTGATGAATTTTTGATTAACAAAGTCAACAATTTGAAAGTAAGCAAGGGCAACACTGCATGAAAGAAAACATTTTTATCTCCGACGTGCAAGCCTGTGTATCGAAAATTCTAAGGATATGCTGTTTTTAAATATTTTGTGATATTGCTGTTGAATTGAGTTTTATGTGATTTAAGTGTGAAGAACATGATATTTAATAAATAAAAGTAATTAGCAAAACGTTGAAAAAAAATGCCCTTTTGTGCATAATATAAAATCTGAAACTTTCAGATTTTCTTTAGTTTTCTCTCTCTAGCTCTCTCTCTCTCTCTTTTTTAAACAGTTTGTCAATATTTATTTAGCATTATTTGAACATGTTGTATTTTTTCCCTGCAGGGCACAATATTCTGCATTTAGATGTCCATATTGCAGAAAATCATATCTATTGGGTAGAATTTAATCAAGGTGAAAAGAATGGTATATATCGCATAAAGCCAGATGGAACAGATCTTACACATATCATTTCAGATGGTATTGGAAGTAACGGCATTAGAGGATTAGCAGTTGATTGGATTGCTGGTAAAATGCTTTAATATAATTTTATGGGTAGCATGAATTTAATTTCTTACTAATTGCAAATAATGAGTAACTTTAAGTATTTTTAGAAATACTTAATTCTTATTCAGATTTATTTAACTTAAAAGTTGTTGTGCTCCATTTTAAAATATAGAACATTGTTATGTATATCTTTTTATCCATAATGAATTTTTGAAGTTGCATTTATAATTAAACTTATTATGTGTTATTCAGTACACCTCATTTTGTCTGAAAGTTGAAATTTTATGTATAAAATTTTTATTTTGAATTGAGTTCTATGTTTGTATGTCATTCTTGATTGCTTTTTTACGATTTTTATTAATCTGCACTTGCAGTTTTGGTATGTATTTTATGCTGTGTGCCATTGTAAATTAGTTTCAGTAATAAATACTATTAAATGTCTGGAACTTTTAGTAAATTCACCACTTATTTTCTTATGTTTCTTGGGTAGTCTTATTTAAAGAAAATTTTCTTTCATTTGTTTTACCTTGAAATATATCGATTTTAAAAAATAACATCATCTTTAATAGCAATATTAAAAGGAACTTATTTGGTCGTATGTCTATCCGATGGATAAAGTGTATATTAGATTAGATTAAGATTCTATTTAGAGACTATTTTAATTGAATAACAAAATGAAATACTGAAGTATCATGAAAATTTCGTCCAATGTGATTTTATTTTTAAATTTCTTTCACAGGTAATTTATATTTTACAAATGTGTTCCCTCATGAAACCTTTATTGAGGTATCATGGCTTGATGGTTCAAAACGAATGGTTCTTCTAAAAACTACCACAGATTCACCAAGGGAAATAGCAGTGAATCCAATAAAACGCTATCTGTATTGGATTGATTATGGTCAATATCCAAAAATTGAACAGGCTTTCTTAGATGGAACTAACCGTACTCCCATTGTAGTCACATCAATTAGCAGTCCTAGAGATCTTACTATTGATATTGAAACCCATGATGTATATTGGGTTGATTCAAAAGAAGATGCAGTTCAGGTTAGATTTTGTATGGTATTTTTTTATAATATCAAATGATACTTTTAGAACGTTTTGAATTGCTTTAAAGTGTTTAAAATTATTATAGCTTACATTACTATATATAATTTATTTGAAATGCATTAAACTTAATTTAACTTAATATGCAAAAAATTTTTCATATTGGACTATCCTGAGATTTGCGATATTTTCCTTACTCAGAATGAAGAAAATATTTTTGTTAAAGACAATAAGTAAATTATGAAACTAATATGCGAGGCATTTATGGTAGAATATAAATGTTATAATAATGTAGAATAAAAATACTAACTAAAGAAATCTTATTCTGTGTTGTATGTTTTAGAAATAAACATTTTGATTTTGTGTTTGAATAATCCTATACAGTCAAAAGTCTTTAATCCAGACTCGTTGGGACTTCGGCGATTCCGGATTATCGATTTTTCCAGATTATAGATCATCAGTTTAAATCTGGTAAGATGGCATGCAGAAATTATAAAATTAAAAATATGAAACCGTAATTTATAAAATAATGAGCAATTATGATCTAAAGGGTATCCAAATTTACCAAAAAAGAAGCCTAATATTTATTTACTTTATTAAACATTTCTTTTAACGTGCGGATGCGTAAAGCATACCTTACTCATAGCCGAAATTAGAAAATTGCAACCAGAAAACTATTTGATTTTGTATTCGTGATATTTATAATGACGAGGAATTTGATTTAAATCATATCAAAGACGGAGTACATCGAAATTAAATACTACATTTAGTAAGGAATTATAAGCCGAACTAAAATAAAACATCTGCCCTGAACATAACGATAGTGTTGACAGATCAACTTCCAGTTCATTGCGCGCCGCGACGTGCCCCCCCCCCCCCCCCCGGCGCAGAGCAGCGTGTGAAATTGATAAACAGATTTCGGAACGGTTAGATAAACAAAGGATATGCTTTTATCCATTTTTTTGTAGCAATTCCATTTTTGTTTGATGGACATCGAAACATACTTTCGTTTTCTAGATCCTTTGGGAGCTCCAGCATCGGAAATTCTATTTGACATAATCGAAAGTTCAAGCTTACTTTTATAAAATTGCTCTTACAGTCTGCAAAAATAATAAGCCGGATCCAATTTGAAGATTAAGGAACAACGCAATTATCAACATTAACTGAAATAGATAATTAGATAATTTTAGCTTTTACCGTCCGTTATACATTAAACGCGCACGCAAAAACGTATTCTGCACTTGCGCAGATGCATATGCGCAGTCGTAAATGTCTTGCGCGCACGAGTAAAACGCCTATGCGCATGCGTCAATGCGGCGCATGCGCAGAAAGATTTTAGCTTTGATGTCCGGATTATAGATCATTCCGGATTACGGGTGTCCGAATTAACGACTTTTGACTGTAATGCTTTTCAGAAATGTGGATCAATATTTGTAAGATCTTCTTTTATGAAGTATGAGTAATTTATGTGAAGTAATTTTTTCTTTTCAAATTTTTTATAATTTGCTTATATGTAACATAAACTATTTGTATCTATTTTTTGCATTGGATATAGAGAGTCACATATAATGGAGGAGATAGAACTTACGTATATCGGCGATTGCCAAACCCAATGGGAGTTGCTCTTCATGGATCAGATATTTACTGGGTAGATCGAAATCTTCGTACAATATATAAAGCTCCTAAAAATCCAACAAATACTTCAAAACCAGAGCCAATTATGTCAGATATGGATACCCTACGTGATATAGTTATCTTTGATGGCAAAAATCAGCCTTCTGGTAAGATCTTTTAATGCAAAACTATTTTTATTGTAATTTTAAAGTATACCTTAATCTGACACTTACTTTAAAAAATAATCATATGACTGTATGATAGAATGCAGTTGTCAGTATCTTACTCACATATTTCTAGCAGTATTATGTCACTGCCAGATCTATGTAAGCTAAATTAAGATATTCAAATATCTCATTTGGGACTTTTCTAGCAACTTGTATTTCTTATAAAGAAGAAAAATGTCACCTGACAGCTGCTACATTGAGATTAAAAAATGACTTTCAGTTTTCTTCTTTGTATATGTGTATACATGAGAAAATAAAACAGGTACTCTGAAACTAAAGAGGAGAAAAGAAAAATTATTTTTGATAGTATATGAGACACCAAATCTATATTTATTAATAATAGTTGATCTGTTAAGGGGGGAGAAGGAAAAAAATTCTCTTTCTCGTGCTCTTAATGGTGATTAAATGTTGTATGTTTGATTTCACTTTAAAAATATTTTATTCTCATGTAAAAAGTCTACAGATGTAAATTTGAAAACTCTTGAGAGCTGATAATATGTAATTCATACTTTTCAGTAACTCTGTAGAATTTTCGTACGTGTAAGGTTTTGGAAATGGCACGTTTACTGTTTATATTTAACTTATTATATAACCTAAATGGTTTTCTAAATCATTTTTATCCATTTATAATTAAATGTCCATGGCACGATAGTCCCCAGAAATATTTTTTCAAGGAAGACTGTTGATGCTATCCGAATTTCTGCAAGCTTGATTTAACATGTAGTAAAACTACTGTGTTCCCTTTTTTTTTAATTATTATTTTTTGCCATCTTTTTGAGTATATGCAAAACAATAACCAACTCATGCTTGTACAGGTCACACATGCATTAGTTGATTATTGTTATGCATGTGCTTAAAAATATGCAAAAAAAAAGTGGATTATATATGGTGTGTGGATTAATACACGTTAAATATAACTTAAAATTATACGTATATTATATGTAGTTAAATTACGTTTTGTGTTCATTCGCTGTTAAAATGTAAGTATCAGTCACATAGATATTTGGTTTTTCCTCAAAAGAAATTTTTTTTGTTTGTTTGTTTCTTGAAAATGCATCTTTTTTATTATTAATTATGAACACAGCAATTCTTATAAGGTCTAAAGATAGCTAAACAAATGTTTTTTGCTAATTATCAAAGTTACCAATTAATTAGTAAATTTTTATGAAGTGCATATTCAGAAAGTACCAGAGAATCTTTTCTTGAACTAAAAAATAAATTCTAATCTTTTGTCTTACTATGAACATATTTTTTTTTTCTGAATAAAAATTGGGGCATTATAAAGTTTTAAAGTACAAAAGCATAGTAACTTTACATCCATATAAATTTGAAAAATGTTAATGAAAAATAAAATTTTGCTATACATTTTGTTCCTCTTTTTACAGGAGATTCTCCTTGTGGGCGCCAGCAATCTATAAAATGTGAGCAGCTATGTTTTGCTATGCCAGAGATGCATACTGGAACATCATGGAAATGTGCTTGTGCTTCTGGTGTTCTTATGACTGACCAAAAGAAATGTGGAGGTAAATTTCTTTCTTTTTCTTCTTTTCTTTCCCCCTTTTTTGTAGTTACTTCTTAAACTTTATTTTTATCGTTTCTTTCCTAGATCTAAAAAATATCCTTTTGCTAAAAAAAGGTGAACATTAAAAATTAAACAGTGTTTCAAAAGCACATATTCAGAAATTAACTAAGCTATTTAATAGGTCTCGAAAGGGACTTAATTTACTCCTATGCTTTCTAACATATTGTTGTATTTTCAAAAAGTATGATTAGAAGTGTTTAAAGAGTTTTATTAATCATGTTGTGTATTTTTAATATTTTTAGATTTGAATGAATATATTGTGTTTACAACAAGAAAAGAAATTAGGAGCCTTCACCTTGATCCTAAAGTTACAAGTGTTCCATTTCCACCCAAAACAAATTTATCAAATGTTGTTGGATTAGATTTTGATTACAAGGACAAAAAGATTTTTTTCACTCGTAAGATTTTTAATTATATATTAAATATCTTTTGAACACTTTGTAGTGCTTTTACATAGAATTTTAGTCTCAATATTTAAATGCATTCATATTCAGTAGTACATGTTTTAATATTTGTTGTAGTAAAATGAATTACAATGATTTTTGTATCTTTATATTGTAGGATATTTTTATTGCAATCCTTATTAGTTTTTGAATTTAACATCAAATATTGTTCTTTAAATGTAGTTTTTAAAAAGTTTACAAAAGTAACTATAAATTTAAGAATTAAATCATACGAAAAATTTTAAAATATATTACATTTTATCAACATTATATTTTAAATGAGGAATTTATATTTTCTCTTCTATAAAGTGAAATCTAAATAATAAATTTTCGCTTGAAAAATTCCACTTTCAATTATTGTATGGCTATACTAAGAGGTTTTATTTTTAAATTAATATGCTGGACTTTTTTATTAGATTTGTAGCACCCAAACATCTTATAGGATACTAGATAAATATTTATTTAGACTAAACATGAGAGCATTATATATCTTATCTTATGCATGTTTGAAAAGTGAAGAAACAAATATGTAGCATAATTCGCGCAAATTAAAATTATATATCACTCAAATAAAAGAGTATGGATGACACAAGCGTTGATGAATAATTGGTTTGAAAGTCATTTTATACCCGAGGCTCAGCAACATTTGAATTCGGTTGGTTTACCTGATGTTCGGCGCATACTTCACTAAAATTTTAGTGAAAGATAATGTATCTGTATTATTCTTCCCTCCAAATTGTATGTCTATCATTCAGCCTATGGATATGGGAATAGCCCATAATGGATATGGGCTGAAGTGCAAATATAAAGTAGCATTTTTAAAATCTATGTTAAATTTCTTAAACAATGGCAAGCCTATTCAAGACATTTTGAAATTTTTTAGCATAAAAATCTGCTGTGTGGAGCATCACAAGATCGTGGGAGGATGTGTCTCCAGGTACGTTAACAAATGCTTGGCATAATTTATGGCCAGCTACCATATTTCATGGTGAGGACGATGAAGATGATAGCCGTGAATTTGAAGGTTTTTGGACATCGCAAAACTAAAGGTGATATTTTCCAGTTATTGGATTTTGTAAAGAAATGTGGAGAAGCGGTAATAAATGGAGATGATATAACAGAAGTTTTTCGTTGCGATAACAATTCCCCAATCATCAATCAACGGACGGCGAAATCTGTAGTATGGTTCTAGATCCAGAAAATACCATTTCCAATAGTGAAGAAAGTGACAGAGAGGTATTGAAAATGAAAAAATTTCAATTGACAAGTTAGTTGGTATTCTCGACACAGCAATTACAGAACTTAAACAGTGGAACTTTGTAACTGAACAAGAAATTATGTCTGTTTATAGAATTAAAGAGAAAGTATTGACACAAAGAACGAAGCAACTTAAACAACTTACATTGAAAGAAATGTTTAATAAAGTAAACAAATAAATATTAAGCCTTTTTTTTTTTTTTGGTAAATTTTGATACCCTTTAGATGATAATTGCTCTTTATTTTATAAATTACAGTTTCATATTTTTAATTGTATAATTTCTGCATGCTATCTTACCAGATTTAAATTGATAATCTATAATCTGGAAAAAACCCTAATCCGGAATCGCCGAAGTCCCGACGAGTACGGATTACAGACTTTGTACTGTAATAGAAAATTAGTATTGATGTTTCAAATTGCAATTTTTTTAATAATTTGTCTTGCATTTATTGTATATTTGGTTTAAGATGTATGTATATCAGTTATAAAACATGAAAAATACACAGAAAGCAGCTAATCTTATATAACAGCTGATTGTGAAAGAAAAATTACAGTGCTCTTAATTGCAGTTATAGTGCTTTTAAATCTTCCTATTGTGAATAGCCGTTTTCTAATTGACATTAGATTAAATTAATTCATTATCCATTAGAAAATAATTACAGCAAATTATATCTATCGACGACGTTTTCTAAGAGGTCGCCTTTTGAAAGAGACCTGTATTTTTGTGAACATTAACAAACATTGCAGTGAATATCACATTTCTAAGACCATCCTATCTACAACCAAAATCCTTTAAAACTGTGAATGGTTGCGTTTAAAGAGGACTCACTATATTTTTAATAAAACATGTACATCTTAGTTATGCACTTGCTGCATTTTGATTTTCTGTCAAAGCAGAGGAGCAGTGGTTCTGTTTCTTTAGAAGTATGTGAAATTTAAAAAAAATGGACACTATGTGACAAAAATGGAATTAGATTCAAAACCACACCTCTTGAACATGCCTGAAATTCATTATTCTGCTCGGAATAAATTTATCTAAAGGAAATGTTTAATAAGTATTAGAACTCAAAGGCTAAGTCAGGTCAATGTAGTAAGGGCCATTTCGTCTGAATATATCTTTTCTTAATCATAAAATGATTTTTCGAACAGTGAATGAAATGGGAAAGAGAGAATAAGTGAGAACGGCAGCGGACGAAACGACACTATTTCGAACTCGGCATGAAAAGAGAGAGGACGAAATGGCACTAAGCCAAGGGAAGGCATGCCTTCATGGAGGATGTTTTAAAGGAAACTCGCTCGTAAACATGTTACGCAAGGGGAAAACCACGAAAGCACCCATGCAGTCAGCCTTTCCACCGAGGTTTGAACCCTGGACGAAGTACCAGTGCTCAGCATTTTTACCGCTTGATCGCTGGTGAGCCTTGTGCCTACATGAAAAGCTTAAGAATTGGGTGAATGACGTACAGCTTTTCTATCATTTTTTTATTAATTTTTATTCATCTAACTAACTATTTATTTTTAAACAAACTGTGTAAAATGGGGGGGAAGTAGACGTGTTTATAATTCTCAAATATCTCATCAGATTTAAAATTGAGCAAAAAAGCAATCTTAGATTGATGTAGGTTTTGAATAGAATGAAAATCTGGACCAATTTAAGGTTCTTCTCTTATTATATTATTATTATTTTGGTCTAATTGCAGGTTTCTCTACGTATGCGAGGTCTAATTACAGGTTCTTGATTGTATGCTTGTGATTGTGGGCCTGTGTTATTTTTATATGTATAACATATATATATTAAACTCCCCCTTTTACTTTAGAAAGGAATACAGTACAAAGTCTGTAATCCGGACGTCCATTATCCGGAATGATCTATAATCCGGCCCTCAAAGCCACAAACTTTTTTTTTTTTTTTTTTTTTTTGTATTCTTTATGCATGCATGTTTAATGTTATGCATGCACGTTTAATGTTTACGCATGCACATTTAGCACAAAAAATGAAGCAACTTAAACAACTTACATTGATAGAAATGTTTACTAAAGTAAACAAATAAATATTAAGCTCTCTCTCTCTCTCTTTTTTTTTTTTTTTTTTGTAAATTTTGATACCCTTTAGATTATAATTGCTCTTTATTTTATAAATTGTGGTTTCATATTTATAATTGTATAATTTCTGCATGCCATCTTACCAGATTTAAATTGATAATCTATAATTCGGAATCGCCGAAGTCCCGACTTTACGGACTTTGTTCTGTAGGAATAATTTTAAGAACTGCATCTTTTGTTTTTAAGTATCTTAGTTTGTTACTCAATAATAGATAGATTAAATATGAATGATAGAGTGGATGACAGAAACTCATGTTTCAAAAGTAATAGCTATTTTGGGCTTAAAAAAATGCAAATTTTAGAAATATCAAAGGGTTTAAAATATCTGTCATCAATGCTTAGAATTTTTATAGTTCTAGTCATTTTATTATTTACTATCATAAAAAATATGCTTTCATTTATAAAATGTTAAAATTAATGTGGATGTTATTACTCCAACACCTGCAGATTGTATTAGACAGCATCTAAAATTAGTTAAATGTAAAAAATTATAGAAAATCCAGATTTAAATTTTATCTGCATAAAATCGATTGTAAAGTATACAACCACAAACAAATCGATACATACAAATCGATTGTAAAGTATATCAGACTGTTTTGTTCTGTGATTTTCTAACACTAATATTGAAATGGGTTCAGATGTCCTGAATACATTGCCAGCCGCTTATTAAAATCACTTCACTCAAAAGTATTTGAGTTTATTAAGCATTTGAATTTTATAGATGGCAACATGTGTGTTGTGAACCATGATACCACTTTTAAACTTTTCAAAATGATTTAGTGAATAATATTGATTTAAAGAATTTCACTGCTAAACTCAGGCAATTTATTATGTTTGGATTTATGGCACAAAATCTGAAAATTATTGTAAACTTTGATGAAATTATTACTTACAATTCACTCTAGTGTGAATTCTACAAGACATACCTATTTAGCTCTAATATCTTTCCCTTTTGTAGAAATACGTCCTGATGGCAGCATATCGTGGGCCAATCTCAATCAAATGGATAAAATAAATGTGATTTTAAATAAAGGTGTAAATCCAGAAGGTATTGCTTATGATTGGACTAGAGAAAAGATCTATTGGACTGATTCTGGAAATCGCAGTATATATGCTATGAATATGGATGGTTCGCAGATAGTTATGATCACCAGAGTTGAAAGACCCAGGGCAATTGTTTTAGATCCTTGTGAAGGGTATGCTAATTTAAAGCTGTTGTTTCTTAACTTTAATTAATTTTAATTTGAAGATAAAGCTGTTATCAGTTCATTTGTGTAACAGCACAGAATTTATTTATTTATTAAATTATTGTGCTTTTAAGTATCATGTTTTTTTTTTTTTTTTTTTTTTTTTTTTTTTTTTTTTTTTTTTTTTTTTAAATTTTTATTTATTTATTTATTTATTTATTTATTTATTTTTTTTTTTTTGCTAGTGGTATATTTTTAACTTTCATTTATTTTGCAGGTACATGTATTATACTGATTGGGGTCGATTTGGAAACACTGGGAAAATATATCGAGCTACAATGGGCGGAAATAAAAAAATTGCTATACTTGAAAGTAATCTTACTCAGCCAAGTGGTTTGGCTATAGATTATGAGGATAGAAAATTGTATTGGACTGATGCACTCAGGTATGCACTAGAACTATTTTTCAGTTTTATCTAGCTATTAATCTACTTTCAGTTTTAAAAAAGTAACATAGTAATTTTCACTGCATGTTTTAAAATTTTGTTACTGAATGTGAAAACTGCAAAATTTGATGAAGTCTCAACTGCTGAATAAGGTTATAACTTTGTATGAAGGTGCACTTAGTGTTTAATCAGTCAATATTTGCATTTAATTTTGTCTTACATGAAGAAAGGTTAGCTACACAATAATATATGCATGAATTATTGTATTTATTATCATTGTATTTAAATGTACTTTGATAAACAAAGGCAAAGTCAATGCAGGAAAATTATAAAAGGAAATTAGCCAAACAATAGAAAATTTAAAATTCTTATTAAATATTAATATATTTTTACATCAGAATCGCATTATAAAAAGTTCAATAACTGAATCCTGCATTATAAAATAAGTCAAAATTGGAGTTCTTTTGAAATGGACTCTAATTCAAATGACAAAAACCTCCCAGAACTCCCATTCTTCATATTTCAAGTTTGAAAGCTCTCATACATGCATTATGGTAATCTAGACGTGAAAAATCTTACATCACACTAAGCACTCTAAATGACTGAAAAAAAAATGGAATGATGAATTAATTGTGCTATGGTAATGATCACACATCACATTAAGCACTCTAAATGACTGAAAAAAGGGATGATAAATTAATTGTGCTATGGTAATGATAGATTATATTTATTCCCTTTTTTAAGTAATAGTTTGATGATTATGTGACTAAGATTTTTTGGACCCTGTGATACAAAGCCTTATTAAGTTTGATTTAAATTCTTTTTCTTATAAGTTTGTCATACAATCTGAATCATGGCTTAATATCATCTTTGGGCTTTAAAAACAAATTGTGATTTCACGAATGATTACAGAATCTTGTCCTGAATTTTATCTGAAGCAAATCTCTAGAATGTCCCAAAACTTCTTTTTAGTAAAAGCTTTAGCTTAGATGTAGGAATAGGTTGTTTACATTTTTTTAAAAGCATGCAGAAGATCTTATACTGATGTCTCTTTTACTCACCCATTAAAATTTTTTCAAGTATTTGTAAAATTCTGAATGTTTCATATCAAGTCTTTTCGAAAACTGATTATAGTTTTAGTATTTTTTTTTTACCATTGTTATATGTTATGTTTGTCATTATAATTTTACCCCAAAAATTTCAGGGAGAAGATAGAACGGTCAGATTTAGATGGAAAGAATCGAGAAGTACTAGTTTCTGCCACTATATACCCATTTGCTATCACAGTTTATGGCAAATACATCTACTGGACAGATTTACAACTAAGTATGATATTAAATGTATTGTTTTTATTGTTCGTAGAACTCTTTTTGAGTTATCTTTTAAAATGCTTTAAATGTGTTTTTTATATTTTTCTTTGTTTCTTCAATTTATTTCACAGTAAGGAGCAAAATGATATTTTTAATGTTTTTAATTACGTCATAGTATTTTATAATAAATGCGTAAAAGTATCCAGTTAATTATACTTAATTCAATAACTAGTTTGTTATGCTTGTCATAATTAAAAAATGTTAAACTAAAAACTAAATTTTAGTAGGAACAACCAGAATGAATTTTAATGCAATGAGACTGTGATTTTTTTTTTTTTTTAAATAACATACTAACTCTTTCACAACCAACGCATCCAAGACAGCCTTTCATTCAAACAACAACAGCTGTGTTTTGGACTGTAGCTACGAAATAACGAAACTAATTTTCTTTTAAATCCATCTTTTATTCTATTCGAAAATTAACCGCTCAAGTAGCAGCCATTCAAAATTCCAAGCAACAATTTTCTCATCAAACAAACTAATAAAAAGAATTACGAAAACAAACTATATTGACGCATGTGCGTTACAAAAGTCATTGCTAGGCAACTGAGTTAGAGGCGAAAGGCTTTGTATAGCAGACATTCAGGCACCAACAAGCTGCCTGAATGGCTAAAATTGCAAACATTGTTCTACCCTTCTCCTTAAGTACATGATAGCCTAATGTGCATTTCCCCAAGTATCAGGTCATCTTTATTGTGTAGACTGTCTTGTCTTGAAGGATTCTTTTGTGGTTCCTTGGGGAACCACAAAAGGTAACTTAGTATACACTCAAGGTAACTTAGTGTATACACTGAGTTTAAAGGTAACTTAGTATACACTCAGTGGTGTGTAATGGCAGCTCCTTTGTTAGAAATTTGAAATGATGTCATTTGAAACTTTCACACATCTTTGTTCGTTAATGAATTGAGGGAGAAATTGTTATAAATTTCAAATGGACTTTGAGGTATTTTGGCATTTTAAGCAAACAATTGTGTGATGACCTTGGCCTTCAAAGAGTTAAAATTTATTTATTTAAGAGATATTAATTAATCATTTAACCCCCCCCTTTTTAACCATTTGTTGTGTGGGCTTAGTATAGTAAAAAATTTAAATTAGCATTTTTAGTCTTAAAATCTTGTATTTTCATGTGAAACTTGAAGCAGTAAATTTTTCTTTGTATTATTTCTAAAAGCATTGATTCACCCTTCCCAATAGCAATAAGAGTTTTTTTTCTTCCCCCCCCCCATTTATGTACAATTTGGGTAGATTTTCTTTGTGTAATAAGGCTATGAAACTGCAGTTGAGAGTTGTGGAATTCAGTACCTCCTTTTCTAAACCTTTATATCTTATACTTTTATGTTCTTCTAAAATTACTTACTTTTGTAAAGCTTTTTTCTTTAAATTATATAAATAAATAATTAAGTTAGTATAAAATTTTCTAAAATGTTTTAAAAACATTTTGTAGGAGGTGTTTATCGAGCAGAAAAGCATACTGGTGCTGGAATGATTGATATGATAAAGCGATTAGAGGAGTCTCCACGTGATATTCACATCTATGCACCCGATCGACAGAAGTGTAAGATAAAAAAATTATTTGAGCTTTAATTATGTAAATTTTCTTCAAGTTAATTACTTCATCATTTTGAAATATATTTGTATTATATTATTCTAATATTTTAGTAATTTTTTTTAACATTTGAGTTTAGTTTTTTATATCTCTTATGTTTTATTTATTAAAAAATGTTTTTAGAATATCCTCTTATAATTGAAATAAAGTTATTAAGTATTTCATTGCATGTTCAATTACAATTATGAATCGAGCCATTTTGAAACTTTTTTATGGAAGGCATACTTTTTTGTGGTAAATTATTCTTCCATACTTTTCATTAGCCCCTTTGTATATTTATTTAAGTTTCTAATCAATGCAATATATTTTAAGAGGAAACATTTATTATACAGGTGATAAAGATCTTTGCAAGATAAACAACGGAGGTTGTGCTCATTCATGTCATCCAGCACCAAATGGAAGTGTGGAGTGCTTATGTGCGAAAGGCTATAAAGTTGTCAATGAAGGTCGCATGTGTGCTGGTAAGAAATTTATATAATAAATTTAATGTCTTCATAAAAATTAAATTAATTCAAACTATTTAGTTATAAGAGTATAGAAAACATATAATACATCTTGAATACTGTGATTAGCACATGTAGTTTAAGTATTAAATGTGAAGATTAAATTTACATACTTAAAATTATATTTCATCATGTGAATTTTATCTCCAATATTTAATGTAATAAATGTTTTTCACTTTCAGAATTGCATGAAAACAGCAATTTAATTTTAGTTCATATATTTTTACCTTTCAGTAATATGTGTATTTTAAATGTTTTAGCTGAAAATATAACTTGTGCTGATAACAAATTTACATGTGGAAATGGCAAATGTATACCTCGTTTATGGGCATGTGATGGTGATGATGACTGTGGTGATAACACCGACGAAGATGAAAAGTTTTGTGGTATGCAGTAGTTTGTGATTATAAACTTTGATTTAAATAAGATTATTCAGAGTAGATTACATTTTTGAAAAATATTAAAATATGTAAAAGTACTTTGCACTTGGTTTCAAATTATTTTGCTTGCTATTCAATAACTTTTATCATTTGTACCTAGCTCTACATACATGCAGTCCAGCAGAATTCCGATGTGGCATCGGACGTTGCATATTCAAAAATTGGAAATGTGATCATGAAAATGATTGTGGTGATGGGACAGATGAAATGGACTGTGGTATGTTGCTAAAAGTATAATATTTATATCTGAGTGCATATTGCTCACTGCTTGTGTTAAAATTTCCTTTATATAATAAAAATAATTTGTTGAAATTTTCTTTATATAATAACAATTTATAAAAATTGCATATTTTCCTTTAAATTTATAATTTAGTGTATATATTTATTTTTTGTGCATAATGTGCATTAGGTAAAAACTCTCTAAATGTATATTTTCATTGTTTGGAGTAATATGGTAATGTATGCTTCTAGGATATTATTTTAAAAAATATTAATTTTTTGCATTAGAGTTATTTGTATTTATTGAGTCTAGGGAAAAGTTTGTGACGTTTTTGGAGTAAAATTGGACTAGTTTTCTTATAGTGTGAAATAAAATTTATTTAAACCAAATTGCTCCATAAGTATTAGCAATGTTTCTTCAGGTAGAGCCATGATGCCATCAGTGAAAAACTTCTGTGGTTTCCATTTGAAAAACTGAATCAAGTGGTTTTTCAAGGCATCTTTTGAAAACTGACTGAATTCCAGTGAGAGAGCTCTGCAGAGATTGGAACAAGTGATAGTCCGATGATGCTATGTCTGGACTATACGGTGGATGCATCATAACTTCCCACGTGCAATTTTTGACGAGTAATCAAAAATGTGTGTGGTTGAGTGTTGTCATGATTGAAGGCAACACCTTTCCTATTAATCAATTCAGGCCATTTTCTTTCAATTGCCTGGCATAATCTCTTCAGTTTTTCAAAGTAGAGTTGAAAATTAATTGTCTGACCAACTGAAAGTAGCTCATGGTGGACTCATTGCTCATGCTTTTTGTAGCCAACTTTGTGTAAATGGTTCAAACCAGTTTTGTGGTCAAATCCCAGCTCCATACCAATGTTAGCACTGCTGATGAACTTATCTTGTTGGACTTTTGAAAGAATTTTGTCAGCTTTTTCAGTGATTGTATTCCCAGAGCATGACTCATCTTTTACGTTGAAATTACCAGAACGAAAGCAAGCAAACTATTTCCATGCACTGTATAAAGCACAAATTTTTTCACAACCCTGCGTGATGTCCTTTCCTTTAGTATAATAATAGTGCAAAATATAGCACAATTTTCCCTTACTTTTCTCCATTATCAAACCCCCACATCTTTCCACCCACTGCAAGACATTTGATTTTTATATACTCAGAGTAACTTTCAAAGAATTACCTTTCTAATGAGCCTCTGATGTCACTGTGATCTTTGTTTCTTGAGTTATTTGCCATTCATGCCATCTGTCAGGAAAAATGCCACAAACTTTTTCCCAGACCCAATATATATATGTATGATTTTCTTTCTGTAGAAATGATGTAAGAATTAAACTGAAATATAAAATATTTATAGCTATTGTGCATGGCTTATTAATTAATATGAAACAGCTTATTAATTCTTCAAAGGAAATTACTGAAGCTATTTAACAAAATGATTAATCTGGAAATGGTATTCCACTGTGTTTAAATATTGGTGTCTCTTGCATAGCTGTAAAGAGTTTCAATGATCTAATCAAGATATGTTTTTGTAGTTTACCCACCATGTGCTGAAGGAGAATTCACTTGTGCAAATTTCCGCTGCATTCCAAAGTCTCAGTTATGTAATGGAGTTAATGATTGTAAAGACAATAAAACATCAGACGAGAGTCTGGAGCATTGTGCAAATAACAGGACCTGTCCAGGAAACCATATTAAATGCAATTCAACTAATATCTGTGTAGAACCATATTGGCTTTGTGATGGTGATAACGACTGTGGGGATAATTCAGATGAAAATCCAGCATTGTGTGCTCAAAGAACTTGCCCACCTAATAGTTTCAGGTAAATTATTAACTGTAATTACCGTATTTGATGGCATATAAGACGCACCCTTATTTAGAAGGCCACACACATGTAGATGTAGAAAAATTTATGTGTGTCTAGACCTTTATATGGGCTAAAAATAGCATTCAGTATTGAAAGTTAACCTGTGTCCTTCACATATAAGACGCAGGTAACGTTTTTGAGACCAAATTTAGGAAAAAAAATGCGTCTTTTATGCCGTCAAATACAGTACTCCTTATTGTTTGTTTTTTCAGTAGTAATTATAAATCATATATATGTTACTTAAAATATAAATCATATATATATTAATTCTAATGCCCTGTATTATAAAAGAAGGGAAAATGAAGTAATAAATTTTATGAAAATGTAAATTTTTTGAATTTGAATTTTAATGGGAACAGCAAAGTATTTTATAATCTGTATTTTTGATTACTTTTGATTCAAAATTTTTATGCTGGGCAATTTAAATATTTTATGGGAATATGTATGTAGATTTTATTTCCTTAAATATTCCTGAGCATATATTTCAATTGTGCAGTTATCTAGAGTAAAGTAGAGAATTTTATGAAAACAATATTGGAAATAAAAGGTATTATAAATTTAAAATGCAGTTTTTGTGTGATGTGTTTAGATCAGTCAGTCAGTTGAGTAAAATGTTCTTACTGTATTTTGATACAAAACTTTACATACTTTTATACACAAAATTCGTTGTTGTTGTTGTTGTTGTTGTTGTTGTTGTTGTTTTTGTTTTGTTTTTGATTTTAGATCAAATTTTGAGAAAAACTACAAAAGTTGACCATTCTGATGATTAATGATTTCATATTAAGTTACATAGCACTCATTATTAAACGTGCCACTGTTCTTATAGAAATATTAATAACTAACATAACTGTGATTATTGCAGGAAAAAATATGAGATTTATTATGTTTGTCTTTTAAAGGCGTAATGAATATTTTATTAATTGCACATCTTGCATAAATGTAGTAAATTCAGTGCTGAAACTCCACAAGTAAAATTATGTTTCTGTTTATTGGAATTATACTACCAATACATGAAATATTTTTTAAAATAAATATTCCTGTTGTAAGAGTTACAATTTCTGAATTTTGTAGATGCTCAAGTCATCGTTGTATACCAGCAACATGGTATTGTGATGGAGATGATGATTGTGGTGATGGAGCTGATGAACCAGAAGAATATTGCAAAAGTGAAAAGAAAACTTGCTTTGGCGATCTTTTCACATGTGACAATGGTAACTGCATTCCTCGAATTTATATTTGTGATGGAGACAATGATTGCTTGGATAATTCAGATGAAGATGAACGGCATCAGTGTGGTTAGTTGATAATTTTCTTCAAAAATCTTTAATCTGTTTGCATATTAAATTTGACCTAACATTCTTTATATCAGTAAAATAGTTTAACCTGGTTTGTCTTGCATTGAGAAATTTATAAAAACCTATAAAAGATATTAACCACTCTTTTAATTTTTGTTAGATTTGAATTAATTATTTCTTAGCTTGGGATTTTTGTCTCTCCTATCTATTCAAATTTATGGCAGTAAATAATGGAATGCCAGTTTATTATGTCAGTTTTTGTACATCTTATTGAAATCATGCATTTAATTTAGTAAACAGTATTTAAGTTGAAATAAGTGTCATCTTATGTTTAATTACTGATGTATTACTATAAAATGTGAAATTGATCTGTCATGGAATTGCTTTATGTGATTTATAACTTGAGTATTTAAATCTTTTATGGTATTCTGTTGCAGAAACTAGGGAATGTGATGCAGAGAAGGAATTCACATGTCCACAAAACAAACAGTGGGGACGTGCCTCTTGTATACCTAAGAGATGGGTTTGTGATGGAGATCCTGACTGTGTTGATGGGGCAGATGAAAACAGTACCTTGCATAACTGCCCTCCCCCTGATCCATGTGAAGAGAACCAGTTTCAGTGTGATAATCGAAGGTGCATTAATAAAGAATGGGTTTGTGATCATGATAATGATTGTGGGGATGGCTCTGATGAACCAAAGAATTGCAGTAAGTGTTCTTGTTCATGCTGTACATTTTAATCTAAAGCATCATAAATAACTTACATGTGACATGCACTGAAATGTGAAATTACAGTAAACTCTCAAATAGGAGAAACAAATAGCATTTAAGGAAGAATGTACGTATTAAAATTTATTAAAGAGATTAAATGCTCTTACTACAGTATGTGTTAAGCTCTTTCACTTTAATTATACCTAAAAGAGCAGTATTATTTGGTAAAATTTCAGACTTTTGTTATATATACACTGATGAGCCAAAGCATTATGACCATCCCTGCATTTTTCAGTGAACTCGTTTGGATAATTTAGAGACCCTGTGATTAAGTGAGAGTGGTATTTAACTACTGCTGGAGAAGGTATGGAATCATTCTTGCACTTATTTTTGCAAGTGATGGGGAATGGCTGCTGATTTAAGCGAATGTAATAGAGGATAGATTGTAATGGCTCTTTGACTAGGAATAAGTATTTTCAAAACTGCATGACTGCTATGGTATTCATGATCTTCTGTTGTTAGTATTTATTCAAAGTGGATAAATTACAGTGAAAGCAGCAGTAGATGACAAGGGGTTGGACGTCCACACATTATCAAAGAAAAAACACATCAGAGACTGTTCTGCTTGGTACAGCAAAATCAGTGCCAGACAGTGGCTCAGCTGACAACCCAGTACAGCGTAGATCCAAGTGCAAATGTTTCAGAACACACAGTTCAGAGCACACTGTTGGATATGGAACTGTGTAGCAGATATCCCACTTATATACTTCTGTTGACCAAGTGTCATAGTCAACTATGCCTACAATGGGCCTGGGATTATTGAGACTGAACCATGGATTAATGGAAGACAGTTGCATGGTCAGATGAACCACGATTTCTCATTCATTACTTCGATGGTCATGTCAGGTTGTGGTAGAACAGACCATGAAAGCAGCAGAATATCTGAACATAACTGCAGATCAGTTGCACCCTTACATGGCATCTGTCTTCCAAACTGGAAATTCAATTTCGAGCAGGACAATGCCCCATGTCACAAAGCTCAAATTGTGTTGAAAGTGATTCAAGGAGCATACGGATGAATTCCAGTTATTGTCTAGGCCACTTAACTCAACTGATCTTAACCTGATAGAGCCCATTTGGGATGTCATGGTACTGCAGGTCAGAGCTCAAACACCACCTGTTGGAATATCTTGACTTTGTGTAACTACTGCTTAGACATTTGGTACAACCTGTCTCAAGTTATTTTGTGGCATCCAAGGCAAGTTGCAGCTGTTTTGTAAGCCAAAGGTTGCACAATGCATTATATGTAAGTGGTCATAGTATTTTTGGCTCTTCAGTGTTATACATATGTATAATTTATAACACTTTACTAAACTTTATATATATCAAGTTTAGTAAGGAAGTTTCTTTTCGCTTTTGCTTTATACCCTTCATACTTGACAATTTGAAATTGGTAAATGTTGTTATATTTTATACATTGATTTATTTTATTTTGTATTAAGTATTATTTTGTATTTATTTGTATTTTTTAAATTTTGTATATTGTTTTAGCTAGGTTGAATTAAACATTTTTGTATCATTTTATCCCCTGTTTTAGTATTTTTTCTGAATCATTTCTATAAAAATTATTATTTGGGTTTGAAATATGAATTCATAAGCTTATTTTGTTAGTATTGGCTTTATATTTGTGTAGATCTCTATAAATCAAAATTAAATTTTTCTCATTTTCCTAAAGCATTTAGAAATTGCACAGATGAAGAATTCACATGTCGCAACGCTAAATGTATACGAAAAATGTATCATTGTGATGGTGAAGATGATTGTGGTGATGGAAGTGATGAGCTGGCCAAAGATTGTGCAACGGAAGCACCTACCTGTCCTGGTGCTCAGTTTCGATGTAAAAATGGACAGTGCATTCCATATGAACGTGTCTGCAATAAGCAGATTGATTGTGATGATAGCTCAGATGAACCTGCTCATTGTCATGTTGATGAATGTGCTAAAGTTGAAACAAATCAGTGTGAGCATAAGTGTGTCAACACCTTAACTAGTTTCTACTGTGAATGCAATGAAGGATATGAATTAGCAAAGGACGAAAAGGCATGCAGGGATATTAATGAATGTGTTGTGAAGCCTGAAGTATGCTCCCAGTATTGTTTCAATACACCAGGTTCATATTATTGTAAATGCAATGAAACATATTATGAAAGAGAACTTGATGGGCGTACATGCAAAAGAAAGGATGGTAAATATGACTTTTCCTTTCTTCCAGTTTCATGGTCACAATTTGTAATAATTAATTGTTTTATTTTATAGTAATGCTCATATAATGATTAAATTTTTTTATCTTATTCTGACAAAAATCGAAAATTAGAGCTATTAAATATTGAATTTTAAGTTTGAAGGGATGGCAGTTTTAATATTAAAAATTAAAATAGTTGCTAAGAGTGTATTTGAAATTATAAATTGAAATCAGTTGATAATTTAAATTTAGTCTTAATTGTACCTAATTCATAGAATTGTATACTGACAATTAATTCTAAAAATATTATATCTTTTAAAGTGTTAAATATGTTTGATGATAAACAAAAAATCGTTATATGAGCATTTAAAAATATTAATTGTTTTTATAATTATTCTGAAACTGCTCTTAAACTGGACATTTTATAGATATTAATACCTGATCTCTTTATGACTTAATCAGTGATCTGTAATTGGTTAGTAATATAATTAGAAACAAACATCATCCTAAACATCTAAGTGTTAGCAGAATTCTCAGAATCTATCCAGTGATCTTATTCTGTCTATCAAAAACCTAATAATCTAAAAAGAAAGAAATGTACTAAACTCATTATTAGTGATTCACAAACGATTATATTGGAGCTGAGGTGTATAATATGCAGTGTGAGAATCATCTTTTATTAATTACATTCATGATGCATATATTTAAAAAATTGATAACTATATCAATTATTATTATTATTATTTTAACTGTAGTTTACGCAAATTAGGTATGTAATCAAAAAATTAAAGAAGTAAATTTTTAAAAATCATGTACATTGGTTTTAATTTTTCTATTTGTTATGCAGTACATAGTTTGCTTGAAAAATGATGAATCTCTTTGTACTGATCTTAAGTCTTGCAGAATAGCAGTGCTTATGAGAAATGGCAATTTGCCCAACTGCATGAACAATAAATGGTAGTCTAATATGAAATAAAAAAGGATAAGACTAAGTTATAGACATTATAACATCAGTAACTCCTTGCAGCTTATAATTAGAAAATTACCAGGTTTGAAAATCTTGTACTGCATAAAACTTTCATGCAATATAAGGTGATTAAAGTACCTTACTTAAATTGTGTCAGTCTGATATTGTGAGCCATTTTTAAGGGTGCTTTTAATACACAGTTGATAATGATTGTTTGATTTTGAATAATAAATTTTAGCTTGAAAGAATTGACTCTGAAGAAAGTTCAGGCATGCTTCTATAGCAACAGCAGTAATCATTTGTGGTAGATCTGACCTTGACCTATTTTTCCTATTCACTTAAAAAAGATTGCTGTGTTTACCCGAAAACAGCTGCTTCTTATTTAAAATGAGATTAAATGTTGTTTTCTCTTTTCAAAGAATAACATTGTTCCTTTTTCAAAGGCCTTCCCAATAATCGTAAGATAGAATAGAAGAGAAACACGCAATGTGACAATCAAAATCACAATAACAACCTTGTATTTAGCGTACATATATTAAAACTCTCAATCGATTTCAAGGGCAGCTAAAAGTCCCTCCTCATCAGGAGAACGAAATTACTAAAAAGGCGGAAAAAGAAGAAAAATAAAGCATTGGCAAAGAAGTCTCAGAAACACGTGATCGTTATCAGCACTGCACATGGTCGTAACCGGATTTTGAATCAGAGTTACACTGGCCGCCTACTTTTACTGAGCCAGGCTATCTGATTAAACATATAACACATAGACTAATGCAAAAAAATCAGCGAACACATAGACTAATGCAAAAAAAATCAGCGAAGTCAAAAAATAGGGAGCGAGGGGCAACTGCACCTTCATGCACAAAGTCTGAACCTCATTCAAGTTTCAGACTTGATGTACTTTTGGTATATTTTGTTAATTTTATATTGAACTGTATTTATATTGAACTGTATTATATCACCCACAAGTTTTGAAAAAAATAAAAGAGAGGGAGGGGGGAGGAAGAAGAGCAAAAAAGTCATCTCTTAGTTTTAAGTGATTTTAGAAACTAGTAGTTAATATGAAATTTACCGTATTATTTTATCTTTAGAAAATATTAATTTTTTTTTCTTTTTTCCCCAGCAATTGAACCATGGATCATCTTTACCAATAGATATTATCTTCGAAATATGAGTACTGATGGCAAAAAGTACAACCTGATTAAAATGGATTTGAGAAATGTAGTGGCTCTAGATTTTGATTATTCAGAAGATCGGCTGTACTTCTGTGATGTAGGAAATAAAACAATAAGTCGTATATTCATTAATGGTACTGGAGAAGAAACTTTGATAAGGCATGACACACAAGGACTAGAAGGGTTGGCTGTTGATTGGATTGGAAGGTAATATTTTACTGTAACTAGAGTGTTTACCCATATTTAAATTCTTTATTTTTTGCATGTTATTGTAAAATTTCTCTAAACTCTCAATTAATTGTGAGATAATACAGAATTCAGATCATAAAATGTATGTTTATCTCTTTGTACAAGTATAATCCTGTGACTATTGAAATTCACTTTCTTAATGAAATTACACTGGTATCCAAAGTTACAAATACAAAAATTGTAATATCTCAAAAAATAAATGGTTTATTATAATTAATTTAAGTTCACTGATGCCCAGTGTTATAAAAAGACTGATAGCAACATAGCAAAATAATCGAGGTAAATATTTTGCAACATGTAAATACTAAATCTAAAAATCATGAAAAGATGGCACATCAACAAAATGATAGGTGTCGCAGTTCTACACAACTCTATATGCCTCTAAATGAGTCTTAATAATTTAAATGAGATTGTTTATCATAGCTTGTGGCAACAAATCCTGTTTTTCTGAAAATGATGAATTTAATACCCGTAGAATTCTGAGATGATGTTGGCATTATGGAGCATTATTTCAGGCTCTTTCTAGAGGATTCCAAACTTGCTGTATTGGATTCAAGCCCAGCAAATTCCATATTATATATTGAAACATTATGCATTTTTCTTTCAGGAAATCTTTGACCAAATGAGCTTTGTGTATCCTCACATTATTTTCTGTAAATATAAAGTCCTTCCCAACAGCCTTCTGGTAAAGCCTTAACATGAACATCATAATGGCCACATCAAAGACATGCAGTAGTATGTAATGTCGTAGAATGATAGCAGACCCCAGGCTCTCTTGAGGTGATGATTTGTTGAGAATCGCTCTGTGTATTATACCTCAACTCATCACTGACATTAACATGCCCCTAATCTTGCTGCATCTGAAAATGATGTATCTGTTCCGCAAAAGATAGCTCTTTATAAGTTTATGTGGAAATTATTGTTCCAGGTTCTCTTGCATCATGCTACAAATTGACCTCTGCAGATATCATTCCTCTTAGTTGGACCTTCTTATTAAGATAAATGTAGGTCTGGAATTTGTGCTATAACCTAGATACTGTCTGAGAAGCTCACAATAATTGAGTAATTTCCACTACCCAGACTTAAGCCTTGTGATGGCTTTCCATCTCAATTCATTATCTAAATGATTGTTAAAACTGATTTTAACAGAAAATAGTCAATCTTGCAATGTTACTTTTACACTTCCTTCACTACTAGTACTTGCTGCAGGGACATATACAATTCACTATATTTCACCTTCATTTTGTGATGAGCTTCAGTTGGTCCAGACTGAGTTTCATCAGCAACTACCAGTTTACAGCAATTAAGTCCAACAACTATCAGTTTTCAGCTACTCAAAAAATACATCAGAGACTGCATCAAACATAGTGCTTGTTGTATCCTTGCATTGACACTGCTTCCTCCTCAGTGATGTAGCATCATATTGTCACTTGTTGATCATTCTTGGAATGGTAAAGATAACTTTAGCCACAAATAAGTCATACAACTTTTCAGAACTGTATTATACTTTTAAGATATTTATTTGAATCACTTAATGTATTTCCATTGTAGACTTTGGAAGAAAAAACTTAAAAGATTGCTCAAATACATACATATATTTTCCATATGTTATCTCTACATGATATCTGTTAGTTACATCAAACCTGGATGTACAACAGAAATGGTAATAATGTGCCCATAAATATTTGTCTGTTCGTGCCTTTAATGTTAAATGTGTAGTGCAATAAAAGTAAAACTCATCGTCCATCTAATCTCTCGGCTGCACAGGGGTAAAGGAGCCCAAAGATTATGTGTTTGAAAGCATATGTTATTCAGTTAATTTCCTAAAACTTAATTCCAAGTGGTACTTTAGCAGAATTCACTAAAAATACATAAAATCAAGTAAGTTACCATTTATCATTTTTATGGCTTAAAAAATCAGTTTCACAAAAATGGTAGTATTGTCAATCAAGGTCCTTCAGCTTATATAGGAAACATTATGTGTAATGGTTAATTTAAAGGAATTTTTTAATTCATGATGTTGGTAAATTAGAAATCATTTATTGCTTTATGTTGATTAATAAATTATCATTTTTAAAGATTTAAAATTTTACTTAGATGTTAAATACTTGTTATTGCAGAAAAATATACTGGTTGGATCGTACTTCAAAACAATTAGATGTTGCTGAACTTGATGGAAGAAATAGAAAAACCTTGCTGACGAAAGGAATATCTGATCCGCGAGCACTTGCTGTTCATCCTGGCATTGGGTAAGATTGTAATTTTCTATGTGTATTTTTCCTTTCTAATTAATAAATTAATAAGGAAATGTATTTTCAGTAGTATACATTAGTCATCAATAGTATGATGCATGTTTACAGTTCATATAATTTTTGCAGGTACTTGTACTTTACTGATTGGGGACATCATGCATATATAGCTCGTATGGGAATGGATGGAAGTAACTTCTCACGCATTGTCTTATATGAAAACAAACTTGTCTGGCCAAATGCTCTCACTATTGATTACTTCAGCAATAAAATATTTTGGGCTGATGCTCATTTAGATTATATTGAGTAAGTGGAAATTTTTGTGGTAGATTATGTTATGATTGTTTGTGATGCTGTTTTACCAGATTCAAATTTTTATAAGAAAATCTTGTATTTGTACATGGTTTTAAAAAAACTGGAATCTAACCTAAATTCTGAATACCTGAAAATTTATATTGTGTGTGTGTTGGTGTAGTTTTTTCTTTCAAAAATCTTTCGTGCTTATTTATAATAATAATTTTGTATTGTTGTGCATATGTATTTGTGAGTGTGTGTGTAACACACTCATGTATATTTTATCAGTCTTTATTTGTAATTTGTAAAAGCATAAATTTGTTTCATATATATGCTGCTTTATTTTTGACTAAATATTTTCAGCTACTTTTCTTAGGATGCATGTATTAGGTAAATCCTGTACTTTCTTATAAATATTTGTTGTACATTTTTAATTGAGTAATTAATTTTAAATTTAAATTGGAAATCAATTCTATATTTGCAAGTGATACCATTTTATTAGAAATTCATCATTGACTTGAGCAAAATAATAATAAAAATGAATAAAATTTAACAAATAAAGTGTGTCTTTTGATATTCCTTAGAAAGAAAAATATTTAAATAATTAATATTATTAGATTTTTATAATTTTCTGGCTGCAATATTGTTTTGTTAGCCATTTTTGTCTCCTGTAAAAAAAGTAAATACAAATATCATTAATAATAGTTATTAATTAGATGAGATGATCTTTTTATTATAATGCATTAAACTATATTTGCTGTAGTAGTTAAGATTTCAGCTTTATTTAAGATTGTAGCTGCTTGTAATATTTTTAATTATTATTTACAACTAATAGTTTTCTTCCATTTAACACTGTGTGTTTTGATAGATTTGCAGATTTTGATGGGAAAAATAGACATCAAGTATTATCTGGCAATTCTGTGCCTCATGTGTTTGCAATTACTGTATTTGATAATTCCATATATTGGACTGATTGGAATATGAAAGGTGTTTACAGAGCTGACAAGTTTACTGGAGAAAATTTACAAGTTCTTAGAAATACATCTCATCGACCATATGATATTCACGTTTATCATCCTTTGCGTCAGTTACCATGTAAGCATTCATCATGTTTCATTTCACAGTTGTTATATTCTTTATAGGATTCCATAGTATTTAAGTTCAAATTAAGAATTATAATTATTTAAATCGTATCTTCCAGATAAAAATCCTTGTGGCACTAATAATGGAGGATGCTCTAACTTATGCCTGATTGCTCCAGGGGCAGAAAAGTACACTTGTGCATGTCCAGATAATTTTGTGCTTTTGCCAAATACTGTAGGACATGCTTCTGCCAGTCATTCATGTATAGCTAACTGCACTGCTGGCCAGCATTTGTGTGGTGGACGTGAGTCTAGATGTATTCCCATATATTACAAATGTGATGGAAATAAGGACTGCAGAGATGGATCTGATGAAGCAGGATGTCGTAAGTTTTCAAATATTGTGTTTTTAGAAATTTGCTTGAATGAATTATCTTTTCAAAAATGTGGCTACATTTTTTTATGTGGGATATAAGTAAAACAAATATTTTATTGCGGAAGCATATACTGAGGAATAATGCTGTCTGATTTTCAGTCATTTATTATGACATTTTATTTCATAATGAATGATTGAAATTAACAGATTAATAGATTTCATTCTGTTAAAAGCACTTCACATGCATGCTGACATGTTAGCTGCAGAATCAGCTGATAAGTAATGTGGAAATTCATATAATGTTAAAACAAAATTTTCTCAGCTTTTACCTCTGTTCTCTGAATTTAATATATACACTAAGTGTACACTATACATTTATTTTTACTTTTAAACAAGGATATTTGGTACTTCTCACCTTATATATTCATTTAAAAGCACTTTTTTTCAGTTTTCCAGTATGCTATTAGCATGACTGATCATTAGCCAAACAACCTGTGTTTTCCAATTTCAATTTAGTTTTAAAGCAATTTTTCAAAAATGTAAAACTACATTTTATACAAGTTTGATATTATTTAAAAGTAGGACCCTTATTTAATTGCAATTGGCAATGTTTTTAGTGGAAATCTGAAAAAGTTCATTAACTAGAATTTTATTAATCTATTTGTTAACTAAAAGTTAAATGCATTAAATGAATTATTAAATATATGTAAAATTAATTAGTTTGATTAGTTCATTTGTAGTTTCTATTGTGATTAATTATATGAATATTTTGTACAAAATGTTTAATGAACAAAATCTAATATACTTTATACATTTAGTTTCAGTTTTTTTTTTAAACAGTGACAAAATTTTAATGTATAAATAACGAAATTGATGTCTATTATACACCTTGTAAAAATCACTAAATTAATATTTGCTGTAGCAGATATTTTTTGAACAATTCTCTGATACATATGAATGAAGCTGTTGTGGCACTTTATAATTTGTGTGTGCGCATAATATAAAGGGGAATGTAACTAAAAGGACATTTTAATGTTTTAGTCTTTCTTCCTTACCTACCAATCTTTACATTCTCTTCAATTTTATGACAATTTGCTATTCCTGAAATAATTGGTTTCTCACACCCATGTGACACTTTTGATCACAAGTTAAATATTAAAGATTATGTACTGAGATTATCAGCACAGTCTTATAGGTTGAGTATCTTGGAAATGCCTTTGTTGCTTCAAGAGCAAGCTGTTCTGAATAACTTTAAATTTGCTTTATAAAAAACCTGATCTTGTCTGTGGTCTTTTTATTGCAAACTTACAGTTCCAAAATTCTTAGAATCTCTTTCACCAGTTGATCATTAGTGCAACGAAAACTGTTTCCACTAATGAAATAGCCGCAGTTTTTGTGAAACTGTACTTTAGATACAAAAATCACAAAAGTGTATTTCTGTCACTTTTATCGTACATAATGGCCATGCCCCAAATAATATTCATCATTCAGTCGATATAAAAGTATAGAAACTCTATGCAAATAAAACCAAAAAAAGTATTATAGCACATTTTAAAAGAGTGTATCTTCAGCAACAACTGTTGGGAAGGAATGATAAAATATTTTATTCTAAAGGGAAAATATTTATCTGGAGATTCACAGCAATCTACTCAAGGCAAGAACATTTAATTTTTACTGTACAGTTAATGTCAGAGATATTCTTTTTCTATAGTATTTTTTATTGAAACAGTGTTTGAGTGTTGGAAAACTGTTGTATGTTAGAATTGAGTGTAAAACAGTAATTGAGTATAAATTATAGTTGTAGTTAGTGAAAAACATTTGATGAAAATTAGTTCAATGATTCTTAGGTGGAATTAAATTCATTTGTAATTATTTTCACTTTATTTCTGTAAGCAAGGGGGGGGGAATTAGTTTTAGAAATATTTTAAAAAATCTGATTGTTGTGTACTGTTGTGAAAAATTATTATTTTAAATATCATTTAGTTGAAGTATCAAAATTCTCTGCTGCATTTTATGTTTAGCTTTACTTTTATTGTGATATAAGTATGTATTGTAATTATTACAGCACCATTTGTATGCAAGCCGGGACAATTTCAGTGCCGTAACAATCAAAGCTGCATTTCTCGTATTCGTATATGTGATGGTACTGCTGACTGCAGTGATAAATCAGATGAAGAATTCTGTGGTGAGTCTGCACTACCTTCTACATAGAAATATAGCAAATTATTTAAATGAGTGAAAGCATGGAATCACATAAAGTATTTTTATGTATTTATCTGTTTCTGTGCTGAAGTTGCTCATATTTAAAATCTGTTATGTGAATAAAAACTTAAAACAGTTACTTAAAATAGCTACTGGTCTTTAATCAGAAAACAGGCATTCCAGTAAATCTGTTAGAATTAACTAGATAAAAAATTTTCTGTGTGGTTTCTGTTGGTGCTGTTGTTTTATTTGATCTAGGTGCAGGCTTGACCAAGACCACGAGCCCAAGAATCTTAAAAAATTCATAAACAAGAAGAGGATTGATAAAAAGGTCAATTCTATCAACACCTGCAAAGTTCAATATGTGATTGGGAAAGGTCTGCACACAGTTGCAATTGATGCACGTCAGAAAGGGCTTTTAACCTTGATCAAATGAGAGACACTTGATGTGTCCACTAGTGAGCCTGCTAATAGTGGACTAAATGACTCTATCAGCCTTGATAGCAAGGGCACCACCTGGAGCCTGCCTATTATACCAGGCGTGAATCGGAGTTATTTTCCATAGCTGCTGATTTGAGATTTCTATCTTGCGGCAGATCTCAAGAAGGTCAAACAGTCTTTTGAAATCAACATAACAGAGGCTCACTTCTGGGCCAAAAAGGCCAATGTGAGAAGGTATCCATTGAAAGTAAATTTCTCGTTGTTGAGAAAGTTGCTTAAAAGCGTATTGAAATAGTTGTTTTGTCGCCACCCTTATTCCAGTTACATATATGCTATGACTGTCTGATAAGATCCAGGTATTTATGGATGTTACAGATTTAATAGCATTAAGTGCCCCAACAATAGCTATTAGCTCAGATCTAAAAATAGAGCAGAAATCTGGATTCTTAAATCTAAGTGAGTAGTCAGGGGCCTCAATGAAGATTCCACTACCACAATAACTGTGATCATCTTTATTGCTATTCAGTATATATTTAAAAAGCAGTTTCTGGGATTTGGGCAATGACCTCCAAAGCAAGTTAAAATAGATACTTAGGCCAGTCTTTATTTTTGTTAGTATGAGTCCTGAGTTCAGGTTGAAAATGTACACCAGGCATGCTCTCCAGGAGGTTAAAGATAGCTCTCCAGAAAGGTCTCTCAATATCCTGATTCAACAAGTCTATCAAATGAATTCAAGAGAAAGGACTATCACTCTTTAATTTGAGAGAAAGGACTGTCTCTCTTGTCTTTCATGGTTTCTAAAATATTTTGAAAGTTAAAAATAGATCTGCTCCCTTCTAAAAAATAGGTAGAAGAATGCTAATTATTCTGTTTGCTCAGTAGTCTCAGTAGGAAACATATTTCTTATTATATTTTTTCTTTATGATAGTAGAATGTTGAGCTTAAAATATTTTATTTGCACTGAATTCATTTCATGCTTTTTGGAACAGTTCCTACTACAGCACATATATTTTGTGTTATATGATGCTGAGCATTCAAATTTTTAATTTTTGTACTCTATATGGCAATGAAATTTGCCATATAGAGTACAAAGTCTTTAATCCAGACGTCCATAATCCAGACCTCAAAGCTACAAACTTTCTGCGCATATGCGTTTACGCATGCGCATTACACATTTACGCATGCTCGTTTATTATATAACGAACGCTAGCTAGGCTAAAATTATGTAATTATCTATTTCAGTTAATGTTGCAGATTGCTGTCTTCTAATTGGATCTGGCTTATTATTTTTTTCAGACTATTAGAGCAATTTTATAAAAAGTAAGCTTGAACTTTCGATTATGTCAAAAAGAGTTTCCGATTCTGGAGCTGCTAAAGGATCTACAAAGCGAAAGCATGTTTCGATGTCCATCAAACAAAAAGTGAAATTGCTGCAAAAAAATGGATAAAGGCATGGAAAAGGTAACAGAGAGGTTGGTGAAAACAGAAAAATTTCGGTTGACAAGTTAGTCAGTATTCTCGACACAGCAATTACAGGACTTGAACAGCGGAAGTTTGTATCTGAACAAGAAATTATGTCTTTTTATAGAATTAAAGAGAAAGTATTAACACATAAAACGAAGCAATTTAAACAACTTACATTGAAAGAAATGTTTAATAAAGTAAATAATTAAATATTAAGCTTTTTTTTAATACCCTTTAGATCATAATTGCTCTTTATTTTGTAAATTACTGTATATTCATAAATCTGCTGATGTGAAAACTTTAATAAATGAGTAAACATTTTTTTCATCAAGAAGAGACTCGTTCTCTGACAAGAAAACACTTTTTCTCCAAACATCTATAGTTTATTATCAACTTTTGATTCATTAGTAAAGAATATTATCAATTTTTTTAAGTTGATGAAGTCAGATGTTGCACTTTTCAAATCTTTCATAAATGTTTATAATGTATATTTTAAACTTCTGTGACTATGCTACGTATTTTAACTGTAGTATACTGCCCATTTAGACTTCTGTATTACTTAGCTAAAACGAAAGGCCGTTGGAAATTTTTAAAAAAAAGATTTACATAGTTTTCTGTATTATTGTATTGTCATTTTTTTATTTGAAATTGTATTTTAATACCTTCTGATTTACTTGTATTATACATACAAAAACTGCTAATTTTAGTATATAAATATGGCTCTCAAAAATTACATAACAAATTTTCCTTTTTTTATAAAAATTTCATGTTAAATTATTGCTAGTCATGTTATTGATATATGCAAAACAAAAATTTTCAGTGTATTCTAAGCATTTTAAAAATTTTGTATTTTATAGTTCATGACTGTGGAGAACACAGTTTTAAGTGCAAAAGTACTGGTCGTTGTGTTTCTGAAGCATGGCATTGTGATGGCGATGAAGATTGTCCTGATGGATCTGATGAAGATCCAGCCTTGTGTCGTAAGTAATTTTTAAACACAGACTAATTTATTTGCTTTATTAACTTTTCATTCTGATGTTCACTTGTGTTTTGGGGATTGTCTTGTAAATTTATAACACATTTTGAAAATAGGTATTTTGAGTAATTGTTACAATTTCTATATTCTCTAGCCCATATTTAAATGTATTTTAATCTTTTCTAAGAAGCTTAAAGCATTTTTACATATATGCTAAACAAATCTTGAAAATCAAAATAGCACTCAATACAATTTTGGATGTTCATGTTTTCATTTTGCTCATGTTTTGTTTGGAACAGTCAGTACAGTTGTTGCTAATTTATGTAGCATGCAATCTTTCAAATATCTTCTAAATTGGTGTCACACATTGCTTATCAGTTAAATAAAATAGGCCAAATGCAATATTAATGTTTAGATTAATAAACTGTATCTCAAAAAGATGAATATGGGAACCAGTACTTGAACTTCTCAACTCCAGTCTATTGTGGTGCGAAGGCATTATTTATCAGAGGAAGAATACATTCATACGGTTAATGAACCATTTACTAACACAGATAAGAGTGATGATTCATTTTTTAGAGTTAAAAAGTTATACTTCTTCTCTGAGTTAGGAAGTGATACTTCTCTGTGCTTCGTGATTTACTACACTCGGTCTTCATTTTAAATTTTGTTACTTCTTTCTGTAAATATTCTTTATTGTGTTGTTTTATTAATTTTAAACTTTTTAATGAATTGTATCAATTAAATCTTTGGAATAATTTGAATAGCACTTCCGAAAATTACGTATTTTGCAAGATAAGTAATTTTTTAAATATATTTTAATGTAAAATAAAGGGAAAAGATATTAAATGCTAATTTTAACATATATAAGAGCTCAAGTAATAATCTAAAATGGTACCAAAAATTACGATGATAGAACTGAATTAACTGATCCCCCCCCCTAAAATCAGGCTTAGAGATGCAAAACCCCCAGAAATACTTCTGAAGTTCATCAAGTGTATTAGTTTAGTTTTGTAGTTTTGTTATACAAGGTATTTAAAACAAGCAAATTATTAGATGTTTTTGAGAACTTTTTAAATTACAGAATTGAACCTTATAAAATCTATTCTGTGAATAATTTTTGTGTTCTAACATACTTTAGATCAGTGTCTACTTCTTGAATTTGAAAGACTGAAATTTTTGCTAATAGTAACTCTGTGTAATGGTATTTTGATGATTTCATATTTGCAATCTGAAGTTTTAATCTACTATGTGTCTGATTGCAGTATTCTGTTAAAAAAATTTTGCAAATATATATCAATTACAGGCTAATCCATAATGTTAATGACCAAAGGCATAATGGCCATTGCAAAAATATTTGTAAATCAAAACGTGACAGCAGATATTATTTATAACATCTGCAAAACTTTATACCATTACTATTAAGCTTAGCCATAGCAAAATGTAAAAACAATAACAGAAGGAAATAATAAATGTTTTGAGTGACGAAGTTAATTTAAAAAAAAAAAGTTGTTAGACTGTACTATAAAAGATCCTATTGCTGGGATCCTTCCTTTGCTGTTGTCGTATGTGTTAACTGGTTTGCAAAATACCATTCTTAATACTTTAAGCCCTATGCAGTCTAATAAAAAGTCTAATAAATAAGTCTACAGGAAAAAATACATTCTGATACCCATAATTTCTTTTCAAAGTTGTTTTAATTTCAGAATTATTTAAAATCACCTTTACAATATTAATAACTTAAAAAATTAAAATCAATTTTATGTACTATTAAAAACTGCTTTTTAGTCTAGGAAATTAACTGCCTTGACATATGTTATGCTTTTCTTTCTATATTATTATAGGATGCAATTTTTAATTTAAAATTATATAATTTTGATATGATTTGAATTTATAATTATTTTAAAATCAATATATCTTAGTTTAATATACAGAGTAGAAACTTTGCAAAGCAAATTCAATATGAAATAAAGAAGATATTCAGGAAATGTTTATTGTTACAGAAAGAACAAAATTTGACTTGAAATTGTGAGCAAATTTATTTTTCATTGTTGAAAAATAAATTGTTGGTAAAAAATTATAAATTATGTGCAGATTTTCAGATGGATTTTTATTTAAATAAGCCATATTTGAATTAAAATGTTAAAAATTTCACCTGTTTATACATAAATAAAAGGTATTATTACAGACAAAAATAAAATTTTTCTACCATCATCATTGGTAAATAATTCCCTTTATATGTCACTTCTATTTATGAAAATGTAAAATTTGGATCAGTTGCATATCTAAAATATTCTGAAGTTAATTAATACTATGATGCAAGTTTTTAAAGTGAGTACAATAAGCAAAGAAAAAAAGAAAGAGGTAGAATTTTCTTACCAGTTTTATTTTCATATGAAAGCCTGTACCTCAGTCTACTTTTCTAGATAATTTCCACAAATATTAAGACACTTGTAGTGTCATACAGCTTTTGAATCTCCTCTGGCACTTGATTTGACACTTACTGTGATACGATCATTTTGACTTCCTCATCGTTGTGATGAAGACTGTATGGATGCTTCTTCAAATGCAGGAATGCATCACTGGGTGCTACATCGAGACTGCATGAATTGTAATCAAGTTGTTACCAGCGAAATCACATGATGAGGTCTGGAGTTTGTTTAGCCACGGACTGATGGGCGTTATCATGAAGCAAAATGACCTTCCTACTCAGAATGCCATTCCTTTTCTTTTGGATTGCACAGTGCAGTTTGTTTAAGGTCTCACAATATGTCATATAGAATTTATTGTGTAACCACGAGGCAAAAAATCACAGTCAATACTCCCTTCCTGTTCCAAATTACAATACAAATGATTTTTCTGGATTGAAACTGTTTGCTTGAACTTCACTGTCTCAAGTGATGATGGGTGCTGCTATTCCATAGATTGCTGCTTTGATTCTGGTGTAGCAAAAGCCATCCAGGTTTCGTTGGCTTTGTTTAAAAAATTATCACCTTACTCACTGTACATCTGAAAGAATATTAAAGCACTATGTAAACATTTAGTTTTGTGCACCTCCGTCAGCATTTTCGGTACCCAGCTTATACAAAGTTTTCGATAATTTAAGTATTTGCTTACAGTTTTATACAGAATAGTGTATGAAACCTGAGGAAAGTCATCAGATAATGATGAAACTATAAAACCTCTGTTCTATTTCACCTGCTTGTCAACTGTCTGCACCAAATCTGTAATAATGACAGAAGGCCACTTCATTCATCGTTTGTACAACCATCTTTAAAAGCTGTCACACATTTCCACACCATGTCAATGCTCATAATGTTTTCTTCATATACTTCACTAATCTGACGATTAATTTCAGCTGCTTTCATATTTTTAGCACTAAGAAAACAAATCATTTACAGTAAAGTACGATCAGCTGCATTCTCAATTGGTAGAGCCATTTTAAATGCTCAAAAACAAACATTAGCATCTTTGAATGTTTCCATAATGGTGCATGTGCATAATACCAACCATGGCACTACCACCCCAGAATTTCAAAACAGTACTTACTTTAAAAACGTGTCCCATATAATTTACAAAATGTGTTTTTGTTAGTTTTCTAAACCTGGAAATTTTTTGTGACATCCAATAACTCGCAGGAAATAAATACAGATAGATGATTTCTAATTTCTTGACTATTCAGCAGGTGAAAAATCTTCTATCTAGATGGTATTTGTAAAAGTATTTCATAATGACATCATGCTCTGTTTTGCTGATGCACTGTTAATAATGATGATGATGATGCATATATTAAATTCCCATTCTTTCCATCGTTAAAGAAATGTTACCTAAAATTTCAAAATGCAAATTATTTTTTCGGTTGAGATTTATGTTATTTTTAATACTGCCTCATGAATTTTTATTTTTCTTAACAGACAAAAAAGAATGTGATCCTGAAACTCAATTTAAGTGCAATAATGGAAAGTGTATTCCCAAACTATGGTACTGTGATTTTGATGATGACTGCGGTGATAATTCTGATGAGCCATCACATAGGTGTCGTAAGTAGCACTAGATTTCATTAATTATTTTGTAATTTAATTATTGTAAAAATATGTAATTCTATGTGCTTGTACTATTTTAAATTTTCTGTTGGGTAAAGTACTTACTACCTGTCTTCAGTTTTATATCACACTTTCTAATTTTTAATATATACAGATAAGATTTATTTTGCTATGAACACAGATCCAGTTCAGTATTCAGTTTGCTTTAAAGGTCATGATGTTGAAGATGCATATGATTGCTTTATAAAAGACATCTGTAAAATTTTAAGCTTAAATTAATTCAGTTCAATTACTTTTTCTTTCCTTTCTGTTATGTGTCCCCCCTTTTTTTTAAATGTATTGCAAACTTCATTAAATAAAACATCAAATTAAATGTTTATGTACATAATGTACACAAATCCAAATTCCTTATTACTGTGCAGTTTGTAGCAGATTTTAATACCATCACTTGTGTCCTTAAAAAATTACTTTCATCATTTATCGTGGGATTTTTAAGTAAGGAATACTGTTTTTAAAGTGATATTTCATATGTTTTCTTGTCAGCAACTTATTATTTTGTCCTCTTATTGTAGATATTCTTATAAATGAACTCATAAACTGTTATTAATGAAAAATATCAGAAGGGGAATTTTTAGAAACTTGAGCCCAATGTTTTTTATGCATTATTATTCTTGTGAAATATCAGTTTGGGACTAAAAATAGCAGCTAAAGTGAAATAATTGCTGAATATAGAGATCTGCTGTTTGTGAAAAATGGAAATGTGAAATTTATATTTTAACTTATGAAAAAATGCTTCCTTGTGCATGTCCTTTCAGCCTTTTCTAAACTTCTGTGAAGAGAGATGTTTATTTTGAATCCACTTTATTTTCTTTAATTGCAGGCAATCGCAACTGTACCACTGGTTGGAGAAAATGTCCCACACATGGTAACTACCGATGCATCCCCAGTTGGCTTTTCTGTGATGGCAAAGATGATTGCCGTGATAATTCTGACGAAACTGATCCGGTATTCTGTCCCCAGTGTCATCAAGCTGGAGATTTTGAATGTAAAAATAAAAGATGCATTCCTCTAAGATGGAGATGTGATTTTGAAGATGATTGTGGTGATAATTCTGATGAAGATCCAAGTATATGTAGTAAGTATTTAAGTTGTTGCCATCTTAGAAAATTAAAAGCATTTTCTGAGTATTAAAATTCTCAGCATAACCATTATAGGTATTATTATATACTGAAAATTTACCAAGCATTTGAATATACAAATGTGTGTGTTTGTGTGTATAAGATATAAAATATGAAAGAAAACTACTAAATTTTATATAGCAGTAGACCTTTTAATTCCTTATTTTAATTTGGCTATGTCCCCTTCCTTTAATGTAAAGTGCTTCTTCTGAAAATTAGTATTCAGTATGCTATTATGTAAGGGAAACAGCGTATGTACTTTTTATCCAATTGGCAGCTTAACATTTAAACAAAGGAACAAAAAGTCTTTTGTGTGCTACTGCATGTAAAATTCCTACTTTTTTATATTTATTAATGTCTAATGTCTATTTTACATTGCTCTATGGTAAGACAATGTGGATTATTTTATAATGAGTAAATAATTTATTTTAATACAGTTTTATGAAGACGTAAAAGAAATATTTTGGTTTTATACCGAATACAATAGTTTTTTTTTAACCAAAGTACTGTAAAAATTACATTAATAATATTTCAAGAAAAGATGCCAAGAACTTTACCATTGATGCCAAGATGGAAAGATGCCAAGAACTTTACAACTTTACATTGAACTTTTACAATTGCTTCTTGAAAACTGTCAGTCAGTGTTTATGATATTTTAAGAAAAAATGAACATGCAAACTTTAAAAATTGGACTCAAAATTTCATTAGAACTCAAAATTTGCATTCATTGATCAAAAATGTTACCTTCAAAATTGTAAAAATTGTATGTTTTCCTGCCTTTCCCCTCTAAACTTATGTTTCTCTGGTTTTGATAACACTTTAATGCTTCTTTCTAAAACGGCTTTTCTATCATTAAGCCTTTTTCTCTTTGAAGGGGGGGGTATGTAAGATATAAAATGTAAAAAAAAAAACTATGAACTTTAATTAAGCTATAGTTCTTTAATTTGGCTACATCCCGTTCCTAGAATCTAAAGCGTGTCATCTGAAAATTAATATGCATTATGCCATTATGCAAAAGCAGCATTGCAGATGTCTTTATCAAAATATAAAAAAATCAATTTTTATGCTGTTAAAAATAATTTTTAAAACTTAAATTATTAATGAAAAAATATTAAAGCAAAGAACTTTTTGGCACTTGTTTTGCAAATACAGTCAAAAGTCGCTAATCCGGACTCGTCAGGACTTCAGCGATTCCGGATTATCGATTTTTCCGGATTATAGATCATCAGTATAAATCTCGTAAGATGGCATGCAGAAATTCTAAAATTAAAAATATGAAACCGTAATATATGAAATAAGGAACAATTATGATCTAAAGGGTATCAAAATTTTCAAAAAGAAAAAGCTTAATATTTATTTGTTTACTTTATTAAACATTTCTTTCAATGTAAGTTGTTTAAGTTTGCTTCGTTTTAATGTGATACTTTCTCTTTAATTCTATTAAACAGACATAATTTCTTGTTCAGTTACAAAGTACCGCTGTTCAAGTCCTATAATTGCTGTGTCGAGAACACCGACTAATTTGTGAATCGAAATTTTTTCATTTTCACTAACCTCTGTTACTTTCTTTGCTATCGGAAGCGAATTATAATGACGAGGAACTTATTTTAAATCATATCAAAGACGGAGCGCATCGAGATGAAATACTAATTTGGTAAGGAATTATAAGCCAAATAAAATAAAAACATCTGCCCTGAAGATAAGGATAGTGCTGACAGATCAACTTCCAATTCATGACGCGCTCGCTGCGGCGTTCCCCCCGCCAAGCAGCGTGAAATTGATAAACAGATTTCGGATTTCAAAACATACTTTCGCTTTAGATCCTTTACATATTAACAAATATATATCGGAAATTCTATTTGATATAATCGAAAGTTTAAGCTTACTTTTATAAAATTGCTCTTACAGTCTGCAAAAAATAATAAGCCGGAACCAATTCGAAAATTAAGGAACAACGCAATCATCAACATTAACTGAAATAGATAATTAGATAATTTTAGCTTATACGTCCATTATACATAAAACGCGCACGCGTAAACGCCTATGCGCATGTGTCAACGCGGCGCATGTGCAGAAAGTTTTTAGTTTTGAGGTCCGGATTATAGATCATTTCGAATTATGGGTGTCCGAATTAACGACTTTTGACTGTATTAAATCTATTTTGTATCTAAATTAGTTTTAAGTCAAAATTAAATTTCCCCTGTACTTTATAATGGAGTATAAAAAGTAGTCTTACCATTTATAGAAAAATATTTCTCCATAATAGAAGTGTGAATGCAAAGTGATTATTAGCTCTATTACCTAATTCATGCATCAGAAGTTTAGTAAAATTCTCAAACAAAATTGGAATCTGTTTTTTAATTATTTAACACGGGATATTTGAGGAAAGTGTGTAGTCTAGAATTTAGAGTTACTTTTTTGAAGGAATTTTTCTGGGGATTTTCTAATTTGCATGTTAGAACCTTAAAAGATTAACACAAATTATTAAAAATACTTTCTCCAAAGTAATATTTCTTATGCATTCTTATTATTTGCCTGTTGATCATTCTGCTGTACTTTCTTAACAGCTGAATTATATCGAGAATGCACTGAAAGTGAATTTCAGTGCAGCAATAAAAAGTGCATACCAATGAGATGGCGTTGTGATCATGATGATGATTGTGATGATGGATCAGATGAGCAAGGCTGCTTGAGTTATGAATGTCCGGTAAGATAACATAGTTTTTGTTCATATTATATATAATTTTGATATATATTTTCAATTTGAAAAACATCTTGACTTTTTTAGCATTTTATTATTATTTAATATGTGAAATATTTTGCCATTTGCAATGGTTCATTCCCTCAAAATTCTTTCAAATCAAAACCAAGCAATCTAAAACTCTATTTCTACTTTAATTCAAGTGATAATGTATTAATATGCATTCCTTCTAATTTTTTTTTCTTCTTCATTATTAGTATAGGGACTGCTTAAACCTTAACAGGCTTGCTTTTTAACAGATAGATAATTTCATTCAAAATATAAATTATAGGCTTCAAGAAAGCAGTTATCAAAACTAAAACCCCTTTGCAAAAAAAAAAAAAAAAAAAAAAAAAAAAGAGAGAGAGAGAGAGAGAGAGAAAGAGGTAGAAAAAGAGGTAGGACGGACATACTTAATCTTTATAAAATTTTTAGGCAGAGGTATGTATGAAGAATGTTTGTTGTTACACATATTTAAAAAATACTGCCCATCATAGTATTTCTATCATCTTGCAATCTCTATATATAGCACATGCTTCTGTTTGAAATTGATAAGAAATAGCAGATTCATTACTTTGCAGTTTAATGTAACACCTAAAAATGTCATGTAAAATCAAAGCATATCTTCTCAATATAGCTGAGATTTCTCTCAGTTTTTTCTAAGAAGTTTTTTTTTCATTTTACGTTTGAATTTCTATCAAGATCTTAATAATTTGCATTCTCGTTTTGCTTGGTCAGTTCATATTCGTGTTTATTATGATCATTATGCTTATATTATGAGCATATGTATGAATGTTTATAATAACATAGTTGCAGTAACTGCTGAAGTGTAGTAAACTTCCAAAAATGGTTGTGTTTTAACACAGATTAGCTTTCTAATGAATGATATTCCGAATTGCTTAAATAAAGGGAAAGTAATCGAATAGTCAAAGTAATTTAATTTTTTTGGCCAATACATTATACAGTATGAAGATTGGGAGGTTCTCCCCTTTCTCCGCAAAATCTCGAATATTGAAACTGTTACAGTTCGCTGCAAAACAAGCAAACGGACCTTTTTTTTTTTTTTTTTTTTTTTTTTTTTTTGTCACTTTCCAATCTGTATTGAATAGGACTAAAAGTTCTGCGGTCTACCAACCCAAGCGAAGAATGATTCTATTCCGGAAATTTAACGCCGTCTGTTGAAAATTAGAATGAAAAACACCCCAGTTATTTAGTTCTTTATTCTCCCAATACCGGCAGCTGTTGATTCTGATTGCGTAATATCACGTAGGGAAGAATTACGGCGCACGTATTGCGCAGTAACATTTGCAATATTTTGCAGAGATAATTAATTTTGATGTTCTGTCCAAGATTTGTTTATGAACACTTTTTACTGTGCTTGCTAAACAGAATATTTTTCAGTTCCATTTTTTAATTTTTATATGATGCATATATCAAAATGTCAAAAGCATTTATTTAGTGGAAAAATCTAAAGAGCGGCTACAATCTACCCCCTCTCTTCCGCTCCTCTTTTTCAAGTTACGCTCGACTGTCCGAATATTCACCAATTTCCAAGTATGCGGGTTAGTTAAGCTTTTACTGTTAATTTACTGCATGAAGCAAATTTCTGTCTTCTGATTTCAGAAATGTTCCTCTTTTTTACTTAAATTACTTTCTTTGCTTGCAATATCTTTTAAAGGAAAACTGATATACAATTAAAATTTAGAAAATGTTCAGAATTTAGATTTAAATTATTTAAATATCAGTATGAGTGGAAAAATAAATTGTATTTATTATTAGGTTCCAAGCAAATACAATAACTATTCCTTATTATTATTTATTTTCTCTATTTTGAACTGAAATTTCATCATTAAATCTTGTAATATAGTTTAGTTCTGCATAGTTTTTTTTTCTCTCATTGTAAACTAGTTTTTTAAATTGAACTGTTATTTAAATTTTTTCTTAAACAAAAGGAATTATTTTCCATGGTTGAGGTAATGCTTATTCTCTCTTAATAAATACTGTTCTCATATTTTAAATTACAAGTCTAATTTTTAAGGTTATGCAGTTGTGTATAATGTAATTAGACAGGTGCTTATTTTTTTCCTTAAAATGTGCTTGAAAAGTGCTTATAGGTGCTTATTTTTTTAACTAAAATGTGGCTATGAACCCTGTTATGGTTGTTTCTCTAAAATTCATGCCCGCAAGTGTCTGCATGGATAATACGGCAATTAGTCCTGATATGTTTCATGTTAAATGTTTTGACTGCATACAGCTTTCAAATTCTTTCAAAATGTAAATACAAGATAGTTCCTTAATGAATTCTATACTAAAGCTTCCTCTCCTAAAGAAAATAGCTGTGCATCTTTTATTGTAATCAATTGATTAAAGTTAAACTCATTTTAACTTTAAAACTCATTTATCTTTTATCAGTTGAATGAATTTTTTTGCAAGAAAGATGTATTTGAACCTGAGCAGAATATATGCCAATGAACTCTTCTTCAAATAGGACCAATAGAGCAGCAGTCAGATACAATTTTATAACTTACTGTTCTCGTCATATTCTTACAACATAAGCACTATTTTTAAAGTTGATTAAATGTCACTTCATACCTTCTCTTTACTATACTTCATCAGTTAACTCTGTGGACTTCAGTATGTTATATTTAGTGAATATTAAGGTGCTTCTATTAGTTTTTATTCACAACAGTAAACAAGTTTGCAATCTAATTTATAGTGTAATTTATTTTGATGTTTTCATTTCAGTTTTTTCTAATCTAAAAATCAGTCCTCGTATAGTGTTCATTGTTTTCTCTTTCAAGTTTCAGCTTTTTTAGAAACTATATTTTTTCAAATTTCTTTAGCAAGAAACTTATTTTTTTAAATGTATTCTTTTTATCGGTTACTTTAGAATCACCAGAAATAACCAGTTTTCATAACCAGTGGATACTGTAATGGTAGTTAAATATAAAGTGTGTAAATGTTAGTGCATTCAAAACATGTACAGGCTGGGTATTACAGCATGTGTACTGCAAAAAATGCAGCAATTCTGGATGTTCAAACCAGGGGTGCAGAAAATCAGAAGGTGCTGCAAAACATCAAGTGATATTAAAAGCAGTGGAAATTTTCCCATAATTATACACAGTGCAAGGATTTACATTTGAAATGAGCTTTATTAATTTTTCTGTTACACTATGGAATATAAATCTAGATACTGATTGTTAAAGGTATATTTAAATGTGTAAGGAAATGAACTCATGATCTTTAATAAATTTATTCAGATCTTGTTAGAAGTTGCAAAAAGCCTTATATGCCCTTTTGTAATTATATTTTTATACTGTATAAAATTATGCCAGTGTTTTAAAATTCTTATGTGGAGTTGTGAAATTTTAATATTTATTTCATATTATTTTCAATTTACGTTTTTATTATTTTATTAGAGGAATGAAATTAAAATTTTATGTGCATTTACTTTTTTTCATGATCTGTTTATTTTTTTATTTTTTCTTTATTATTTTTATTTATTTTTAGGCTGATCAATTTAAATGCAAAAGTGGCCATTGTATTGCTAACAGATTAAAATGTGATGGAAATAAAGACTGTAATGATGTGTCTGATGAACAAGACTGTCCACCTAGGTATCCCAATGGAATGTATTGTCAAGAAAACATGTTTCAATGCAATAACACTGTATGTTTATTTCTTGCAATAAGTGATTTATTGTAAAATTATATGATATATATAAAAATAAAATAATAATTATATTATAAAATTATATTATTTAGTATAAATTTAATATTTTAATTAAATGTATGTATTTTATCTGATTTGTTAGGTGTGTATTCGTCGAGATTTCTTATGCGATGGGGATAATGATTGTGGAGATCTCTCTGATGAAAAACCTGAATTATGCCGTAGGTTTCATTTTTAAATGTTATTTAGTTATTTTTAATGAAATATTCATTTTTAATTAAAGCTTAAGTCTTAAACTGAATGTACTTATAATTTTTATTAGTGTTTAGAATTGCTTGCCTGATTGCCAATATTAAATCATTCTATTTTTTCATTTATGATTTTATTATTTAAATTTTTTATACTGTTTTAAACGAGCCATTTTTATTCATTCCAGGTGCATTTTCCTGTAACATAGGTCACAAATTCCAGTGTGATAATCATCGATGCATCCCAGTATGGCATGTCTGCAATGGACAAGATGACTGTGGAGATGGTTCAGATGAAAATAATCACACAATGTGTCAAAAAACTCCATTGCCATGTACTAGAAGTGAATTTAGATGTGCCAATCATAAATGTATTCCTGTCACTGAAGTTTGTAATTTGAATGATGATTGTGGAGATGAATCTGATGAAAGAGGCTGTCGTAAGTAAAATTGAAACAGTGTATTATATATAGAAGTTATTGAGTAAAATACTGTTCTTTATTTTTTTTTTCTTTTTTTTTTTTTTAAACTGTGTAAGAATTTTCTACTGAAAAAATAATTGTTTTTTTTTTTTTTTTTTTTTTTTTTTTTTTTTTTTTTTAAATCCACATTTTAGTCTTTTTCAAATGATTTTATAATACAGTAGATGAAATTAGAGCATTCAGTTCGAATGAATAATAAATTGCTTCTCTATTAAGGGTTTATATCTTTGGCTTTTCATTGCTGTATTTGAGAACCCTTCAATAAATTTTGGCTGCAAAAACGTAAATTTTGTGTTTAAAACCTATGTATACACGTAGCATATTTCTATTAAAATAAGCTATTGATATGTATGTTATTTGAGTTTATACTGCTATATTTTTGGCACTGTTTTATTAGGTATGAAATAACACTCATTTTTTCCCTGCATAAACAGAGAAATTAGTCAAATATCTTCCATTTTGTTCAATGGTCTTTTGCCATCATTCTGGTAACTTCATAATTCCACTTTTGTAGAACTTCTGGCCTTTATCAAGAACAAGTGTGATTTGAGGTCATCATTCTTAATGAAATTTTTACCATTTAAGAAGTTTTGTAAACTTTGAAGTAAAGGATAATCCAACAGTGATCCACTGTTGTGTCCGTATGCGGGTTGTGGCATCACTTCCCAAACCAAGCTCCAATACTATCATATGTGTTTCTAAAGATGTGTTAGGCCTTGCATTGTCATGGTGGAATTTGATTCCTTTACGATTTGCCAATTTTGGTCTTTTCTCTTTAATTGCTTCCTCCAATTTTGTAAGTTTTTGGCAGTAAACATCTGAGTTAACCACTTGATTGCTTAGAAGCAACTCAAAATAGACAACACCTTTGTAATTCTCCCCAATTGGCTAACATGATCTATTTCTGACGGAGTTTAGCTTTCAATATGATTTGTGCTCATTCATCATGCTTGGATCGTAATCCTTCTCAATAAATGTTATTATAGATGATCCACTTTTCATCACCAGGGATAACTCATTTAAGAAAAGGGTCGATTGCATTATGTTTGAAATGCATATAGCGAATATTGATTCGTCGAGTTAAGTGAATTTCTTTCAGTTCATGTGGAACCTAAATATCAAGCTTCTTAATGAGTTCAAGACTTCTTATATAACTTTCAGTTGTTGTTTGGGATACATTTAACCTTTTTGCAATCTCTGGCACAGTTGTATGACCATTCAATTTAAGTATGACTTTAATTTTGTCATCAACATATTCAGAAAATCAGCTAGAATGTTGGTCATCCTCAAGTGAAAAATCTCTAAAAATGCAGTTTTTTAAACCAGTTATAACATATACATTCTCTTAAGCAATCAATAACATAGACTTATATTTTTTGTGATAGACATAACTTTTTTTGAGTTTTAGCCAGTTTCTTACCTTTATAAAAATAAAAAAGTAAAATATGTCAAATTTTTATTTTTGCACCCCATATTAAAATTGACAGTAAACTAACAGTTGTAAAGAAAATCTGTATGTTTAAGTTATGCTAATTTTTTATTTTTAATCAAAAGGAAAATCATTGAAAATTTTAAAGATATTGCATAAGATTTCTATTTTCTTTCATTTATTTATTTGTAGTTTAAAAACCGTTCTTCTTTGGCGTTTGAAAAATTTTACAAAATCTGTGTGTCCTTTGGTTTTTAATAATTCATTTTTCCAGTAATATTTTAAATAGAAATTAGCAAACTAATTGTAAAATCATTCTAATTTTAACTTCTTATTCATTGATATTTGTAGGTAATTATGAAGTCATATATTAATATACTTTTTCCTTTGTAGATGTTGGTACATGTGATAGTAAACGTGGTGGGTGTGAACACAATTGTACTGCTCTGAGTAGTGGTAGTGGATACATTTGTACATGTCCAGTTGGGTATAAAGTTGATCATGAAAACCCTAAGCTTTGCATTGGTATGAATAGTTTTCTATATTTTATTTAGATAGTATGCATAGATAGTTATGTATCAATATTGATAATTAATAGTTGTTGGTAACATGATTTATTAAGAGTACATAATTTAGAATGGGACATATTTTTTAACTGTAATGTCAGTTTTTTAACTGTAATGTCAGTTTTTTAACTACAAAACTTTCTTTGCCAAAAATTAAATTAATTCAAATTAATATTTAAAATAAGGAATTTGGAAACTTTCTTTTGAATTCTAATTATCTTTAAGAATTATTCATATCAATAATTATGGATCTAAATTATAATATAATTTTAAAATTAATTGTGTTTGTATCTGTATATGACATTTCAGAATGAGTTTCATAATTGTCCTGTTTTTTAGATATTGATGAATGTGCAAGTTTCGGTCACAACTGTTCTCAAATATGCATCAACTTGGAAGGCACATATCAGTGCAGCTGCCATAATGGTTATCAGAACTATGGAAGACGTTGTGCTGCAAATGGTGAGTTTGGCAGGTCTTTTTAATATAAAGGAATCTGATATTTATAATTAATATAAAATGAATCTGATATTTATAATAAATTTCAATTGTTCTGTAAAGCTAAAAGGTTGAAATAAAAAAAGTCCATAAATTTATTTTTTCAAAAATTAATAAAAAAAGATTTTAATTCTTTGATATGTTTTCTGTAGTGGAAAGTATTTTAAGTTTGGAATGTACTAGAATCATTGCTCAGCTGTTTCAGAATTTTCTTTCAAATTAAAATTTTTATTTGTATGTCATATCTGCTTTGAAGTTTTTGTGATATTATTGAAACCACTGATTTTGATGTGTACTGTTGAAAATTCAGAAATATACCATGTAAAATTTTCATAACCATCTCTAATTTGCTCAATAAAGCTTTAATATTCCATGATAGATATGTTACCTCTTTTTGTTTTATATGTAAAACCAAATGTGATTGTCACCTAATGTAATGTTTTGCAATAGGACTGTGATGCTTATGCATATGTTTAAGAATTTTTTTTTTTAATTGGTGTGAGTAACTTATGTGGACTTATATATGTCTAGTGATGAAGAACATGTAAGCTCTGATGGATTATATCAATTCATTGATTGTATCAATAACCAATTTATAAGATGAGGAAGATAATAATAAAAAATTATCTCTAATAGGAATGATACTCTTGATACTTATCTCTTGATAATTAATGGATTTAATAACTCTTGCTCATTAAACCCATTAATTATCAAGACATAAGTTATCTGCAAAAGAAGAATAAAATAGTTAACCTTTATAAAGCCATTAATGTATTGATTTTGCTTTTTTTATATATCTTAAACTAACATAAAACATTAAGGAGGTTAATGCTTTATTTCAAAGTTTTTTAATATCAAAAATTAAGTTACTGATTTCTATATTTCCTTTCAACTGATTTTTTATCTAATTTCTAAAGTAGTAGTGGAGTTTCTAAAGTAAAAGGTTAAACTTTTACCTCACAGTGCTCCTCTCAATGCACATGCAAAAATAAAATTATAAATCTCGGTCTGTTTGCTACCTCAGTGCACATCCAAAAGTAAAATTTATTAAATGTCAAAAGGGCAAATAAAAAAAATAAATAAATAAAAGGTCTTCATTAGTTTTTGAAATCAAAAGTTTTAATTTCGCCAGTTTAAAGTGCTATTTTGCTTGCTTTTCTGTTGGCAAAATCATTGGTGACATTCTCAAAGTATGTTTCATTATCCCCGTTGCTGTTCTCTTGACTGTGCAATGTTAAGTACAAGGTACTCATTTTGTGGTGTTGTTGCTTCATAACTGATTTTTATCTAGAAAAACTCCTGTCACTGCAAACGATGCTTAACCAATATTCTAATAGAGACATATTCAAAGTAGAATTTGAGAGTCTTTTAAAAAACTGTAAAAGTTCAAAGCAAGTGTCTTTCCACCTGTCAGTTTCGTCTTCCCAAGTTGTAACAGAAATAAAACTCTAAAATATATCTCTCAGTAAGGAACTCTTTCTTATTTATGTCATTAAGATCGAGTGGTGGCTCGTAATAAACACTGTGGAACTGCAGCACCCCCTATTTCCACTTATTATTATTTTTAATATTTAATATAGTGTGCCCTTTAGTCTTTAATTCTTTCTTTATACTTTTGCAATACATAATCCTTAAGCTTAATGTCAGTTGCCATCTCCTACTTTGTGAAAAAGGTATGAAATTCTTTGTTTGGAACCGCGCGCTTCACAGTTCCAGCGATATGGTGTTTGGCTGTTCTGTGCACGTGAGCCGGGTAGCAAGAAGAGCACTGTCGCTCTTGCAGTGCCAAAATTCTGGCATGTTGTTGGAAACGTGATTTCTTTTTACTCCGCGCTTGTGGTATTCCTCCAAAGGTGGAACTTTATCATTCGGACCATAAACAGAGTTAATGAAAATTTACAACCTTTAAAAAATTGCCTTACTGAAATTCAATCAACATCAAATGCAGATCAAACAATTGCAAAAGCAACAGGAATTTAAAAAAAAAAAAAACTATATCATGATAATTTCAAGTTTTGGTTAGAGCTTTTTTATGAGATGCCTCATGCTGAAATATTATACAACTAAATGCTATCCAGAGAAATTAGTTTGTTGTTTAAAGTTAACAAATATATTAACAAATTTCAAAACTGCTATTTTAGAATTAAGAAACTCAAAGTACTGTAAGAATTTTTCAAAGACACTGATGGCAGAAGCTAAGGAAATATGTGACTTTATACTATGTATTGATATAATGCACAGATATTCTTCCACTAAACACTTAGCAGCTGCTAAATTGTTAAACAAGAAATGCTTCGCTAGTTTTAGGAATGAACATTCTACAGAAGAAATAGTACTGACCACTGAAGCATATTTAATGATTGACAAAGAAAAGCTTGAAAATGAACTAAAAGTATTCTATTGTAGGTGATATCCATGAATACTGCAAATTAATTGAGCTACTGAAATTTATCTTCGAAAATAATCTAGATGATATTCTTAGTGAAATTACCAAACAGAGAAAAATTCTCTTGAGTGTTCCCATGACTACATCAGAGGCAGAACACTGCTTTTCAACATTTAAAAGAATGACAACTTTTCTAAGAAGCACTAGGAATTCAGAAAGACTAAATGCGCTTGCATTGATTTCAATAAAGAAAAATTTCCTCAGTTGTCATCCAGAGATCAAGGAGAAAATTATTGATCTTTTCGTGCAAATTAAAACAAGAAGAATTGATTTCATTTTTAAGTGAATAGACAAAGATTGAACTGTAACAATTTTGGTTAAAGTAATTAATGTTTAATTTTTTTCTTGTAAGATTTCATGAAGTTTCAAAATAAATTTTCTTTTTATACATGTTTATTTCCTTTTAGACGATTTTAAAACAAAGGTTAAATTTTTTTTGGAACAGCACCTCAACTAATTTTAGCCACGAGCTGCCACTGTTAAGATCATAATTTAATTATCGTTCGTAATTTCTATTCAAAAGTTTCGATGAAGTAAGGAAGGCATAAAGAGAAAGTGAAGCTACTGAAATCTCTTTGTAATTTCTTGAATAATTTTTCGAGCTTCAAATTCCAAACATCAGACTTGCTGCCTTATACGTAAAGTGTTTTCTGTGTGTTAAGAGAGATGTGTCCATTTTATGTGTAAATGTTGCATTTTTATTCCGGTATCAGTTTTTACTAATTATTATCTTACAATTACTTAAAATTATCACGTGTAAATTTTCTGTTTTTATGGATTTTATATGTATAAATTGTTTTAGGTGTGTCTCCCATTGTCATGTACTCAACTGGATCAGAAATTCGTGCTTTCCAGTTAAAAATGGATCACCAGTTTTCTTTCATCACAGGTGAAAGCAGAATACAGGCTTTAGATTATGATGTAACAAAAGGTAAGTGAAATGAATGAAATTTTGAAATACGGTTTTTCTGAATTGATACTGATAAGTAAAATTATATCAAGTGCTAATTAATATTATTACACTAGTGGTAATAAATGAAATAAAAATGCATAGATAAATAAAACTCAAACAATGAACAAGATGAGAGGTGTGAAGAAATTCTTAATAGTTCAATGTTTTAGTTCTACTCAGTAATATTATTTTTTTTTTTTTTTTTTTTTTTTTTGTGTGTGTGTGTGTGTGTCCTCAGCAAGGAAAATCCCACACAGATCTATGGAGAAGTTGAATACAAAAGTAAAAATGTTATTAAACTTTTCAATTATGTTTATAGTAAACCCTTGCGAAATGAAGACTTGTGGAATGCGATTTTACATATATGAGTGCTTAATTGTCTCAATTTAACTTAACGAGAATTTCTGTCATGTGCAATATGCTACAGAGTATCGGTTGATAGTCCTCTTTAATGAATGGTTTGAAAATTCAGTCAATTACTTCTTAGAAGAGCAAAACCTGAGACTTTAAATTTCTCCTAATTCTTGATGATGCTGAACGATGCTGAAGCCCTCACAGCATTGCATACAAATGTAGAGATTGTATTCTTTTCATTGAATACCACTTTCTTAATCTAATCAATGAATCATAAAAACATTCAAAGCCTATTATATCAGGCATGCTTAAGTCTCTGCAAATAAAGCAGATGAAGAAAAGCACAATGCCTAATTGCATTTTAGAAGCAGTTCAACATAAGACATTGCATAAAAATGATTAAATTCATATGGAACAAGCCTATTCATCAAAAATGAATGCTTGTTGGCATCAACTCTTACCAGAAATTGTCAACAATTTTAAAGGATTTCCATCAACTGAAAATGAAGCCAAGGAAATCATACAGATTGCTAAAGTAATTGGCAGTGAAGTTTTTCAGATAACAGAAGAAGGGGAAATTAAAGAATTTGTTGAGAATGATGTGTGTGAAAGGACAAATGAAAAAATTAATGATCTTATTATAATACCAGCAGATGATAAAAGTAGAAAAGCAAAGAACAGGCATGGTCAACTCGCGAGTTGCATAAGTCGTAATTAATAACAAAAATGAAAAATTCTGTAAAATTTTATCCATTCAAAATATAGACATTTGCATGATTATGGGATTTTTAAAATGATTTTATGTTATTAAAAGTAGGAATTTTTGCCGCAATGGTTCTAATCAATTAATGTTTCCTAGATATTATGTACTGGACTGATACCTCGGAAAAGACCATAAAAAGATCTTTTATACCAGATGTCATGTATCAAGACACGAGAAGTGGTTTTGCTCAAAATCTGGAACTCAAAGGACTGACAAAGCCTTCAGCTTTAGCTGTTGATTGGGTTAGTGGGTATGTAGTATTATTTTCCTTTTCAGTTTCTTTTATTGTCTTTAACCCCTAAACAATCGCATAGTTTTCAAGAAAACTGTAAAAAGGTGTATTCAAGAAACTTATGTAAACATTATTGTTATAAACAATATATTCATTTTTAATTTTAGGAAATTTTTTTAGCTTGAAATCAAGAAAATTTAATTTTTTAGACAAAAGTAACATCAGTGTTATTGTGCCTGAATGTTGGTTTTCCAGTAAGTAAGAAAAATTACGAGGATAATCCAGAAAGTAAATTTCATTTAGCAACTCGAAAAAGGAAGCAGTCATTTGGAATTAACCTTTATTAAATAATGAACTACAATGGTCGGACTATTTTTCGACATAAGTACCACTATTGTTTAGGCATTTTTTGATTGTAGTGATACAAGTATTTGGATGTCCTCATCAAAGAACATTACCGCTTATAATTGCAACTATTGGGTAACAACAGATGTGCCATTGTCATCATCCTGGAACTGGTTGCCAGCAAGAAATGATTTCAGAAATTTTTGAAAATATTTTGAAAATATGAAAATTACTTGGTGTGAGATCCATACTGTAGAACTGATGGTAAAACGTTTTCTGTCGCAACTCCATAAGGCATTGTAGCATAATCACATGCAGTGTGTGATTATGTATTGTCATGAATGAGCATAATTCTGTCCCAGAGCTTGTCATGGTGCTTAATCTGTATTGCACAATGCAATTTTCTAAACTTCTTGTAATAATGCGCAACATTGATTGTTTGTTCATGTGCTGTGAAATCCACCAGCAAACTGCTGCGCCAATCTCAAAACAGTGTACACATCAATTTGCAACACATTATTAGTGGCTTGACTTTCATCTGTGTTGGCAATGACATGCCATAGACTGCAGTTTGGGTTCTGGGGCTACATGACACACCCAGGTCTCATTGCCAGTCATGATCTGGCTTAAGAAGGCATTACCCTCTTCATTGTACTGTGTCAGGAAATCCAGAGCACTGCCCTGATATTTCAATCTTGTTGCTGTCAGATTGTGAGTTATCCACCAAGCTTACCACTTTTACAATTTCAGTTTTTTTTTTGACTCGGAGGACTAACAAAGCCTTCACCTTTTTATTTACAATTTCAGTTTTTTGGACTCAAAGAACTAACAAAGCCTTCAGCTTTAGCTATTGGATGGGTTAATGGGTATGTGGTATTATATCTCGTGCAGAAGTGACTTAAAAATCTGATTAAATTCTAGGAAAAGTGTCGTTTTGGTGAAATGGCTGTTCTCCATAATCTTCACATTATCTGCTGCAATCAAATCGTTATCAGTCGGAGATGGGCGCCCACTTCATTCATTATCAAGAACATTTTCATGGCCTCCGCTGAATTGCTGCACCCACCTTCTAACCACGGAATCCCTCTTCACATTCAGTCTGCACACTCCACAAATATGTTTGTGAATTTCACAAGCTGTGGTGTTCATCACATTGAGAAATTGAATGATCGACTGTATCTTGCACACAGCAGGATGCCTGATTATTTTTAATGTTTTAAAACTCTCGCCAAATTCAAACACTGCATAAGTCAGTGATCTGAAAATGCCTTTCCTCACATGCCAGTGACTTCAGCAGAAAAAAATCACATGCTTGAACTAACGAATATAGCTATTCCATGCCAAAAATTTAAGACGGAACTTACTTGCTGGATTACCTACATAAAATATGTATTTTAAATAGTAAAAGATAATTTTAGGAAACTTACATATAATACAAATAAATATCAATGACTTGTATGATAAACTTCGAAACATGGGATGCAAAGTCCAATGTCACAATCTGGGCAGCAATACTGAGTTTCCTTCCTGCATCTCTTATTGTTTACATCTCATCTCAAACAACAACTTTGCAGAAAAATATTTTCGTATAGTATGTCTTTCCCCTTTTTTGAACAATAAAGTAATTTCCAAGATATTGATCTATAATATCTAATGCTCCCACAGTTTTGTTGTAGTCTGTTACAACTGTAGGTTTTTTATAACTCTGCTATGGCACTGTGCATCTACCATGTCATTTGTATGGACAGTGGCTAACAGTGTTACATCTTTCTTATCTTTCTGCTTCATGACAAGAATTTTACCTACATGAAAAGCAACAGTGTCACTTTTTGTGATTTTCTTTTCGCCAGCTCTTAAGGCATTTCTTTTCTATTTAATTTTGCAGTTTCGGTCTTTCTGAAATTTTAGAAGCATGTCTGCCAATTTTGGTGAGGTATAAAAATTGTCTGTTATCAGATACTTCGTTTTAGCAGTGGTTAAGCTGACATAATGATGAATTGATTGAGGCAAATCTTTATATTTCAGATCAAAATTCATACATTTTCCGATATATATATATATAATTTAAGAACATGTCTAATGATTTACATGTCTAATGATTTGATTTTCATTTTGAAAACATGTCTTGGTAACTTTTAGGCGAGCTTACTACAATTTTTATAATTTAAGAACATATATACCCTGAAGTTGATTCGCATAATGAATAAGACTTTACCCCAAAACGGGATATCTTTTTGCATATATTGTCACCATCCCAAATGATCTTTGAAGAGCTAAGTGTTTTATCAGTTACAATGTAACATTAGGAGTCATATCTCTTTGAAAAAAGTTCATTCAGGTGCTCTAACACAGACCAAGTTTTATGCAGTTTGGAATTTGGATGCATGTTAGCATAAAAAATTTTGCTATCTATAAAGTGTATTTCATAAAGTCTATTACAAGGCATTATGTATCTGAAAAAATGTATTCAAATTGAATTTTTTTTTCCCTCCAGCACATTTTATTTTCTGGTTTCCTTCACAGTACCTTGTAAGATATAAGAAATGACAGAATTTTTTCCTTTGTGAAAAAAGTATCCAAAGTTTTCTACTCTTTGGGTAATCGAAATCCTGGAGAATTTTGGCATTGTTCCGTACACACATTAGTTTCGAAAGACTATTAGACTTACTGAATAATCATTCACAAAATACTCAAAATATTGTAAGGCACCATAATTTGGATCAAAAATTTTATTTACATTTGGTGTTCCCCAAAATTTTAAATGTGTGAGTGCATAATCTACTGAAGTATATACAATTTCAGTCCATACTCGTCCAGTCAACAGTAGAGCTTGATCACTGTTCTCATATTCACTATCTGAATTTTCATAAAAATCATTTATTTCAGAATCACTTTTAGATCCATTTATACTAAAATTAAGAATCCTAGAATTATATTCTTGACTCTATAATGTACACAATATTGAAAAATATATTTTATCAGTGAACACAAACCATGTGCATTCACAAGCATAACTGAGCTAAATATTACAAAATAAATTTATTGGCTAGTGCTGACATCTAATTTAAAATAAACCAACTATCTCCAGTTACATTGAAAATAATCTGATACTGCCAGCTAATATGTAAAATAAGAAATAAAAATATTTTCCAGGCCTTTTTTTTTTTTTTTTTTTTTTTTTAAGCATTTCTTTTGAACACCCCTGCCCAGGAAGTATCACAGGCACATAAAATAGAGGGCAAAACCTCACCCCGTAATTTAGAAGGGAGCAAGAAGGAACAGGTTAAAGTTCTCTTTTGGGAATGCCTTTAACTAAACATGTTTCTCTTATAAGCATATTTGAAGTGAAAAATTTACAACCATCCGCTTTTGTTTTCTTAATACTCAGTATTTTAAAGTATTTGCCAATGAAATAAAAAGTTCTGTGAATTGAATAATCTCTTTGTAATTATCGTCATGTCATCCATACCAGCAGTACTAAGTATGTTGCTACTTTTAAGAAATGAATAGGAAATTTGAATACTAAAAGGAAGCATTTGAGAGTTATTTCAAATTAAACTATTATTGTACATGTGCATATTTTCCTTACATTCCTTACAACAATCATTTGTAACTTTAAATTATTATGACTAACATGTTTTCATATTGAATACTGTTAGTCAGAATTTTTTTATATGTAATTATTATTTGCATATAATGTTCTCATTCTGTTACTAAATAAATGAAATAACTGCAGTCTCATACTGAATTTTATGTAAATAATTTATTCATAATTTTTAAATATGTCAGTTAATATGTTTTTATTCCATTATTTTAGCTTAAATTTTATAGAAAAGTGCTTAATGTTAAATACAATATTAATGATAAATTTATAAAAAGTTATTGTTATTAAATAAATACTGCAGTAGTTTTTCATTTAGGTAAATAAATTTCTTATTTTTTAAGGCATTTATATTGGATGGACACAGATTTATCAAGTAGCAGACCTAAAGGTCGTATATTTGTCAGTGAACTTGATGGTCGATACAGGCATGCTATTGTTTCATATGGTTTAGAACAACCAACATCTCTTGCATTAGATCCTGAGTTGGGGTAAGCAGTGACAAAATAATTACCTCTCTTTCAAAAATGAAACATTTAAGTTTTATATCTGTAAATATGAAATTCTTATTATAAAGTTGGCACACAACTAAAATAGTATACTATTTGTGTAATACATAATGAATATTTGAAATTATATTCTGTAGTATCTGTAACACTATAAAAGAAATCTAGAAGACAGTATGTGTATCTGGATATTTTCTAAAAATTTTGTCTTTTTATTAATGAAATGCAATATGTTTACATTGCAGTAAGATACGTATATTCAGTGAAGATGTCAGATGGAGAGACTGAGACTGATTAATTGCTACATACTGATGATTTACTGACCCAGTGTTATAACATTTAAACAATATCTCATTGTATAGCTGTTCTAACTATAAGAACTGAATCAAACTCAAAACTTGAAATTGTTAATCATTCCTTAATATGAAATAATCACTCAAATAAACATAAATATCTGGTAACCTGTCCAATATTTAAAAACAAAATCCTAACTTTACTTTCAATCAGATAATTTTATTCTAACAGAAAATGGGCAAGGAATGCGAAATAGCATTTTGTTGCAAGTCAACAAATCTTTCTACAGTGCCTTGTTATTGTATTTATAGCAATATAATATGAATTTTACTATAATAATAAGAATAACTTAGCCATTATGAGCCATGATGCTTTATGTAGCTTTACAACTTGTCTTCATAATCTGTACTGCACTACTAATTATAATTAATGATCCATCTACACATGTCATGAAAAATCAAAATTACAAATCTTAATTTTCAGTCCATGAAATAAGCCCTATCCCCAGTAACCGAGATAAGTAAACATTGGTAATTCAGTTCAGGTTAAATTCCTGGCACATATGCTGACTGCATGGGCATTTTCATGATTTTTCCTGTATGTTATATATGAGCTATAATTTCTCTTAAAAAGTTCCTCACAAAGGTTCCCTTCTTTGGTGGTTTGCCCTTACATATTTCCATTTATTAATTATTATTTATTAAATCAAGCAGCCAAAAATTCCATAAAAAGTATAAACCAGTGGTTGATAAAATGTTGAGCTCATATCTTTGATATGAGGAATCATAACTATGAGCTCATGTCTTTGATATGATGGAATGATAGGAATGCTTCTCTTTGATATGAGGAGCATTCCTTCAAACCCTTAGCTTTTAGCAAACATTTTTATGATATAATTAAATATGAAATCAAACTTAATTTGAAAAATCTATTGTGAAACCCAAGGACTAACTGAATAAGTAAAATAGCTATAAGTAAATAAATAAACAAGTGTCTGTTTGAAAATTCTATAGAACAGTTTTTAGTTGTATTTCGAAAAGTATAGTTTTTTCGAAAACAGTTTACTTCTTTGATAGGCTATGTAGAACTTTCTTGAAATATTCGGTATTTTTAATTCCATAAATAAATGAAAGAAAACAAAAATTTAATTATTTATTTGTTTCTTTATATTTTAAATAGCTTCCATATATTTCTTGAAATTCAAAGAAAGTTACATAATTTTGTAGTCCATTACATTAAAAAATTAACAAATAAACTATTCATTAATTGCAACCCTGTGCAACTAAAGTGTAATTTCCTAGTCAAATTTCAGATCTAAATTTACTTAAAACTTGGATGATGCTGCTTAATGTAATCATGTTTGTCCATGGTTATTTTAATAACAGTAAACAGTAAGAAAAAATATCCTTCAAAAGAACAACAGAATTTAACCTATTTAATATAACAGTAAACATATAAGTACTTACTTTAATGACTTTTTAAATAGTAAAAAAAGTCATTATTAGTGGAGTGTCTTCAAGTGTTATGCAAACATTCATTTATGAACTGTTCATAATGTTTTTGGAAATTATTCTGCCCCCCCGAACAACATTGTACTTCTAACCTTAACACCTGAAAAGCATCCCTTCAGCTTTGGTTTCTTGTTAATCTTCTTCATAAAGTTTATCACATGATGTGCTTTAATGTAATACAGAAAATGTTAGTAGGTATCTCCTGTCATTAATTCGGCAACCTGAAATTTTTTATCAGTATTCTTCAATGACTTAAATTCCTCACAATTCATGTTAGTTGGAGACATTGCTTTTATTTCTTCAATGTCCTCTAATTTGTTATTTATTGAAAGGTTGGTATGCTTGTCTTTTCTGAAGTACAGTTTCAAGACACATTCAGTAAATGTAACATACTGAGAAGGTTTATGTTTTTTTTAATTCATATGCACTTGTATACACATCATCCATCTTATAAAGATTAGAATACTTATATCATAACAATAATATTTTTTCATCCATTTAAAAAACTTATTCATTAAAAATTATCTGTACTTCACACTAGTTAAACTTTTTAAAGCTGTGGAGATGCCTTCTCTCCTCTCCCCCCGGGTTCACTGACAGATTCCTTTTGCCATCATGCAATTTGATGCAGCCAACATTTTGAACTTTCTGTTTTCAAATAAATATGTATGTTGAGGCAGGGCATGTTACTATAGACTTATTTCTTCAGCATTATAAGTGTTTTCAGAGCGGAAAATTTAGGCCATTCATTTGGCAATGATGGTCCTGAAGTGGGCAAATCGGCATCTCTTTCTTCATTGCTAATATATTTGTAAACGATGTTATCTTCTATTAGCTGAACCAGCCATATATTGCTACAAAATCAACTGTCTCTATTTCTAAAGTAAATATTTCAGCTTTCTGCCACATTGGTGCATTGCTAATTCGTGCATCTTTTTCCATGGATTTTTGTAAACAAAACTTCAGTGCTTTCTCAACATGGTGGCCTTTCCTTCAGTGCATCCATCTGTTTTATGTTTCCATTTCAGTTTTGATTTGATTTGCAAACAATATCTTCACCATTCTTTAAAATCTTGCATAAGAGTGGATGAGAAACATTTAAGTTAAGATCAGCGCCCCATTGATTATTTTTAAAGCTATTCTTAGCAATCTAGTAAATGGACTTTATCCCTTAGACTCAGATTATTAAGCCTTTTACTAGTCTCTATAATTCTAAAATTACCAGAAGAGAGTAAAAATGACTACAAATGATTAAAATAACTAAATTTGATCAAATGAACTAAAGAAATGAGCATGTCCTGGAACAGAACACTCATCCTATGCATGGTCAAAATATAAAGCTCAAAATATATTGTAAAGATTTTCTTTTAGTGTGTGGAAGCAAGGTTATTTAGAATTCCAGTTTTGGAAAATGGTTTACTTTGTACATGATAGTCTTGATCAAATTAGAAGAGAACATGCCAATTTAAAATTTAAAATTAGACTAAAAGGCATCCTTAGTTTGGCATAGAATATATTCAGGGAATATTTTTTTTTCCCCCTGGGCGCAAAAATTTTTTTGCTTCTGAAGAAGGGTGGTCTATATCTGATCTCTCCCTAGATTGATAGATTTATTAAATATCTATACCAAACTATATTTACTTTTTCTTTGGTCTAATTTAAAATTTTTATTCAAAACCAAACTGTTTGGTGATTTAATCCCTTGGCTTTATTTCTCTGCCATTTTGACAATTTTTTAATCTATTTTGACCTTATTTGGCAGTATTATCTATTATTTGGAAAATTTTGCTTCAGTTTAAAAAATTAATTGTGTAGTATTTTTAATATATTAACCGACTTGGTGATCACAATAAGCAGTACGTATTACATGTTTACATATACAATGTTATTTCGTCTGTTTTATTACGATAGCCAATTGATAACATTACTGTGATCCTATTGAGTCTGTCTACTGTATGGTTTCCCTTCCTCCAAAATGCTTGAAATATTGCTATAAAAATGTATTTAAAATACAAAATTGCTTAGAAAATCTTATTAGAATTTCCCCCTTCCATTTGGCATTTCACTGTACTTTTATTTTTAATTCCAGTGGAGGAAAAAATTACTATTTTAAAAATCATTTAACAACTTAGATATTTTATTTATAATTGTTTCTGCATCCATTTATAAAATCTTTGTGTCATAGTCTTATGTTTTGGACTGAAGCAAGCATGTCTCCAAAAATTGAAACTGCATGGATGGATGGTAGCAAGAGAAAAGTCCTAGTTAGTGAACGTTTAGGATATCCTACTGGTCTTGCAATTGATTATGCTGGTGGTCACCGCGTTTATTGGTGTGATACAAAACTTGATACCATTGAATCAATGAAAATAAATGGATCTGATAGAGTGACTATAATTTCAGGTATGTATTTATTATAATACTTTCTGTTATTACCTATTACTCCAAAGCTGAACTTGTGTGGAGTTGTATCATGAGGTTAGTTGAAGTTTAAATAGTTGATTCACTTCTAAAGTATATAGATTTATATAACCTCATCTTGGCTACAAAATACAGTATCCCCTACATTTAGCAGTTTATAGCAAAATATAAACTCGTATTAAAATCGGACCATATGATATTGTTACGGATTTGGTATTTAAATAGCTAATGTTAGTTGAATTGTAAATTAAATGGTTTTATTTCCCGCACAGTGCAGCGTGTGATGAATATTAAAAGAAAGCTAAGCTGGAAAATTGAAAATACAAGAGTGCGTGCATGTAACATTTAATAAATATCTCTTTTTGATTTCGAGAAAGTTTCAGAAAGTTCTTGTGCGCAATTTAAAAATCTTATAAAAGGGAGGAAAACCTCTCAATTCAGTCAGTCAGTGATTTTAGTTAGTTTGTTGTTGTTTTAAGAGTTTGCTTAGAAAACTGCTCTTGTTGACTGTAGCAAATTCGCGGATTAGCTTTCTTTTAATATTCGTCACGCGCTGCACTCGCGGATTAGCTTTCTTTTAATATTCGTCATGCCACTGCGCGGGAAATAAAACCATTTAATTTACAATTCAACTAACATTAGCTATTTAAATACCAAATCCGTGACAATATTAATAGATCAATGGACTGATTAGGACAGATCTCATGTCTTGCATAATTATTTATCAGATTTAAGTATCTTTCCCTCAATTTAGATATCCCACACACTTTATTGTAGGGAGGGGGAAAATTCATTGTGTAAGTAGTGAAAATTTCACAGTCTGAGATTTAGCATATTTAACAGAATGTAGTGTAAATAAATCTATAATATGTCTCATTAATATTTATTTTTATTTCACAGTTTTTAAATTGATACATATTTATTGTAATAAGCCTTGATATATCACAGTGTATTTTTAAATTTAGAAAAGTGTTGTTTTTCACCAGAACTGTTTATGGCCACTGATCTATTCATATAATACTTGGGGGGGGGGGGGAATTTTTTTTCATATTCCAAAAATCTCTGCAAACTTTCCATGAAGTAAAATTCTCTTATGCTTATTTTTAAGTGAATGAAATTTACTTCTTGGTTTGCTTTCTTCTTTCAGTATAGGAATGCAGCAAAAAATAAAATAAAAAATGGGTATTGTGGTCTAAAACGACATTACATGCTTTGAAAAAAGATGTAAGAAAGTTTGGCTGATAGTAGAGAGCTTTTAATTTGCAAACAAAAATGCTTAATATGTTTCCTACAAACGGAAAAGGCTCAGTTAGTACTATAGGTGTAGCTGGAGGGAGCAAGGAGGGGTATCTGTTCCAGGGACAAGGGGTGCCAAGTTGATGTTAAGAAATTTTCAAATGAAATATTTTTATTTTGGCAAACAGGACCCTGACCTGGCGAAATCTTCAGTTGTCCCCAGGCACTGAAAACTTAAGCTATGGCTCTGGTTAGTACAGTAGAAATTTAAACATACTGAGACTAAAAATTGTGCAGATTGGAGAATCCTGCAGATTATAACCCCCCACCCTTTTGGGGTGGGTGGGTAGGTGTCTTTTCTATATATTTTTGCCATTTTAATTTTAGCATTAAATTTGTTAGTATTTGCACAAGTAACTGTTACCTACACTTTAAGAATTATTTAATCAAGATTTATAGAATACAAAACTGTTATTTTTTTAACAATTATGTGGAACAAAACAAATATCATTACACATGAGGAGGGGAAAGGGGGATAATTAAGCGGGAAAGATTTTGAGTAAATACTGAACTTTTTTTTATAAAAATGCACACGTAACAAAATTGATATATTTACCAGCAAAATTACTTTTAAAATGATTTTTTATGTTCTTTAGTGAAAGAAAAATAAATGCATAAATAAATATACAATTTACCTAAATCCTTGCAGTAAGGTTTCCTTTAATTTAATCCCTTCACTGAATCTGCAGTTATGTTCCATGTATGTGCATTTGGATTATTAAAATTTAATAAAAGCTGCTGTAGTTGAAGATTTGACTTTGTAAACATCCTTTAATTTTATTTATTACTATTTCATTTATTATTTCTTTCATTTTCATTTTCTTTCACTTTTCTTTACCATGCTTCCATTTTTGGTAAATAACAAGTCACCAAAGTGTTATTTTTGTTAATGTATTCCTAATCAAAGAAAATAAAGTAAAATTGCAGTAGCTTGCTTGTTGTCTGGAATGTAAACAACTCAGCTATGAGGTGCATTTAAAATTAAAACTCTGCATCTAAAAATCTGTAGACAAATAATAGTCTTTATACATGCTGACCACATAAACTGAAAGTTAATTTTAAAATAACTGTAGATTTCATATGCAAAATTGGTGAACAAAATGTAACCATTCTTATTAGGAATCATTTTGTGATATAAATATCACAACGATTATGTTATATATTGTGATTTTAATTACATTTATATTCTGAAATGAGATCGTATGCATGGAAGTGCTACATTGCTGCAAGTTCATGATTTACATATAAAACTTGCAGTAGTAGTAGTGTATGTCTAAAACCCAGTAGGAAAATGAACTGTTAATTAAGTCTTCTTTTTTATTTTAAAGTAGTGTTCTTTTAACAACCGTGATTAATTCTTTCAAATTCATGTTGAAAAACTAAGGGAGTAGTTTTTTAAATATTTTAGTTCTACCTCTCCACAAATTTTGTTTCCTAGAATCATATACAGTCAAAAGTCGTTAATCCGGACTCGTCGGGACTTCGGCGATTCCGGATTATCGATTTTTCCGGATTATAGATAATCAGTTTAAATCTCGTAAAATGGCATGCAGAAATTCTAAAATTAAAAATATGAAACCGTAATTTATGAAATAAAGAACAATTATGATCTAAAGGGTATCAAAATTTGCAAAAAGAAAAAGCTTAATATTTATTTGTGTACTTTATTAAACATTTCTTTCAATGTAAGTTGTTTTAAGTTTTGCTTCGTTTCATGTGATAATACTTTCTCTTTAATTCTATTAAACAGACATAATTTCTTGTTCAGTTACAAAGTTCCGCTGTTCAAGTCCTATAATTGCTGTGTCAAGAACATCGACTAATTTGTCAATCGAAATTTTTTCGTTTTCAACAACCTCTGTTACTTTTCTTCGCTATCGGAAGCGAATTATAATGATGAGGAACTTGTTTTAAATCATATCAAAGACGGAGCATATCGAGATGAAATACTACATTTGGTAAGGAAATTATAAGCCAAATAAAAACATCTGCGCAAGATAAGGATAGTGCTGACAAATCAACTTCCAATTCATTACGCGCGGCGTTCCCCCCGCCGAGCAGCGTTAAATTGATAAACAGATTTCGGATTTCAAAACATACTTTCGCTTTAGATCCTTTACATGTTAACAAATATATATCGGAAATTCTATTTGATATAATCGAAAGTTTAAGCTTACTTTTATAAAATTGCTCTTACAGTCTGCAAAAAATAATAAGCCGGATCCAATTCGAAAATTAAGGAACAACGCAATCATCAACATTAACTGAAATAGATAATTTTAGCTTATACGTCCATTATACATAAAACGCGCACGCGAAAACGTATTCTGCACTTGCGCACACTCATATGCGCAGTCGTAAAAGGTCTTACGCGCACGCGTAACGCCTATGCGCATGTGTCAACGCGGCGCATGCGCAGAAAGTTTTTAGTTTTGAGGTCCGGATTATAGATCATTCCGAGTTATGGGTGTCCGAATTAACGACTTTTGACTGTACTATGTTCGCAGCTCTTTACATTGTAATTAGTTGTGATTTTCTTGCTTTTGGTGTTATAATTCTATTTTTTCATTTACTAGAATTAGAATCAAATTCTACTTTGGGTTCACAGAAGTCAAAATTTTTAAATTATATGTTTTACAAGGAATTTAGTTGTCAGTTGTAAATTATTTGAAGGGGGGAATGTCATCAACTCTGTGTTTAATTTTGTTTTTATGTTGCACTTTTAGGTATAAATCATCCAATATCACTTGACCTTTTTGAAGATCATTTGTATTGGTTAACAAAAGATGCTGATGATATATGGCAACAGGATAAATTTGGGCGAGGTGTGAAGGTTAAAATCCATGGAAGTGTTGTATCACCTACTGCAATCAAAATTTATCATTCTCTTCGTTATAATTCATCAAGTAAGTTATTGGATTTTGAAAATGCATTTATTGTTTATTTTGTTATTCTCATCAATATGCTGCTTTGTTATGTTATTTGAACTGCATTTTTTATATTTTAATATTTAATCTGCTAATTGTATTTATAGTTAAAAATCGTTGTCCAGTTGAAGCATGTTCACATCTTTGTTTGCTCATACCTGGAGGTTACAGGTGTGCCTGTCCAGATGGTTCACCTATGTCTGTCATTGGAGTGATGTCATGTAATGCAGGTAAAATAAATTTTGGAACATTAATAATTAAATTTTAATTTTATTTTTCAAGTGAGAGGGGAAATGCGAATAAAACTACTAATAAATTTTAAATTGAAGTAAAAATGGCAATGAGAAGAAGGTTATGTATTATTCATAGAAATTATTTAGAAATTCATACATAATAACTTAATAACTCTCATAATGAACTACTAAATAACTAAAACTTTGTTATATCTCAATCATTAGATATCTGGCTGCTTAATTTTAATGTATTGAGTTTGTTATTTAGTTATTAGAAAAACTAGAGACTTCTGTGTTTTAATTCAGCAGTTGTAATAGCAATAATTGTATGTTCTTCCCCAAGAAATTCCATTTAATCATTTTATGTTCAAAATAAATTTCTTCTTTAGCCTGTCAACAATCAACCCATTATTTAAGGTTTTAATTTAGAATTTGCATGAATTAAATGAACATGTGAAGAGTTATATTTGTTTAGCATCATGAAATATTCAGCAAAAAATCGCAATTTATTTCAGCAATTTAAATATTTTTCTGCAAAATAATGTATTTAATTGAATTTAGAAACAAGCTGAGAAATATGAAAGCTGCAAAGTATTTTGAATTCTTAATTTATATTCTGCACATGTTTTAACCTTTATATACATTACCATTTAATGAGTTCCCAAAAAATCTTCCTCTCAGCTTTATGACCCTATATAGTGTGTTCAAAAATGTCTTTATCTGGCCTTTATTGACCGCTGGTTGAATTGTCTGTTTTTGCATAGAAACTGTAATTTTAATTGTTTTAACTGTGTTTGATGTTTTCTGTGTTTCTATATCTTTCAATTTTTAATGAAGGTATTTTAAGTTTTTATGCATTTTTGCCTTGCCGCAAAGTGTGAACTTAATTAGTTGAATGAGAAATATATCTTTAAGGAGATTCAAGGAAATGAGTTTAAATGAAATGCAGGAAAAAAATGCATGTAATTTAATATTCTATGTAAGGAAGTCATGTAGTGCACACATCAGATTTTTTATAGTCTTGGTGCATATACTGTTTGTCTACCACAAGAACAGTGCTCAAGAGCATCTGTCATAAGAATATTCTGCAGTCTATTGTCATAAAAACAAGCCTTAATCCATTTTCCAGAGTGGTATTGTGAAGAATTGATTTTCTCTTTCCTGTGACCTTTTACGACTGCGCATATGAGACTGCGTAAGACCTTTTACGACTGCGCATATGAGTGTGCGCAAGTGCAGAATACGTTTTCGCGTGCGCGTTTTATGTATAATGGACGTATAAGCTAAAATTATCTAATTATCTATTTCAGTTAATGTTGATGATTGCGTTGTTCCTTAATTAATTTAATTCACTAAAAACAAAATAGCAATAAAACATTTATTTGGCTAACCTGACTTGAAATATTCTAGCGCTATTGCTATAATGACTGTCACTAATTAGATATCGTGGCAAGAGCTCTTCTTGTGATAAGCAGACAGTACTTACATTTAAGAAGATTTTATATTCCTAATAAAAACAATAAAAAGCAAAAATTTTGACTCCTGTGCTTCAGAAATTGGCCAAAATATTTAATTTCAAAATTTAGAATATTTGACGTCATTTTTCCACTTGCTTTGGGGGTGTCAGTTAATAAATAAATTGCAGTAATGTGAGGCTCGTCTTCCCCTCTTCAGTACTTTCCAATGTTATTCTTTTGTAATTTACTAATGTGTAACAGATAATTTTGTGTCAACTGGTGTGCTGAAAGAATTTTCATGTAAGTAATATTTGATTTTTCAAATGTTAAAAATACATTATTAATATTCTCATGAACTTTCAGTACTTCAGAATCATAATCTAATAATCATACAAAAACCGTAAACTAAAAATACTTTTAGTTTTAAATAGTCAAAGTTTGTTTAATAAATTTTAATGTCTGGGGAAATGGTGTTATTACTGAAGTGTGCCAGTGATTTCTAGAGCACATGTTCTAGAAAATTTTGTAAATAAGTTATTTTTGAAAAAAATATATTAATCATTACTTTCACAACAATCTGCATATAAAAATACTCATCACTTAATCCTCTAGAATAGGAAACCTTTATTTTTAAGTGCATATGAATACAAATATTTCACTTTTCAAATTGTGTGTAGCCCTAATTATGATCCATAACTTTATAGTGAAATATGTTAGGTCAGTCTTATATATATATCTAATGAGTATAAAATTTTCTTAAACATAAATATAGGTAACTTTGTAATTAATTAATTTTTTTTAATTTAAAATTTCTAAGACATGAATACTTGGTTCATTGAAAACACTTTTGTAATTGAAAATTGTCTTTAAAAAAAAATTGGCCAGCATTTGAGAAAATAATGTTCAAAGAAGGATTTCTATGACCCAGGGTATATCACTTCCAAAAAATGTTCACACTGAGTGAAGTGCGAAATCATTTATGAGTCTACATATGAACTTATTTCTGTATATATTCATGTTAATCTCTTCATGTATTCAGGACAATCTATTCACGTATTCACATAATCCTTTCATATCGGCACAACTTACTTAGTGAGTGTACTTAAGAGTAAACTGGTGGCTCACAGTACATAGTTTATGCCAGATACTGCAGCATTGGAAGGATTAATGAGCATCTTTCATTCCTTAATTGTCCTTGTAAATCAAATAAGTTATATATTGTATATGTATATATATACATATCATTAGAAAAGTTTTTTGGTATATCATCTCCAAGGACCAGACATTTGATTAAAGCCATGAATTATTGGAATAAATTTTTGTCAGTATTTAAAGTTATTTAGAATTCTATTGTAGTAAAAATTGTTATTTAGATTTCTATTGTAGTAAAAATAATGTCATTTAGATTTCTAGTATTGTAAAAATTATTTAAAAACTGTGTCGAAATATTATTTTGAACCATAAAAAATTTAAATGGTAAAATTATAAGTAAAATATAAAGTACTGAAAAGGTAGCTATTGTCATTGATCATAGATTAATTGACTTGTCAAAGGGAACAAACCAATCCACTATCAAATAACAATAACCAAATTAGAGTGTTTTGTCTTTCTTCCAAGTAAGGATCAAATTACAGTCAAAAGTCGTTAATTCGGACACCCATAATTCGGAATGATCTATAATCCGGACCTCAAAACTAAAAACTTTCTGCGCATGCGCCGCGTTGACACATGCGCATAGGCGTTTACGCGTGCGCGTAAGACCTTTTACGACTGCGCATATGAGTGTGCGCAAGTGCAGAATACGTTTTCGCGTGCGCGTTTTATGTATAATGGACGTATAAGCTAAAATTATCTAATTATCTATTTCAGTTAATGTTGATGATTGCGTTGTTCCTTAATTTTCGAATTGGATCCGGCTTATTATTTTTTGCAGACTGTAAGAGCAATTTATAAAAGTAAGCTTAAACTTTCGATTATATCAAATAGAATTTCCGATATATATTTGTTAATATGTAAAGGATCTAAAGCGAAAGTATGTTTTGAAATCCGAAAAATCTGTTTATCAATTTCACGCTGCTCGGCGGGGGGGAACGCCGCGCGGCGGGCGCGTAATGAATTGGAAGTTATCTATCAGCACTATCCTTATCTTCAGGGCAGATGTTTTTATTTTATTTGGCTTATAATTGAAGATCAGATGTTTTTATTTTATTTGGCTTATAATTCCTTACCAAATTAGTATTTCATCTCGATGCGCTCCGTCTTTGATATGATTTAAAATAAGTTCCTCGTCATTATAATTCGCTTCCGATAGCGAAGAAAGTAACAGAGGTTAGTGAAAACGAAAAAATTTCGATTCACAAATTAGTCGGTGTTCTCGACACAGCAATTATAGGACTTGAACAGCGATACTTTGTAACTGAACAAGAAATTATGTCTGTTTAATAGAATTAAAGAGAAAGTATCACATGAAACGAAGCAAAACTTAAACAACTTACATTGAAAGAAATGTTTAATAAAGTAAACAAATAAATATTAAGCTTTTTCTTTTTGAAAATTTTGATACCCTTTAGATCATAATTGTTCTTTATTTCATATATTACGGTTTCATATTTTTAATTTTAGAATTTCTGCATGCCATCTTACGAGATTTAAACTGATGATCTATAATCCGGAAAAATCGATAATCCGGAATCGCCGAAGTCCCGACGAGTCCGGAATAACGACTTTTGACTGTAATTATTTTGCTAGAGTTAGATCATAAGTTATGCACAAAATTTAATTATTAGAAACAAATTAGTCTGCTTAAGCCATAAACATTATTTTTAATTTTGTTTAAATTAATTAAAATTTTTTCTGAATTTAAGGTACTCCTTAAGAACAGAATTAAACGAGATCCTCACTTGAGAAAAAACATTCCCTGACACTCACATATATTTATCTATTAATATTTCTATACAGCTTTTAAATAATTTTTATTACAATAGAAATCTAAATAACATAATTTTTACTACAATAGAATTCTAAATAACTTTAAATACTGACTAAAAATATATTCCAATAATTCACTGCTTTAATTAAATTTCTATTCCTTGGAGGTGATATACAAAAAAACCTTTTCTAATAATAAATAATTGATTTATTACTTAGCAGCTTTAGCACAAGTATTCGGGTTTTTAAGTTACTCATAAATATATACACACACACATATACATATATATATATATTGGATATTAAAATATAATTACACATACACGTTATTAATAAGTTTTTTATTACACTCCCCAAAAGAAAAGAAATTTATTATCTATTTACTAGCACTGAACATATTTATCATGTAATTTGTTTCCTTACTGTTACCCCCTAACAAGTTTATTACCTTAGTCATGTTGCTGTCCAATTTTTCCATGTATTAAATAAAAAAATAATAATGTAGAAATTTTGACATTAATACATTTTATTTATTCATTATATTTATTAAAATCAAAGGACCGGTAGAGAAATGTAAAGGTTAAAAATGAACTAGGCAATGTGGAGATTGAATATAACTGCTAACATGTTTTGTTATAAATTACGGTTTGCTTTTGATTTGTCTATTAGCTTATTTTAATACTATCATTAACTAATTTACAGGGATGGAGTTGCCAAAGCCTCAACCGTATCGCTGTCCTTGTAGACATGGTGGTATTTGTTTTGTTGAATCTTCAAAAAATAAAGTGTCATGTGTATGTCCTGAGAATTACAGTGGTGTTCATTGTACAGATTTTACTCCTGATAAAAAAGCTCAGGCGATTAGGGGTAGCAGTAAGTATCATCATGAACTGTTAGTGTGAACATAATCAGATGAATTGCATGTGTTATCGTTACTGTATGTGTAATTTGAATTTAAATTGCAGTTGTTTGTGAGGTTTTTATGTCCTTAATTTTAATACATTCTACTATAGTGTCACCACAAACTTTAATTACTCTGTTCAGTTTTTAATATTTACATTTTTTGTCATATCCAAGAAGGTTTACAGTTCATTAAATTAATTTGTTTACTCCTCATGTTGATAATTTACGAGGGCTGTTCAATAAGTAAATAAGACTAAAATTAAACAAAATACAGAATACGTTTAATCGTCATCATTTACGTGGTCTTTTTCAAAGTAATTACCGCTGCACGCAATGCATTTATCCCAACATTCTATCCACTTCTGAAAAACACGTAAAAGTCCGTTTTTTGAGAACTTTTCCAAAACTGCCTCCACAGCCTTTACATGTTCTTTGTTGCTTGAAAAATGTTTGCCTCGTTATGGTTTCTTAAGTTCAGGAAACAGCCAGAAATCGCGTAGAGCGAGATCAGGACTGTATGGAGGGTGCGGTAAAATCTCTATGTTATTCTGTTGCGAAACATTGTATATGCAACGAGCAATATCTGGTCAGGCATTGTCATGATGCAATAAGAAGCCATTTTGGAATAGGAAGCCATTTTGCAATAGGAAGCCATTTGTTTTCAGCATTACCGGGTTTTAAAGTATGTTGATACACGCTGTGACGGACATTAAAGATCGTCCCTCGCATTCAATATCTTCCACATTTTGCCTGCCTTCCTTAAAAGCTTTATGCCAGCGAAAAACATTTGTCCTCACTAATAATGCTTCATCATTGAAAGCTTCACGTATCATGTCAAAGGTCTCTGATGCTGATTTTTGCAGATAAACACAAAATTTATTCACATAACGTTGTTCCATCGATGCTTCCATTTCGACAACTGGCCACGTCTCATAGACACCCGCAAACACACTTCAGTTCAATCATGTGATACTCAGGAATATGAGCTTGTACACGCCATCTATCGGTAGCTTTTGTTAATACAGACAACAAAGTTTTTTTATGTCACATAAATTACATTCCGATGGATGGTTTCACTGCAGTAAAATTAGTCTTATTGAACAGCCTAGGTAAATATTTTGCTTTTCTTTATTTGCGGCTCAACATTAATGAATACCTTTATTTAGCACATGTAATGCTTGCTGATTTGTTGTTCTGCTGGGAATTCTAAAATTTTAATTTTAACCTTTGGTAAAAATAATTTTTGTTTTGTATTCAATAAAATAGGCTTAATGTTTTCTTCATATAGAGCAATCTCTTAATAAAGTTATTAATGTAAAGCACAAAATATGCAAAATCTGGAATGCCTATTTAAAATTTATATATATATATATTTTAATTTTTTTAGGTGTTGCTGCAATAGTTATTCCCAATATTCATAATCTTACTGGTTTCTTATTGCTGGCGTGGGAGTTTTCTATGTCTTCCGAAAGAGACATTTGTAAGATTTTTTAGTATTTTTGAATACTTTGATTTTTAAATGTGTATAACAAATTTCTTAAGATGCCTTAATGTTTTCATGAATATCATCCATTTCATATAAGAAGTCATTTTGTGTTTAAATTTGCATTAGTAGTATGTATATTGGTAGAAATTCTAAATGTTTATAAACTATGTCTTGTAGAAAACCTGGTGGTTTCGGTGGTAGTAGCCAAAGTGTCTCTTTTAGAAGTGGAACAAATGTTGAATTCTCTCCAACAATTATGGGACGCAATGGTCCATCAGAAATGGCAACAGAAGTAAGTTTTGTTTTGATCTAAGATCATATACTCTGTCCTTATTTTGTTTTAATTTACCTATTTTAAGTGCGTTCAGGTTTATCTTTGAAAATTCAGTTTGTAATTTCATTTATATTGTTTTAATATTTAAAAATGTTTCTAAAGTCTCAGGATGAAATAGTAAGTTTTCTGTAACAAAAGAGAAAAGTTTTTATTGCCCTATATACACATAGGATGAAATGATATTGTTTTTTCATTTCAGAGAAACTAACTTTTGTTACATATAACAATCATTTTATTGCTTCATATATTAGTACTTCATTGTACAATGCAACATAATAAGTTATTTTGCATGTACTATTTAAAAAAATTAGCAAATTTTTTTTGGCATAGATTTTGAATGAAATTCTATTGATTTTGAGGATGATCAAATACAGCTCCATCTTCTTCAGGTGATTGTTGTTCATTTTTAGATGAATATACAAGTTCATTTTTACTTCCAGTTTATTCTATATAAATAATTAATACTGGCTTAATTATTATTTTGAACCATTGATAGTTAATTCCTTTATTTATTTTGAGATCTGTATAAGACAGAAGTTTTGTGTTGTATTTTGGAATGAATAATATATTTACTGATACTTGTCATTTTTCTTGTCCATGATATAATAAAAAGTATGTCCATAATCTGCTAATATTCTAGCCATATTTGGGATTACTGAACTAGCTGTATCTATTATGAATTTTGGATCTGCTTTGGTTTCGTCTTCTGTGTAGATACTTATTGTCTGTGTCTTCATATCAATGGACTGTCCAAATCTCAACTTATATTATTTACTATATCTTCTTAAACTGATTAAGTATTGAAATTTTATGCAGAACTAATTTAATTAAATTCTTTCAGGAACCTCTTGATACTCATTTCAACCTAGGTGATTTCGACAAGCCCACTGATTTCAGTAATCCTATGTACGATGTGATTGGCACTGCTCAGAATGATAAAGCTGCACAACTCTATGAAATACCTACTGAAACAAAGGTAGAGAAAAATAAATCATCTCCAGCTGTTCTTCAAATAAGAAAAAGTGCACTGGATCCTATGACTCTTGATACAGATAAAGACACTGCTCAACTAGTGGTGGAAGATAAATCAGAATGTTGACATACATGATTCTTGAAATTGTTTATGTGGAGAAGCTGCAAGAAAATTGATTTTGCAGAATGAACTGCTATTATTTTAGAATCATTTTCTAAAGATACTGTGTAAATATTGCATTATCCATTCCAATTTCAGATTAAACACCCTTGTGGATGTGTGCTGTAAAAATGCAACTTCTAATGCAGTTTTAAGGCAACATGTAGCACAGTATATGGCCTGTTTTTAGGCCACCATTTGCTTTAGAACGAAAAACTGATTTAAAGAGTTTTGAAAGTTTCCTTATTTTTGAGGGAATATAAAGAAATGACAGTTGGAATATTTTTCATTCCGAAACTTCTAATGAGGGCTGCATATAGTTGTATATATGTGTTTTCTAGTTTTTAGGATTTTAAAAAGGAATTAGTAATTTTATTCATTCATTTGTGAGAATGAAAATTTAGGTATACTAATATATTTCCTGGTTGTGAAAAAGGCTCATCTTACTTGCCATCCACAGAATTATTTGATCTTTCAATATTTATACTCATCATTATATAGAAACATCATAGATTCTGAAAAATATCCATATGCAAAGGAAACTGGAAAATATACTACTTTTAGTGGTTATTTCTTAAATCTGTTTAAACTGATTAATTATAAATTTTATCTCTTTATAAATAATTCTTTGTTGTCTTTTTGTTGGGTTAACACATTACTATGGTAACAGTTAAAGATATTGATAAAGGTTTTTTTTGCCTCATTTTAAAATGTTCTTTTATTCCTTAAAAATTCAATAGCAATAATGATCTCATATATTTATTTCCTTCAGCATGTAATTTTTTTTCCCTTCTGAAAATGTGTTACAAAATTATTTCTAAATCTAAAAACTGTTTTTTCCTTCACTTGTTACAAATATTTTTTTTTTTTTTTTTTTTTTTTAATTTAAGGGTTATAACATTCTTTCAGTTGGAACATGATGCTTGATTATTATTTAAAATATATTTTACTTTAACCTTTATTGCAGTGCATAATTTTTTATTATTATTATTATTCTCATGAAGTTAAAAGAATTTTGCTTTTGTTTGATATACCTTCAAAATTATGAGATTGAAATAGAATAAGGTTATTTATTATAATTTACAAGTGTTTTATATCATCTTAAATGCCAATTAGATATATATTTATTACCGTTTTTAAATAACATATTAAAAAAATTAAACTCCTGTCAAAAATGTATTCAAGTCAGTTAACCCTAGCTTTTATCATAATTTATTAACAAAGCTTTCAGTAATTTTAGTTTGGATTAAAAAGTTTGCTCTCTCAAGATGCTAGAGTTCTCTTCTTCTGTGTAATAGTTTACAAGTTTTGACTTATTTAGATGGATTTTTTTTTTAATTTAGTTTCTGTGATACTATCTATTCTGTCAACAGAAGTATTTTAACTGAATTGGGATATGATTTCTTTTTTGTTTTTAGTTTAAATATTTTTGTTAGATATATTTTATGGATATTTAGTCTATGTTTCATTTAATTTAACAGTGCCATTGGTGATTAGAAGCTAAATAACTGTGATGTTTTAGTGAAATAAATAGCAATATACTGTCTGCAGCTGCTGTTATATATTTAAAACATTTATGTTGATCATTGTGATTAATTTTCATGAGCAGTATTAGGAAAGTTTTGTGTGCTTTAGAAACATTTAAATTATTGTGAGCAAAAGTAGCATTTTATTCATTGCCTGGTTCAGTATTTCAAAATTGATTCCACAAAAGCAGATAAATAATATTAATTATAAATAATATTAATAATAATTCATGTATATAAAAATGTTTAAAAAATTTGATAGAATATAATTTTGAAGGTCATGTATTAAACATTTAGGTGTATTCTATTCCAGTTATATATATTGTGTATTACAAGCCTACAAATTCATAGCTTTTAAATGGTTTACAGTTCGTAATTATGGTTCCTTGTAGTATTGCTACATGATTAGTAGCTTGTTAATTTTAATTTTGTTGAGTCACAATCTGAAAAGATCCTGTAAATGTGTTTTTCATAATCTTTTATTGTTTGAAAGATTTTGTATTGTGTTGCTGGGTGCAATTCATTGAATGTGCAATTCATTAGCATCTTTTTAGTAATTGCAACTATATATGAGGCCGTCCAGATATTAATTCAAAAGCTTAGAGTGCTTCCACATTCCATCTCAAAGTATAAGAAATTTAGAATTAGAAATTGTAAAGTATTCACAAAAATTATATACTTTAACTAAATACTCATAAGAGTAAAATTTAAATGAAGTTTGTGTGTGTTGTGTTTTATTTTAAATTTATGCCTATAGAGGACTTTCTGTGTTTTTGATGTAAATTTCAAATTACATTTTACATTTTAGGTGTAATAATAGTAACAAGTTTTTAAATAAATATATAACTTTTTAAGTGCAATTTAATTTTGCATCTGTCTCAACGAAATTTGTAATGCTCTCCATTGAAGAATATTCACTGAAGTGTCCTTTAAGTATTTTTCTCGTCTGCAGTGAAGCCTTTGTAATGTTAAATACTCCATATTAAAAAATATATTTTAATAAATTGACTCTTTACTTTTTATATTCACAAAAATAAAAGTATGAAAAATACACTCAGAATAGTTGTTATTAACACGAAGCTTTCAATGTTTGCAATAAATCTGGAAATGGCTAATGTTTTATTATTAACTCTTTTGCAATTGTGGGATTAACCAATTTCTTTCCAAATAAGCATGTTATCTGTCAGTTTTAAATTTGAATGCAGGCTGTTGATTTTTCGCTTACCTTGCAGACAATGTCCTGTCGCTTGGCGCCAAATGTTGATTTTTCCGCTAAATCCTATGTGATATATCTGACTTCGAATCTAAAGTTTTCTGAAGAACACAAAAACCTTGTCTAAAACTTAAAGGTTTATTCAACTGCAACTTCAAAAATGATGTAAACTTAACATCATAAACGAAAACGTAACATCTTAGGTGAAAACATTCTGTGTGCATTCAAGTGCTTTAAAGTAACAGCTATGCCGGCACGGTGAAGGACACTTTCTTTTAAAAGACAAAATCCATCTAGCCCTTTCGGCATATATCTCCATTCGCTGGATTCAGACTTCCGCTCCTACGTGTTTTGGACTTAAAAGGCCGGACTGGAAATAGAACAGGACCGGAACAAGACGGGAACCGGAATCTATCATCCCCAGGCAGGTCTACTCTGGCTCGAACTAAAATGAACTGCGGTGCCACTAAGGAAAGCACCTCCTTTTATTGACGGCGGTTGCCGTTACTACAGGCAATTATGCAAATATTTAACACAGGTTGTATTAGTTTGCATATACTGCAGTACATGACTGTAATGCAAGCTGAGCTCACTGATGACCATCAAAAGGTTAAAGTCTTGAAATTTTTAAACCTGCTTTTTCAAAGATCAGATTATTATCCATACTTACTTTAAAAAAGGCCTTTCAATCCAAATCCCCCACTAACCTCAGGTACTCAGAAAAAATTATATATATTTCATTGAGATTTTTGTAGACAATTTATTTTTTTTTTTATTAAAAATGTGACAGAATAGAATTTTTATTTATATGCATATCATGATTAAAATTCTCTACCCCATATTTTGATGAATGACATTTTCCAAAACTGCGAGATATGTGGTTAATATTGTACTAAAATATGTACTGCATTTTACAGATTAGTTTTAATTAAAAATATGAAAAATGCAACTGAATTACTCAGTTGGGCATGGAATCTATTAAGTTGCTAGTATCCCTTTGCAGTAGATTGTGCCACAAATGGAGCAACTGGTCAGTGAGTTGAGATGTATTTGTACACGGCTGCATTTGCCTTCTCAACATGTCTCAGACATACTTGATAGACTAAGCTGGAGACCCGGTAGACAAGTCTAGGACATTACACATGGAAGATATTCTTGGAAAGTCATGCTGTATGTGGCCAAGTGTTGTCGTACTGGAAAACAGAACCTGAGGTACCTGCTAGCATAGGCAGTATGATCGGCTGCAAAATGTTATCAACATAGATGTGAGCAGTCAGAGTACTTTGCAGCATGACTAATGGTGAACAACTATCCCAGCTGATCACTTCCCAGACTGTCACACCCTGTATTCTGGCTGTGTGCCATTCTGTAACAAACAGTACATTGGACTGCTCACCTCTCCATCTCTAGACACATATGCAGCAGTCATAAGCATTGAGAGAAAAATGTGATTCATTGCTGAAGATCACATTTCTCTAATTAAATACTGTTCAGCTTGAATGAGAGCAACATCATGCAGAATTACAATGCAAATGGTGGAATGTCAATAGCAGACATCTTAATGGATGTTGAGATCTGAGCCCAGCTTCACCTAGTATTCTGCAAATCGTATCCTTGGATATCCTTTAGTCCCAGCAAGTTAACAAATGGCATTGCTTTAATGATAGCATAACTACTGGTGAAGACATAACAACACTTCTAACTGCATGATCATCTCCTGCATTGGTGCCCTGAGGACATCCCAAGCCACTACGACAGCTGACTATGCTTTTGGTGAACCACTGGTTCCAACAATGGACAATGACCGTATTGCTTCAACCAATATGCTGACCTATTTCGCCTGTTCAATCAAACAGCTTCTTTTTAAGCCTTATGATGTGACCCCTCTCAAAGTCTGAGAGCTGTTCTTAATGCCATCGGGTACATCTTAAAGGCATCTTTTGTTACAATGTTGTGTATTCATGCTGTCAGAGCAGTTGTAAATGCTCGTCACACCT